CAAAGAGATAAAAGGTTTTTCAACAATATTTAAAAATCCATTTAGCTAGGAAAGCAATAAAGAAATAAAAAGAAATGCAATAAAAGATAAAGAATCAAATACACTGCAAGAACAATAAACATTTATACATTCCTCTTTTGAATTGCTCATTCTTAAAAATATGAAACTACAGTTATCTCGGTTTTTCCGTATAAATGTAATGTTTCTTTTGCAACTTGTATGGCCACTTCAAGGAATATATTTATTTCAATGCAAAAACACTGTAAATTTGTTTTAGGATTCTCAAATGAAACACATGGGGATTTCAGCTAATATTCGAACAAAAAACAGATCGAATATGGAACAAATTTGTACCTTGAGGCCAAACTCTTGCTTTAAGCTTACCATACTAATTTAAACTGTTTGCATGTAATGTTAATTAACAAAGATAAAACATAAGCCTGCTTACCACTTGATAAGTTTTGAAACAGCTGTCTCAGTCACATCACAACAGTGACTTTTGAACAGGTTAAGTATGGGACAGCACCAAGGTAGACTCTAAATATCAAAATAACGCTTTAAAAATTTTGTGTGTCCGAAGTGCTTTTCTGGATATCCCTTTTTCAGGGACGCTCAAGCCTAAACATTTAAAAGCCTATATATAGATGTGCAAATACGTTGCCACGTTAACGTTAAAAGCTATATGACCAAGCTACCATTCTTATTGTTAACTACGCCAGAAGCGTTTCGTATACATAAGACTCATCAGTGGCGCTTAAAATCAAAACTATTTGGAAAGCAAAATCTGTAACGATAATAAAGGCCATTGAAAACCATCAAAAATACACTACCAAATTCAATTTTTGTACCTAAATATTCTGTGAACCTTTTGTATCAAGTACAAGGGACCTTTATTGATAAAGCTGTACCAGATAAGTAATTTGTAACAGCGAGTGATATATTCTTGTTCGATAATTAAAATAAAAGTAAAACATTAGGTATATGCTTACACCACCAAAATAATGGAATATACTGCCTGACGTCACAAAAAAAAATAATGGAATATACTGCTGAACGTCTTAAAGAAAAAAATAATGGAATATACTGCTGGACGTCTTAAAGAAAAAAATAATGGAATATACTGCTGGACGTCTTAAATAAAAAAACACGGTTTAGAATTATTCAAAAGGAAATGTGCGACTATAAAAAATTTTTTTTTTATATTCCAAAGTCAGCAATTATGTCATTAAATAAATTTCTTTTCTTGAAGTGGAGTTTACACTTAAAAAAGGATAATGTAAGGAAGTTTGTGGTTTTTTTTTTAATTGCTCTAAAACAGCTTAGGCACCATCAAATGCAATTACCACGCTTTGGTGTTTGGACCTAGGATGTCAATAGAAATACACAAACATATACACACGATTTATAAAAAAAAATTATATCAATTATTAGATATGAATAATAGGATATCTATGGTATGAGTTGATAAGGCAGCAATCCAATGACACACAAAACTGACTTATAAAGGTTAACATAAGTTTTTTCAACAAAAGACAGTTAAGAATACCAAATATTATCAATTATAAAATTTGATTATAAAACAAAGTTTTAATAACTAATAAAATAATTACCAAATACACGATCGATATAAAGATTTATTAAGGATAGTAAGAGTATCATAACCTTTGACAATATGTTATTAAGGCAGATAGTAAAAGTCAAGAGTCAACCGGAAAATATATATTCTTTGTTTACAACACTACAATTTACAAATTTATAGAAATATTGTTCCAATCACAGAACAAGCACGAGTTAATTTTAATGCATGTTAATTTGGATACGGTAGACAAGTTACAGACATATTAACATACCGAGATTGTTTATTGAAATTTAGCAAGGTAAACTATACCTCATTCTCCTTCTCTTTGTGGTATTTTTTACTATTTTACTCTAGTTATGCAATATTATGCAAATAGATTACGGGTTCCTTAATTTTGAAAACACAGCGTAATTGGAATATGCTAATGGTTTAGAACGTTAAACAAGTTCAATCTCTCTATTTTGTAAGGAAACTGTATGTAACGTGTGAAGTGTATAGCAGTCAGTTTCCATTTATTCCTGTAGACTCATTGTGTTATTGGTGTGTTTCTTTCAATAAAGGAAAATGCAGCAACCCAACATCACATTAAACATAGACATCTAGTCATGTAACCTTTTGCTGGGATAAACCTTGCTATTGTTTGTGAAATATCAGTCCTTGATCTTATTAGGTACCTAGTATTCAGTACCCTGATACCGGCCATGAAAATTTCATATATCTTATCAGTTGTAACTTTTTATTTTTTTTTCAAAGACAGAAAAAGTTCTCACTAGCAAATGTTTCTACAATTTCTTTTCTGTCTTGTGCTGTCGGATTGTTTTCTCGTTCACGTATATCCGCATGACTTCTTGTTTGTAATTGGATGGCATTTCGTCCTTCCAAGGGAGTCCCTTTTAGTTATATAGCTACTCATTTATTTGTAGATCTTATATTATCAAAACGTTGATCTCTGAGTTCAGTATGTTTTATTTATTGTGACTTTTGTGTCTGCATACGATAATGCTTTTAAAAAGACCACAACAGCTTTACTAACTTCCAGGTGGCATAAAAGTGGTCAATATCTCATTAAAATTGTATTAAAAGCAAATTTATAAGGGGTAAAAGCCTATGACGAAATGCTCACAGCTTTATGTAAGGCAGTCCATAGCTATATAGCTATATATGCGACACGGTCATACTCATTGAATAACATCTAAATCCTTTACTTTTAGCTAGATTATCGATGGAATCAGTGAAAACAACAATTTTGTTTTACTAAAAAAAAAATACTTGATTGAAAATATTCGCCACTACAACGTATAATACCTCTTTCAGTTTAAAGAACACATGTTTTTGGAATAACCTTTATCGGAAAAAGTTCGGTATTCTAAATACATAAAACATTTAAGAGCAACTCATAGGTTATTCGGACGGATTTTTGCTGAATGACCAACAACAATTTTTTTCATTCTACTCTATCGTTGCCCTACAAGAAATTTAAGGTTTCGGCATTTATAAAACTCACGAACCAAAGTCAGACAAATACAACATATATGTACTCTTCATCAAATCTATTATTGATCTTTCTTTTTTACATTCGAATATTCGTCGTGAGTAATACAACAGTTAACAAAATACAGTTATGCAATGGATACATAATTCTGACAAAACATTGGCGGACTTTCAGTCGGTTTCTTCATTTTTCAATTGTAAGTGAGACAAACAACTATCAAAGTCTAAAAAAAAACCACCCCAAGATGGAAATTAATCATTTTTCAAAAACCCTATTGTGTTCAAATACAAAATTTCTTCCGTTTCCATTTATTAATAAGTCTGTCTTCAAATATTGAAAAATAAATAAATGGGTACTACAAGTTCATTGTGTTTCTTTTTAATTCTATTTGAAATTTTGATAGTATATAACACTACAACATATCACTTTGTTTGATAATGTGATTTTTACAGTCATTTAATAAATTGACTTAGATGGGTAGTATGAACCACTTGCTTGACCATAAGATCCGCTTAATCCTCCATAAGATCCACTTATTCCTCCATAAGATCCACTTAATCCACCGTAATATCCACTTCCTGACCCACCATGATAACCTCCGATACTTCCACCAAATCCACCAGAATATCCTCCGATACTTCCACCATACCCACCAGAATATCCTCCCATACTTCCACCATATCCACCAGAATATCCTCCGATACTTCCACCATACCCACCAGAATATCCTCCCATACTTCCACCATAACCACCAGAATATCCTCCCATACTTCCACCATATCCACCAGAATATCCACCCATACTTCCACCATATCCTCCATATCCACCACTATGACCTAGATAGTGCCCACCGTATCCGCCATCATGTCCACCGTATCCTTTTCCGCCATATCCGTGATATCCTAAAAATACATATACATGTAAAAAAACCATCAAAACTATCCGTGAAATCCACTTTATTCTAACCAGTTAGATCATGTAACATACCAAATCCAAACTCTTTGGTTTAGAGGTTTTTGTGTAATAAAGCGACGTTCAAGAAACTATCATTAACATGGAAGTTTATCTGATACCGAACTATAATAATAAGGTTGAGGTCATTAGATACAAATGATAGAATAAAATCAAATTATAAGAAGCGTAATAATTGAATTTTCAGATGAAATTCTTACGACTAAAACATTACCTCCATGTCCATGTCCATATCCTCCTGCTGATACAACAGCGGCTAGGACAACAGTAACGGTAACAGCAAGGATGAATCTCATTTTCTGGAAAAAAAATCAATGTTATTAATACATAAGATAAACTTACTAATTTCCGCTTATTTTTGCGAGAAAAAAATAACGCGAATGTAAATTGTCGCGAATAATGCAAACTTGGATCATCCCTTATATGATTACGTCAGAGTATTTGAAAATAGAGAGAACAAATTGGCGTGAATTCGGGTCACAAAATGTTCACACAAAAATGTAATCCAAAAAAATGAGGTTTCTAGCCTTGGATATGAAAAAAGTCAGAAATATAATACCAACAACAACAACGACAATAATTATACTAATATTTATCATTTTGCATTTATGATGTTTAGATATTTGCAGCTAGCTTTTTCTGAAAGAAGGACCAAATACACAATCAATGTAAGTATCAACCGATCACTTTTATTATTTTTAATTGGGAAGTTTTGTAGCGCGAAAGAAAGGTTCAGTTCAGTTAAATGCACGATTTTTATTCTTTATTTTTGATATTTTGACCCAATATTTTGTTTTGCTTTTCTTGTATCTTAGATATAAGCAACAATTGAAAATCAATCAAAAAACAACAAAAATAAGTAGAAATAATTTTACTAACATAAATGTTTTTACTTTGTTATATTTATAATTGGTTATTTTACATTTAACTTGGAATATTCATATTTTCTGTACTTACTTTGTGGTTAGATAGTTTTAAATTAGTATAAATAATGTGATCGCTCTTTTATATATATGGCTGGTTGAATTATGTCATCCGAACATGTATATCAGACCCAAAAATATTGTAACACGTTATTATATGAATTCTATCAACAAGGACGTCTTTTTTAACCCGCCACTGCGTCATTAAATGTAATAGTTTTACATGATGTGAACAAACAGATTTAACATATCATTAGATTATTTTTATATGTTGCGATATTTATTATAAGATTTTTAGAAGATTGCGCTTTAAATTTGATTGAAAAATTACCAAAAAAGTATCCTCTCTGTTTAGATAATTTTAGGTCTTAAATTTTCAAGGTTGATACAAAATTAGTGACTTTGTCACTGGCATTACGAATTATTAATATTCTACAGCAGATTATTGATTTGGGATTGAAAACGGACGTGTTCAAGATATGGGAACATAAATAAATATTTTACAAAGACTGTTTCATGTTACCATTGATGTTTAGAGAAATTTAAAGATGTTTTTTCTCGGGTTTTAAATATTCATAAAACATGACCAAGTATTATCTTACCTATTCCTAAAACACAGAAAAGTCATCAAAGATTATTCTGTACGGGGAGAGGGAGAAGTAACCTACACCAGATAGAGAGAATAAATGTTAAAAAGTTTCTTACAGTTCCTAATTTTACATTTTTGATGTAAGTCAAAACAATAGATAAGGAGTATTAAGCCCTGTTTAAAAAATGATATATGTTTTGCATTGGATAATGAGATTTAAAAAAAAGTAAAACTAGTTTTGATGAATGCAATTGAATATACATCGGTTGATATATAAAAATATGATGGATATAAGACAGATGCAGATAAATTTCATAGCTTGACAGTTATACCTAAAATATATTTTAGATAATTTGACATTTGACTGATCCTGCAAACGAAACTGTATCGTGTAAATTCAATCTAAAACATGAAAAAGTTATAATAGTTTTATTAAGATATGAATAAAACATGAATAAAGATTAAAATACGAAATCGATATATCTAGTATCTTTATACTAATTTTTGGAAATCAGTTTATAATATTCATCTTATTTGTTTTGGCCTTATTCTTGTCAGTGTTTCGACTTGATTTGTTAGTTTCCCCCTTGGTATGTACTCCAAGTTCTCCTTTTACTGTGACTTGACTATTTGTGTTTTCCTTTTTGTATGGGCTACCTGTACAGTTTTGGATATTTCATTAATTTTTACATATAATCCTGCAACTTTTCAATTTGGAGTACTGTTGGCAGTGTTTTAAATCTATTGGAATCAAAAATATATTGGAATTTATTTTATTTGAATCAACTTCTTAGATAGGATTAAAATATGCATCTCCGAAAGGAAATTTTTTTAAAGAATAGAATCCTTGAAAGAGGAAAAACTCAGCCATACAGTTTATTAGGCTTTCACATGCGCACCACTAATTCAGGCCCGGTCGGAAAGAACATTTGCCCTGTAGTTCAAATCAGAAGTACCTGTTTTTGTACTATCACATTTCCGGGAACCAGTACTTTCTAATATGCAATTAAAGGTATGTTGAATTTTTCAGCACAAGTCCGGATAAGGTATAGTTTTGACATGAAATGACTGCCACTTTATTTGAACTTAAGACAAAGTAGCCATTAATGCTTGAAGTTGAAGAATTTAACATAGAAAGCAATTGGGCTATGAATTAGTGGTTTTATACCTTATCATGTGTTCATTCAAGTGAATTTGTTTTATATGATAAAGTTAATCCATCATCCAACATATTTCTTTGGCTATGTATGTGATTTTGGAAATAATCATGATAAAATTATGGATAAAAGTGAATTCAGTGGATATAGTCAAATCTAGTAATAACGTGGAAAATATAAGTAAAATTGAGAATGGAAATAGGGAATGTGTCAAAGAGACAACAACCCGACCAAATGGGTCTTCAACACAGCCAGAAAATCCCGCACCCGGAGTCGGGCTTCATCTGTCCCCTAAACAAAAAATGTGTACTAGTTCACACGTCACACTAAACTCCGAAACATATAAATGAACTAAAATTCAAAAATAGAACATACAAGACTAACAAAGGCCAGAGGCTCCTGACTTGGGATAGGCGCAAAAATTCGGCGGGGTTAAACATGTTTTGTGAGATCTCAACCCTCCCCCTTTACCTCTACCCAATGAAGAATAAACAAACACACAGCAATACGCACAGTAAAACTCAGTTAAAAAGAAGTCCGAGTCCGAAGTAAAATAGTCCAAAACAATCTTAAAATGAGGATAATAATTTTGATTGTGACATTACAAAATTCAGGATCGAATATATAGAATATACATCTGTTTAATCATGATATATATATAGTATGGAAAATGAAATTAAATTGTATACTGTGGGTATAGTAAAACCTAGTGACAAACGGAAAAATCTATGTAAGATATTCCCCAAAAAAATCGTAAAATGAGGATTATAGTTCTAAATATATGTAATTACAAAATTCTAGATCTAATATAGAGAAGTTGCATCTGTATAAATAAGGAAAAATATATTTAATTTATTTTCATATAAGAAAATGAAGTAAAAGTGAATTTCCGAGGATATATTCAAATTTAGTGATGTAATGGAATATATAAATAATTCATAAAATTTGGATAATGGTTTATCATTTCGAATAGTGAAACTGGACTACTGGAATGGATATCAAATTAATGTGTAAATAAATAAATAAATGAAATAGTTTGTTCATAATTATTATTCTAATATTTCACAACTACATAAATACTCTGAACAAAGCTCAGGCCAGTAAGTTATGTACTAAATTTAAAAGGAGGGAATGTATACGTTTATTTCTATTATGTATAAACATTTATTTATTCTTGAAATTTATGGAGTGATTATGAGATAAATATAAAGGTTTTGAGTTATCTTGCATTAAAAAGAAGTCAAGAGATAAAAGGTTTTTAACAACGTTAAAGAAATCCATTTTGCTATCAAAGCAATAGAGAAACAAAATGAAATGCGATATTAGATGAAGATCTAAATTCCATGCAAGGAAAAAACATTTATACATTCTTCTTCTAAATTGGTTATTCCTAAAAATATGAAATTGCAATAAAAACACCAGTTGATATGCATTTTATTATGAAAATAAATTGAATAATGCTGTAATAATATTTTGAAAAAAATCCTCAAATATACCATTCTTATTGTCAGAAGCGTTTCGACTGTATAAAGCTCATCAGTGGCGCCCAAATCTAAACATTTGGAAAGCAAAATCTATTATGTTAATGAAGAGCATTTTTCACCTTATTTTTATAGTTTGTTCTAATGTTGTGTTATAACACCACTGTCAAAGGTTAGGGGAAGGGTTGAGCGCTCACAAACATGTTTAACCCCGCCACATTCTTTATGTGCCTGTCCCAAGTCAGTGGTTGTCGTTGGTTCATGTCTGTCATACTTGTTTTTCGTAAATTGTTTTGTTATTAATTTGGCCGTTAGTTTTTTCAATTCAACTGTTTTATATTTTTATAGCCGGGTATACGGTACGGGTTTTTCTCATTGTTGAAGGCCGCACGGTTGCCTATAATTGCTTACATCTACTTTATTTTAACTTTGGTGGGTAGTTGTCTCATTGGCAATCATACCACATCTCCTTGTTGTTATATGCAACATTAAACACCACATTTTTATATTTAAACCTAAGAGGTCAATACCAATGACCCATGTATAAACATTTACACACACTGCATAAATTTTTTTTTATTAATTATTATATATGCATAATAGGATATCTTGAGTATGAGTTAATAAGGCAGCAATCCAATGACACCAAAAACTGACTTATAAAGGTTAACAAACGTTTTTCAACAAAAGACAGGTAAGAATGTCCATTACTTGATTATATTTCAAGTTTTTAATAACAAATAAAACAATACCAAATAAACAAATAACAGACGATGTCAAGACTTATCAAGGATAGTTAAAGTATTATAACACAAGCACAAGTTAATTTTGATGCTTGTTAATTTGGATACGGTAGAGGAGTTACAGGCACGTTTAGATACCGAGATTGTTTATTTAAATTTCATAAGGTAAAATATTCCTCATTCTCCTTCTCTTTTTGGTCTTTTTTACTATTTGACTTCCTTGTATATTTTACTGAAGTCATGCTATGATATTATATTACGGGTTCTGTAATTTGGAAAACATAGCGTAATTGGAATATGTTGAAGGTTGAGAATGTAAAACAAGTTCAATCTCACTATTTTCTGAGGAAACTGTATGTAACATGTGAAGTGTAAGGTAGTCTGTTTCCATTTATTCCCGTAGACTCATTGTGTTATTGGTGTGTTTGTTTTAATAAAGGGAGATGCAAAACCCAACAACACATTAAACAAAGAAATCTAGTTAGAGTTTTACATGTAACCTTTTGCTGGGATAAAACTTGTTCTTGTTGGTGAAATATAAGTCCTATATTGTTTCTAACAACCCAGTATTCAGAACCTTGACACCGGCCACGAATATTTCATATACCTTTAGAAATTATTAGTTGTAAATTTGATTTTTTTTAAACAGAAAAAAACTCTCACTCGCAAATTTTCTATATTTCTTTTCTGTCTTGCACTGTTGGGTTGTTGTCTTGTTGACGTATTGCCCTCGTGACTTCTTGTTTGTAATTGGATGGCCATTCGTCCTTCCAAGTGAGTACTTTTTATATATATAACTTCTAATTCATTTGTAGATCTTTTACTGTTGAAACGTTTATCACTGAGTTCAGTAGGTTTTACTAACTGCGCTATTTGTGTACCAAATAGTCTGCATAAGATAATGATTTAAAAATGCTACACAGCTTTACTTACCTTCAGGTGGCATACACGTGGTCAATATCTCATTGAAAATATTATATTAAATGCAAATTCTAGTAGTCAGCACTTCTGTGTTGAAATGAAATGGTCATGGTTATGATTTAACTGCTTACAAAACTTAGAATTTTTCGAAATACTTACGACTTTCTACCGCCGGCAATGATGACCTTAGAAGTATTTGGCAAAATCTTGCGGAATTTTGGGTCTTCAATGCATTTCAACTTTACTTTATTTGGCATTTTTAACTTTTTTGTCTGTAGGGGTCACCGATGAGTCTTTTGAAAGTGAAACGCGCGTCTTGCGTACAAAATTTTAATTATGGTTTTATGATGAGTTTATCAATAGTAGTAAATATGTGAAGAAATGTCGACAAAGTTAAGAAGCCCAGGGTCATACTCATTGAATAAAATCTAAATCCTTTACTATAAGCCAGATCAACGATGGAATCAGTGTAAAAAACAATTTTGTTTGTAAAATAGATGAAGGATTATACAGTCGGCACTTCAACAGATAATACCCCTTTCAGTACAAACGACACATATTTCCGGAATAACCTTTATAGCAAAAAGTTCGGGTATCTAAATACAAAAAAACATTCTTAGGTTATTCGGAATAATTTTCGCTTAATGACCAACAGCAATTTTTTTCAAACTACTCTATTGCTGCACTTAAAGATATTTAAGAGCCCAGCATTTATAAAATTTCCGAATTAAAAGGCAGACAAAAACAACATATATGTACTCTTCATCGGATCTTTTATAGACCTTTCTTTATTCTCTTTGAGTATTCTTCATAAGTAATGCAACAATCAACAACATATAGTTATGGAACGGATACATAATTCTGACTAAAAGTTGGCGGACTTTGAGGTTTTTCGGTTTTAAATATTATGTGAGCCAAACAACTATCAAAATCTAAAAACCCCTTAGATGGACAAGAATTATTTTTTTCAAAAAGCACCCTGTATTCAAACATAAAATTTCTTCCGTTTCAATTTATTTTTAAGTCTCTCTTCAAATGATGAAAAACACACGTTAATGGTTTTAACAAGTTTATTATGTTTATTTCAAGTAAAGTCGAGTTCTATTTGTAATGTTTATAATATATTACACTACATATATTTGTTTGTTTCGACTATTTTGTTTATAAATGCGTTTAATCCCTATGAAATAGGGGTGGACAAAATACTTTTTAGTAAACATCAAAAACAATTTGCAGACGAAATATGCATCTCACTTTGAATGATAATATGATTTCTACAGTTTTTATTTAAAGTCATTTAATAAATTGACTTAGATACTCCAGGATATGAGGATTGGCCATAAGATCCACTTAATCCTCCATAAGATCCACTCAATCCACCGTAATATCCACTTCCTGATCCACCATGATAACCTCCAATACTTCCACCATATCCTCCGATACTTCCACCATATCCACCAGAATATCCTCCGACACTTCCACCATATCCACCAGAATATCCTCCCATACTTCCACCATATCCACCAGAATATCCTCCGATACTTCCACCATACCCACCAGAATATCCTCCGATACTTCCACCATATCCACCAGAATATCCTCCCATACTTCCACCATATCCTCCATATCCATCACTATGACCTAGATAGTGCCCTCCATATCCGCCATCATGTCCACCGTATCCCTTTCCATATCCCCCGTATCCACCATCATGTCCACCGTATCCCTTTCCATATCCTCCGTATCCGCCATCATGTCCACCGTACCCTCCGAAGTATCCTTTTCCGCCATATCCGTGGTATCCTAAAAAAAATTAAAATTTATTTTAACAAAACTAACCTTTAAATTCCCTTTATTCTAACCAGTTAGATGATGAAACATAACAAATACAAACCCTTTGGTTTCAATGTTTTCGTGTAATATAGCGACTTTCAATCTAAGCTCCATTTAATAAATAAAGATATACATAAAATAGAAAAATAGTAGCTCAAACAACGTTTCTAATGCACATACAGTTTCAGTCCCAAATTATGATTCATCTCCTACAGTCAAGAGCTTTTAACGATAAACCTAACATAAAATTTAGTTATAAAGTAACCTAAATATCATATCAGTAATCGTCATTCAATGAGTATACCATTACCAGTTGAAGGAGATTTGCAAAAATAGCAAATTGCCTTTTTCACGAAAATATATAAGTGTGGAGCATTTCAAACTATCATTAACATGCGAATTCATCTGAACTATAACAATAACGTCTATGTCATACGATACAAATAATAAAATAAAAAAGAAATTATAAGAGTAAAAATTGAATTTAAAGGTGAAATGCATACGACAAAAGCCTTACCTCCATGTCCTTTACCATATCCTCCTGCTGATACAACAGCGGCTAGGACAAAAGTAACGGCAACAACAAGGATCACTCTCATTTTCTGAACCAAAAAATAAATATAATTGATTCATTAGATACTATAAACCAACCCATTTTCATGAGCGATTCATTTTTTTCTCGAGTTTCACTAGTACGAAAATAACGCGAATATAAATCGTATCAAATATTTCAAACTTAAACATTTATCATTTCATTAGGGCAAATTTGAAAACGTATTACTCCAAAAAAGTTTTCCGCGAAATCATTTGATATAAAGATAGGAATTATGTTTATAAATACATAATAACAACAACAAAACATGGACAACATCAATAACAAAAATACAAATAATCATGCTGTTGCATTTAAAAAATGAATGGTGTCCTTTTGAGTTTTGTTTTGGGTGCTTCGTCATACGGGTCATAGCGACTTTACTTTTACAACTTCTACTAATTCTACTGTTATTGCTATCACCTTCCAATGACTATTGAGTACTTTAATAAATATTTTTGTTATTGTTATGAAAAAAAAATTATAGTTTTATATTGAAACTTGAAATTAGTCAATAACATGATCCCTTTGTATACCAATTATAAATAATGAGTCTTTATTTTTTTTTATTTATTTTAATGTTGTGATTAAAGTAAAAAAAAAATCAAACCATTTACTAAGAACTTATTCGAAATTATCCGGACATTCGGATATATATTTTTTTTCAAAAGAAGGATCAGACATTAAATCAGTGTAAGTATCGGAAGATTAAGTTAATTGCATTAATGAAATTTTTAGTGCCATGTTTTCTTTTAACACGAAAGAAAGATTCAGTTCAATTAAATGTACTATTTAATTTATTTTTTATAAATATTTTGCCCGATTCTTTTTCTTTCTCCTATCTTGAACAAAATCAACAAGTGAAAATCAATTAAAATGCAATAAAAGAATAACTGACTTTTATTATTCTTAATCGGGAAATTATGTAGCGCGAAAGAAAAATTCAGTTTAGTTTAATGCACGATTTTTATTCTTTCTTTTTAATATTTTGACCCAATTTTGTTTTGCTTTTCTTGTATTTTAAATAAAAGCAGCAAGTAAAAATCAATCAAAAAACAATAAAAATAAGAAGAAATAACTTTTCGAACATTATTGTTGTAATTCATATTAATAATTTGTTATTTAACATTGATCTTGAAATACAGATATGTGTTGTACTTACTTTGTGGTTAAATAGTTCTTAATTGGTGTAGATAATGTGATCAGTGTTATATAAAAATATATATATAGCTGGTTTTGTTATGTCATCCTATCAGGTATATTTCAGACCCAAATAATACGTTATTATGCAAATTCTATCATTAAGGACGACTTCTGGCCAGCCGGCACTATGTCATTTTATGTAATAATTTATCATCATGTGATTTGACATAATTACCATATTATCATATAGTTTACATCTAGCACTATTTGATATGCTGCGCTACAAATATTGAAAGAAAAATTACCTGACTAGATAATTATAAATAAGACACTAAGAAATTTACCTTACATTGTTGAACATTATAAAATTTAGGTAAAATAACAACACTGATCTTTTTTTATAAAAAGAAATAGACATTTACTATTCCCTCTTTCATTATCTAACACTTTCATTCAAAAAGTTTGTTATTTATAAAACATAAATAGATACCAACTTAATGAATGAAAGTATAAATGAAAATAGGAAAATAAGTGTTGAATTTTTGTATAAAAATAGATCAGTGTTGTTATTCTTTTAACTTAAATAACAAAATTCCCTTCTACCTTTTTCTTTCCAATTTCAGTAAAAATATCATATTTTTTTTACTCAACACAATTTATCTTACTTGACTTTTAGAAAGAACAAAATCATGAACATGTAAAATGCATTTACCTTTTAACTACATATTTTTTTTCTATTTTGTACTATTTTCTTTTACATATTGTTTACCAAGCATTGTGGGTCTAGGCAGAAAAAACACGTTCAAAGATGGCACTAAAAGAACACAAGACTCGACTACATTGTCTTCAGTAAAATATTCTTCTGCAAAATAGATTGCCAATTGGAGCCAAAGTGTGTATGAATCTTCATTTGTAGATACTTCACAATGTTTGAGATTTTGAAGTTGAACAGAAATTCTAAAATGGCTGTTGGGCCAAAAACATTGCCCGAAATTTCAAAACTTTTCTGAGGAATCGCTTGGCATTTAATTGGGATTTTGAGGTTTTGTGTCAATCTAAATCAAAGAGAGTTTGAGCCAAGGATCCAAGTTTAACTTAGAACCCTTTGAGAAATATATACACATATTTTTTTTTCTCAGAAACATTCAACATTTAAACAAAATCTTGCACCAGATACTAGGATGATTCTATTCTAATAATTATTATTATAATTTGTAAGCTACTTTTTTTACCAAACCAAAATGAATATTAATGACAACAATATTGCAGCATAACAGAACCATATGGGAAAAACATACAAACCGCTTCTAACAAACCATCTCTAACATCAAAGATGAATACCATTGAGGTTCATAATTTAACGTAGAAACATATTGGTAACGCATACACATATCATAGTTTCTCCTTTGAAATTGTCTCAAACATTTAACAAAATCTTGAATAAATGATACAAGTGTGAACATATACTAATTTTGAGTATTTGGTGCCAATCTCAAATCAAAAATAGTTGTCACCAATGGCAACAGTTTAACATTGAACCCAATGAGAAAGACATTCAAACCAAAGTATGCACAAATGCTACTAAGGTGTTAAACACCATGCAAAACATACATTGTAGTTAAGCCCACACATTCAATTAAATATACCTGTAATTTCTGCTAAAGAAGGGAACACATACAGTACATGTAGTAATACCTGCATAAAATCACTATTTGTATCATGCAAAATTTAGTATGAAAGTCACAAAGTACCATGTCTCAAACCAAACTATTACTATCCACACTGATCTGTGTCTATGCTAGTTTTTAATTAAATTTTAAAAAAAACATAACTAAATGTGTATTGCTGTACAGCCATAAACACTTATGGTCCTAAATTCTGTCAAGGTTTATATTTTGGCAATGCACAATGTCATGCTTTTCTTAGACTGTTTATGAAGTATTGTATTAAATCTTTTGGATGGGTACTGATTGATATATTGTGCCTGTATAATGTTGTGTGTCAAGTTAGTGTTTCGGATGACCTACTATTATAAAAAAAAATACAGATCTTTGATTCATAAAAAAATCATGAAAATGTTTTGTTCGGATACTTTTTTTTTTCGTTTTGTTTGTAGCTAATGAGTTTGTTTTTCTTATTCATTTGTACATAGAATATTCAAGACAAAGAGATTGAAATCGTATTTCATTCTGGACGACTTATCGTATTTCATTCTGGACGACTTACATTTTACGTGAGACAGTGACATTCGTGTCATCACAATGCATCTATTTCTTTTCGACATCTCATTTCAGAAAATAGAATATGAAAAACAGTGAAACAAAGTATAAAAGAACATTTAATATATTACCAATTCGATTTATCAAACTACAGCTTTGTCCTTTTCTTGAAGTCTGTTACAAGAAAAGATTCGAAAAAATGCACGAATGTTTGCTGAAATTGTATTTTCTTTCCTTCATTAGTGGTAGCGATTTTATCAATGTTTTTCTTCACAGCATCCGTGTTTTTCTTCTTGTCACCGTTGTTTTTCTTCCTAACCATCTTTCTTTTTTCTTTTTTTTTTTTTTGGGGGGGGGGGGGTTTCTTCAAACCCTTTTGTTTAGCCTTCAGATCATAAATAGTTTGCTCCACTTTCTTCTCAAGACCCTTATTATTCTCAGTATCTTCTGTGTTTTGCTTTTCTTAAAATGATTTTTTCCCTTAGCAACCATGGTTTCCACCTTGTACTTCTCTTCAGTTGTTACTCCTTCTTTCTATATCTTCTTCATTTCTGTAAATACAAGTGTTAAAATAAAATAAGTTTTAAAATCATAATAAAAAATAAGATGAAGTGTTACGATGATCCACGCGACACTAATTGATTACCAAAGACTTTTTTTGTTATTGTATTTAACATATATTTCAGTATCGATTAACTTGATCTAGTTATTTAATCCATTTTTACTATCCATGTTTAATCATGAAAATTAATTGCAAAAAGTAAAATAACAAAAATACCGAACTCCAAGGAAAAATTCAAAACGGAAAGTCCTTTATCAAATGGCAAAATCAAAAGCTAAAACACATCAGAAACAGAAGCATAAAGTTTTCATGAATTCAATAAATATAATCAATATTGAAGAAACAATTTTTTTTTTTTTAAATATTGCAAGAAAAGTGACAGCTTCAGTAGCAAAGTGGAAACATAACTAGACAAGCGAGTGGACGATATACAATTGAATGGCTTTTTTTTAAAGTTTCATTCATTATGGTGTTTAAGAAAAAATGACAAAATTCTGATTATGCTTATCCAATTATGTGTCGTTGTCTTTTTCCCATATAAGTGGTCATTCTATTGGTGACAGCAGTGTGCAGGTTTTTTTTTATTGTGTGTTTTAATTTTACGGCTTAAGGTATAGATACCCAAATTGGGAGTTACTGAACAGGTTTCATGGAGCCTCATCATTACACTTAATTGAAATCGGTGATTTGTTAGAGTCCAGTAATGCATATGTTATTGTAGCTCTGTGGATAGGAAGAAAAGAAATACAGGGGTTGTTTCACTGATCTATTATCATTTCTCAGTATGTCATGTTATTGCTAATTTATTATGTGTACTTTAAATAGATTTTTTCTAAATGCATAGGATAGTTATTGAATAAAAGTAATGTTTGCCACACGATGATTAACTCTCAAAGATCGACTGGAACAAATTAATTATGAGGCAGCACGTATAGTTACTGGGGCTACTAAGTTAACAAGTCTACAAATTCTTCTAAAAGAGACCGGGTGGGAAACTCTCAGGGAAAGGCGAAAAAATCACAAGCTTATTTTGTTTCATCAGATGGCTAACAATAACTCTCCAGCCTATCTTTCAAATCTAGTCCCTACCAACTTTGGCCAATCACATCCGTATGGGACACGTAACGCAGGAAATGTGCCTCACATGCCTGCACGAACGAATTATTATCATAACAGTTTTCTTTCTTCAACTGTCCGTCTTTGGAACGAGATTCCGATTAATATCAGACATTCTTCTTTATATATATTTTAGAAGTATTTGAAGAAAACTTGGGTTGTCCCAAAATATTTTTATAGTGGTAGTAGACTAGGACACATTTTGCTTACTATAATTAGAACTGAGAGCAGTGGTCTGAATGAACATTTGTATAGAAAAAATTTAGTTACTGATCCTTTTTGTAAATGTAGACAGATTGAAACATCTGAACACTTTTTATTGCGTTGTCCGCAATACCAATTACTTAGAGAGTTTATGCTGAGTAACTTGTCATATACATAAGTTACTGTATGGTAATCCTTTGATGGTCGACATTGAGAATACTGATAACTTTCTTATTATTCAAGATTTTATTCTTAAAACAAAGAGATTCGTGTGAATTTCATATACATGCATTGAGATATATAATTATGTATAAATTAAATTGTCGTTAATTTATATTTATATTTACACCTGTGTAGTTTGATAGCACTGTAGTTCAGTTGTGGATTTGGTCAACAAATGCTTCTTATTTCAGTTAAAAAAATATTTTTGACGCCATCCATCTATTATTATATCATATGGGAGAGGAATTTGTAAAAGCGAAAATTCACTTTTGTTTTCCAATCCTAATAAAACTGTCATATTGTAATGTTTACATTATTATTTTCAAAATAAAATATTGCTTACACTAACTCTCAAAACACTACATGTGGACTTCTGCATTATATATATTTAAGTTGCGTTAAATCGGGGAGGACAGGTGTGGCGTCTGTCTGGAAATTCGATTGCACATATATAAAAATAAGAAGGTGTGGTATAATTTCCAAAAAGACTCTCCATCAGATACCAAATGACATAGAAATTCATAAGGAAGGATTTCACATTGCGATTACTTAGTTCTGCAACTTTCGGGAATGACATATACCCCATGAACAAACTGATTGAGAATATATATTAAACTATGCGTGGGAGAAGAAAAGGTGTGAAAAAATAGAAAAAAAAGGAGTTGTCTCTGGCATCCACTTAACAATTGGATTTTTGAAATGACAAAATTGAACTGCCTTTCAATTTCAAAATTATTTCATTTGGTAACTTCGAAAATATCAAATAAAATTTTGTTAAAAATAACATTATTTGCTTACAAAATACAATGTTTACCGAACAAAAGTACAAGATGTATTGGCAAATTTAGATGCTTTAAAAATGGAAAACCTGAACTTCATTCAAATACCTCTCTGAAGATGAGTATAACAAATACTAAAGGCCCTGACTGTCCATTATAGACTAAAAATGAATGGTGTTTTTCGGGGATTTTTTCTTATAAATAAAGTTTGATTTTAACACCACAAATATATCCGAGAAAGAAAAAAAGAGTCCTTCTTTTGGTTATTAGATAACCATTTATGTTTGCCTAACGTTTTACAATAATATATTTCATTGTTGTTTTTCTTGAAATTTTCTTGATGTGAATATGTCATTCTGTATACCTTTGTTCATACATATTGTGTCCGTCCATTTGTTTCAATAAATCTAATTCATTATTAATAACAGAACAGAGAATGCTAGAAAAGAACATGATAGAGTTCTCGCAAATTCACCCAATCACATTTAAAGCATATGTAAAAAAAAGTAGTACTACTCTTGCAAAAATTAGTTCTTTTGATGTTGTTGTTTACTGAAAGTAACAAATGAGTTTACATGAATGAAACTTTTGCTGAATGAGAATATATTTTAGAGTAGATGTGTTACATAGTGAGCTTATTGAGATATATTGACTATATCAACCAACGGAACGAAGGGAAAACAATGGTCTCGTTCTTGACTTGGTACAGGCATTTTTCGAAATAAATAGCGGGTTAAACCTGGTTTTATAACTAGCTAAACTTCACACTTGTATGACAATTGTTTATAGTTCCGTATATTGACCAAAATGTGTGAGTAACTCAAACAGACATTCTAAACACATCCTATATATAAATAAGAAGATGTGGTATGAGTGCCAATGAGACAACTGTCCATCCAAGTCACAATGTGTAAAAAGTAAACAATTATAGGTCAAAGTACGGCCTTCAACACAGAGCCTTGGCTCACATCGAACAGCAAGCTATAAATGGCCCAAAAAAGACTAGTGTAAAACAATTCAAACAGGAAAACAAACGGTCTAATCTATATAAAAAACGAGAAACGAGAAACACCTATGAACCACACCAACAAACGACAACCACTGAACAACAGGCTCCTGACTTAGGACAGGTGCATAAAAATGCAGCGGGTTTAAACGTTTTAACAGGCGCCAACCTTCACCCTAACCTGAACTATGTATACTTATGATATATGCATGAAATTACAAATCTCAGTCTGGAATTATCAATTCTTAGTATTTACTTTTCATTTGTTTAAGCTGTGTGTAATTTTGTTTCTTATTCTGTAAATTGTTATTCTATTTGTGTAATTTATAATTTACAAGATGTATTTTTGATTTTTTTTTAACTCAATATAAATTTCAGTGTTTAATTTGTTATTGTCATGAGTGTGTTTTTAGTTTTTTTAAAACAAAGTGTGTGTTTTTTTCAATTCTCGGTGTGATTTTTTTTAGCAATGTTAATGAATTCCACATAAGTGGCAACACCGCCTGCACCTTATCCAACGCTCTAGACCTCTCGACAACTAGGCTATAAAATAACATAGCTTTCGTTAGTCGAGTAATGCCTTTTCTCGTCGGCTTTATATAGGGTTGTTACACAGTACATGATGTATAGTAGCAAGTAGATGGTATACCTTGGAGATCAGCTGTTTGTGTCTGTTGTTGATAATATATGTATACCAACTTCAGTGCACACAACACGTGTTTCCGGAATAACATTAATCAACAGAGGTTTGGGTAGTCACAAACATTAATAACAGCTCTTCAAATTTGTTCGGATTGATGTTTAACTTTTTCCAAAAAGACTTTTTAAATGCTCGGCATTTCTAATTATTCCGTGAATGATTAAAATGCACACAAATACAACAAACATGTATGTACTCTTTCGAAAATTTTAATTGATTTATTTTCTCCAAATATTCTTCATAAATAATGCTAAAACAAAAATAGCAATATACATTTTATGTACATGTATACAATGCATACAAACTGTTAACAAAGGGAATCGGGGCATTGAGTCCTATGTTTCTTTTTTAATAGTAAATGAGGATTTTTTTTTTGAGATCCAGGAGGAATAAGTATTGTTATAAGCACAACCGTATTCAAATATAATTCTTTTTTTATTTTAACAGACTTATATTCTTTCTTCAAAATATACGTGTTGAAAAACATGTTAAAAATTAATTACAACCATATTAGTGTTATTTTACTTTTTTATTGGAAGTTAACGAAGGCTCAAAAAATGTTTACATTACTTTAAAGAGTTAGTATTCAAAATATTTTGAAATGAACATGTATAATGATATATGCTTATATCTAAATAATGCTTTTTTTTATTCAGTATTAAAAAATTCTTAGTCTTTCATTGGATTGTTAACAATTTTTTTTTATTCAGTATCAAAAAATTCTTAGTCTATTTATTGGATTGTTAACAAATTTGCAAAAGTCTCCTAGCACAGTTTAATATGTTGTACTAAATCTGATATATAAGTATAGTTTATAATTCATCAATATACGTTATTTAAAATTAGCCCTTATCTTTATTCAACTTTTTTTAACCATCAAGGTAGGCATCGAATTAGAAAACAATATGTTCTTGTGAACAGTTCTTAATATACCACTAAAAGATAATTAACACTTCATTTGAATGAAGCTTTTTATGTATATTGAATGATGAAAAGAGATAATTTTTGTTTTAATTCATATTTTTTCTTTCTTTTTTAACAGGTTATATTTTATATTCCCATCCATACTTTCATATTTCCTATGTTTTTCATTCCTTATCACAAAGGTTAGTATATCAACAAGTTATGAAAACGCAATATGCATTCCTCCTCTTGACCTTTATTTGTGATGATAACTTCTATTGTTCTGATTTGAAGTCATTTAATAAATTGGCATGGATGATCCCGGGTAAGAGGATTGGCCTTGGTAATAAGATCCACCAGCTGATGGGTAAGATCCACTTAATCCTCCATAAGATCCACTCAAACCACCATAAGCTCCACCTAAACCACCATAAGCTCCACCTAATCCACCATAAGATCCACTCATACCACCATAAGATCCACCTAATCCGCCATAAGATCCTCCTAATCCACCATAAGATCCACCTAATCCACCATAAGATCCACCTAATCCACCATAAGATCCACTCATACCACCATAAGATCCACCTAATCCACCATAAGATCCACTCATACCACCATAAGATCCACCTAATCCGCCATAAGATCCACCTAATCCGCCATAAGATCCACTCATTCCACCGTAATATCCACTTCCCGATCCTCCATGATATCCTCCCATGCCTCCACCGTATCCACCAGAATATCCGCCATATCCACCACCGTATCCCTTTCCATTTCCACCACCATATCCCTTTCCATATCCGCCATATCCACCACCGTATCCCTTTCCATATCCTTTTCCACCATATCCTGAAAAAGATGTATACGTTCTTTTTACTATGATTAATCTTTCGAAATCATTTAATTAAGCAGTTAGGTTTTAAAACCAACTATCACAAATGTGTACCTTTTCGTTTCGAAATGATTGTTTAATTCAGCGAAGTTTTACAAGGTTGTTCGATACTAGTACTGTTTAATAATTAAATTCAAGTGGGTCATCAGATATTTGCTTTAAAAACAAAAAAAAATGAGACAATGTTCCTACAACATATGCAAATATGTATTTATGTCCATAATCAGCATTCATCTCCTATGATTATGAGCTTTCCTAAAGTGCTAAAAATTGTCCGGAAGCTAACTACTAATCCCCCTCCCCAGAATGTTTTTTTTTAATATTTAAAGGGAAACGTTCAAGGTTTATATATATATTTCTTGCAGCTGTTTAGTTTAATTTAAATAAACGCTGTTAAAAATCATTGTTCCTAGTTAAAATCAAATTGCAAGTTGCACGAATATACATGGATAAATTGGAGCATTTATAACTATCATAAACATAGGAATAAAAGAATTGGTATGACTTACGGAAATGATCATTTAATGTAATTCTTATGTGTCAGTTAATCATAGATATGATACAGTTGACAAATGAATAAAATATTTAGAATCACCACTTTACCTCCATGTCCGTGTCCATACCCTCCTACTGATACAACAGCGGCTAGGGCAACAGTAACGGCAACAACAAGGATGACTCTCATATTCTGGAAAAAATAAATGTAATTAATCATAAATACATACTGAATATAAAAATAACAAGAAAAATAATAATAAAATAAAAATAATAATGATAATAATAATTATTTTAATAATAATCCTGCTGTGCTTATTTACTGATTTCCTTGTGGTTTCGTTAATGTATACTTGGCTTGCTCTGTATGCTATGTCATACGATCTCAGGGACACTGAATTATTTCACATTTGGCTCTGGTGTGGATGTGTCCGACTCCATCTCTATTTTATTATCGGAAAATTTGTAACACAAAAAGATGTGGTTGAAAACTTTTTTTAAACTATTAATTATTCGTATTCATAACTAGTTATTTCATTCAATATTCTTTGAATTATATGTTATTCTTTGAACTATACTAGTATATATGTGTGTTTTTCGTACTTACGATTTGGTTAGATAGTTCCAAATTATTGTAGATATTGGAACAGCGCTCTTTATATATATAGCTAGTTTAATGATGTCATCTGATGATGTACATTTCAGACCTCGAATAATATTGTAACAAGTTGTTATGCGAATTCTATATATCAGGAAGACTTCTGGTCGTAGGTCACAGTGTCATTTTATGTAATAATTTTACACTGTATAATCAGACAGAATGATCTTGAACTTTTCTTGACATTTTGCGCTATTTGATATAAGTACGTTCGGTGTTAACTCTTATGAATAGTTAAGATGGAAAGAAGAAAAAAAGGTTCATGAACATGGAAAATACTGAAGGGGCTGTATCAAAATAAGAATGCAATTCATCTATTCCAAAGAAAATATGCAAATTTCAAAATGAACGTTTAGTACTCGACAGTAATTTCTTTTATTGTAGTCGAATCTAAACTGTAACATAAATTGTGATATTGTCATGACAGTAGATTCGCAAAGGTCGGTAACACTGACCTATTGACAAACACATGGACATTGTGCCCCAAAAAATCCCATCATTTACTATTTAAAACGTTTTATTATAACTGTAATTATAAATCACTGGTTGAATAATAATGATAATGCTAAATTTATCCATAGGGCAATTAAAGTTATAAACATAAAACACAAATGCCCTTGTTTATTAGGTGTAGTACGGATGATTGACAATATCCTGAAATCTTCAACTCACACATGTTTTGTCCCATATTATTTTAAGGTGAGTACTGAAATCATTTTTGTAAAGATTGAATTTTGAATGTATTTACATTTAACTCTCATTAAGAAAATTTCAAAACAAATCTATCGTTTTTATTTATTATAGCCTCTATTCACCTTCGATCATTGTGTCTTACAAAGCAAAAATCTTTTCGGACATCATTTCACTTCGATCACCATGAAATTCATGACCATACAGCAGTTCATAGTTCCGATTTCTTCAGTTATAGGACAAGGTATGATAAGCAACTTTTTTGGTTCCCTGAATTTATAAATCACAAAGTATTATAAACCCCTCAGTTGATAATAGTAAGATGTTTCAAGGCTTGATCTTGTCTGTAGACACAGATGAGGCGGCAATCAAAAATCTTAAGTTGCAGCTGGGACATAATAATACATTTTTCTCCAAACAACTCATGGTGAACAACAAGTTAAGCACCATGTTGTCCAAGAAGCTTTATACAAACTCTATTATAAATTGATGGTTGATGTTGATTAGTACTGTCTTCATGGTCTTGATTAGTATAATAGTCCAAGGTTGAAGGTGGACATAATGTTCGATCAACGTCCAGTGGCAAATATTTCATGCTTATTCAGGACGAGAGCAAATTAACAATAAATCCAAAAGGTAGATTCTATAAAGTGGATCGTTCGGTTTGAAGAGCATGCAGACAATTTAGACTGTCGCTGATAAGTTGAGGTATGTTGGATAGGGTAGGAATTTTGCAAGGGAAGACATGTCACACTATGGTACAAAAGAACATAAGGAAAAACAATAGCCCACAAAACCTACCACTAAAAATAAATATTGAGCAACATGAACCATGGACACTTAAGCTATTCTAAAGACACCCATAGTGTACTCAAGGAAAGCATAACACTAGATGAACAAATTTCTCATCTAACACTAAAACATTAAGAAATAATATGTCAACACATTGTCGTACATATTTCGTAAACTGTCAATATTGCCTCACATGGAGATATTCCCTTGAAGATTTATATACGAGCAACAGTCTTAGCTAAAACGATTTTGTCATAAAATAATTTTAAAGTACAACAAATGGAAGTTTTTAACGACCTTGACTGGCTATACAGCCCTTGCACGGTCGGTTTTTAATGTAGGTTGGGTATTTTCCGCTATCTTGAATGTTGAAATAGCAGAAAAAAATGGTCTAGATGTTAAATGAAATATGCAAACTATTTTGACAGAGGGATGCAATTAATTTGTAAGAATTTCCTCTAAATAAAGGAAATTGTGTGTTTTATATTATTATTATGACTGTTTTTACAAATACAATATATTTTGTGATTATTTCAATTGTTTTCCAACTCAGACAAAGAAGGGGAGATGACTCTGATACTATTATTCTATAAAGGAATTTATAGGAAATTTAAAGCAATAAAAAAAATAACTGTTTGAATGTAGACCCCCATTTACCCTAACAGAGAAAAAAACTAGAGTACGTTATATATCTACCCTGTATGAGACTGTTGTTTCATATTTCATTTTGAATTTAACAAAATGCGTGTAAAGGGTTCATTTTTAGGTCACTTTGCCTTCTTCGTCCGGAAACTTTTCACATTTTCATCTTCTATGAGAGCCATGTTCCTAATCTGACCAAACCATGTTGGAAAAGTGTATAAGAAGGTCTTCTACAAAGCGATCCGATCGGATGAAAAACGTAAGTAACCATTCAGACGCACTATTTGCTTCTGAAAGGCCACTTATCAAAATCTGTCGAAAATTGTGCTCTGATCAAAATTTGTTGAACCTTTACATAATGGATAACTGGAAGACCTTGCACAAACGAACCTCATTTAATTTTGATCAGGTAGCAAAATGGTGGCAATGGTAAAACATAGCTACATTGGTAACTCTATGATTTTTTTTTTATTTCGTCTTCTTCACTGAAAATCTAATTTAATCAAACTTCACAGGAATAATATAATAAAGATTGTCTACAAATGATCCTTATTTGGTTTCTGATTGGATGCAAAACACATGACCTTTTGAGATAGTCTTTGATTCCGATCTCATTTATAAGCGACAAGAAGCATTTTAGCAACACTGAAGTGGCAAGAAGCGACAAGAAGCTAGACAAATTTAGCAACAAGAAGACAATCTAGCGACAAGAAAGAGTATATATTATTTTAACACATACATTTGTTTTACTGGCATTTTAGATAATTTTAATCTTTATCTTATAAAAATTTAGAAAATCACTTTAATGCACATATAACAAAAAAGCACTTTAATGCTTGACTGTAATACATGTTTCTATATTTATCAATTGGAAACAATAAAAAGGTATTTTTCTTGTTGCTTCTTCACGCTAAATTAGTCAATAATGTAAATTCTTCTCTTCTGGACCAAGAAGGTTTAGCAACCTTGCTGGATTTATAATTTTGAGACCCTCTACAAAGATCATTGTCTAATGTTGATTTGGTGGCAAACTAAGAAATAGTGGTGGTTCATAATTACTGTTGAAATCCTATAGGAAATATCATTTCCTCTTCTCAATAACTACTTGGCTTATAACCAAACTTTAGATTTCAATGAACGTATAACTTGCAAGCCGGGGATTTCATTACCACAAATTACTTAAAATTTTGACTGATTTTTTTCATAAATACAAAGATTTGGTTTGGAAGTTTGGTGGTACCTGTAGAACTCTTATTACAATTAAATTATGTCGGTTTTAAAAGCTGTAAAGAGCTTGTGTTTTACTGTATGCTTTTTGTCGACTTTAAATGAATTTTATTTGATCTTATTTGATAAGGCGACAGTAGTTCACCGATTTTCAAGTCTCGTAAATCAATAAGAAATAGACAAATCAAGGTATCAAACAGAAACTGGGGGAATCCAAAAGGAACGAGACAGGGTGTGTCGACAGGGTAGGCGTCTCTTGCCATGCATGCATCACCCGCCATGCGAAATCACTTAGTAAAAATGTCACTATCGGTAAAATTACAGATCAGACGAGTATATTGGTATTTTAAGAAATAAGACCACGAAAACATGTCGCTAGTGAGTTGAGATACCAACGCATCGTATAATCGGTCAATCAATTCGTGATGGTGACCGTAAAACTTGTGTAGTGTCGGTTTCAGTCATTCTTCCTCATAAATCTGTTGGAGCAGTTTTTGTGCAAGGTGCACACACCTGTTAAGTCCGCATAGTGTGAACATTCACGAGCGTAGCGTATTAACTAAGATATATATATATAAAGGCACTAGCTACGATTACATGCAAAAAGACATACGTCATTATTGTTAATTCCGAGACTAATTGTCGAAAGTATTTCCAGACATGGACCCGATTTCATACGGAAATTGCAGGTAACAATAACCAGATAACATCATTTTTTATAGCTAACTGTAGTTATTGTTGCCCGCAAAATATATTCCGATAGGCACTGGTCTAACAAATGTTTGATTTGCGACAATTCGTGAACAAAGATGTGTTGACCAATATTACGTCCACTTTTGCCACAGGGGGTCGATTAAAACAGAGACATATATTGTATTATATGTCTCTGATTAAAACAACTCATTATTTATAAGTATAGATACAAATGAACAAGATGTCCAATTTGTGGACAGTGAAAAGTTTATATCTTTTCAAGATTTTAATGATAAACTCCAACGGTTCCAAGATGCATATTTTGTGCAGTTATATAGTAGTAAATATGTACTACATTGTATAATTTATTATAACTTATGGTCCTAAATCCTGTCGATACTATGTACTTAAATATTGGTATTGCACAAGGTTATGCTTTCTCAGATTGTTTATAACATCTTTACACTAGATGTGTTGGATGTGTACAAATTGATACTTTAGTCTGGGAGAAAATCATTTATACATTTGTTGTAATTGGCTTTGAACAAGTTTTCAGAAGAAGTGATTACTCTTAGATCTGTATCTTGTGTCTTTCGTTTACATGTTATTTGTTATTTGTGCTTCATGCCAATCTGACGAGTCCAGCCATTTCCAATGATTTTAACAGTTTGTTTTTGTGTTGTGCTGTTACACCACTGTCCAAGGTAAGAGGGAGAATTGAGCAATCACAAACATGTTACCTGAATAGCTTTCTTTATGTGCCTGTTCCAAATCAGGAGCCTGTAATTCAGTCGTTGTTGTTTGTTGCTGTCCTTTTTTTTCGTTTATTGTTTTTTAGTTGAATTGTTCATGTTATGGTATGGGTTTTGCTCATTGTAAAAGGATGTATGGTGACCTATTTTTTTTACACCATTTGGACTTTGGTGGATAGTTGCACAAGTGGATAGTTGTCTCATTGACAATCATATCACATCTCCCTATTTTTATACTGACAAAATTTTATTAGAAAGTTCCTCTTTAAACCTCTACATTTGATTCCATTTGGATGGAAAATATTGGTACAAAGGCATTCTACCAAGTTTTTTTTTTTTTAACAAATGAGAGCATTTGCCTAGTTCTGATTTTTTGGCTAATGTAGACTATCTTCAGAAAAAATTTGGCAAATTAACATAAGAGCACAAGCCTTGTCCAAAATAAGTTTGTGCCAGTGAATGAATAAACCCAAACAACACAAACTGTGTAAATCTTTTTTTCGGCGACAGTTGTGTTGAATGATATTTTTAAGTATTTGCCGGATTATTGACAACTGATATTATCACATTGCAAAAAATAAGGATTGTTTGATTGTTGCTTGTTATACATCCAGTTTATGAAGGTGTTGCTAAAAAGTGTTGTCATTTCCCTCATTAAAAACACAATTATAAATTCCATTATTTTTCCTAAATGAGACCTTGCATAAAAATGTGCTCAGTTAAGGAGTTAACTTTTTTTTACCGTACTGAAAATGCAACACCTGAAATTACAATCACAATGTCCAAATTTCAAAATTGACTGTCTCATTTCCAAAATGGCCTTGAAAATTTGTTTTTTGACTGAAGGAAATGGGTACTTTAGAAAACATTTATTATTTCTGTCATTTTTCTGAAGAATCTTTTTAATCCCCATGAAGTGGTAGACAAATGATTTTTGAATTCATTGAAATTAATAGAATGAAGACTTTGAGGTAAAATTGTAATTGCAAAAACTTGAAAATAAAATAACAAGAATATGTTCAGAAAGATGGCATTATATTTACAAAATATGATGTCAGTTTTGCCCTTGGTGAAAATGTTAAAACATTACTTCAAATGGAAGTTGTCCTGAAGTTTTTGTTGATGAGTTTATAATTAAATATATTTGCAGCAAATACTCCGACATCTAGTGATTAAAAACTGGTATATATTTTCCATCCACTGCAAGTACAACTAGCATGGGTTATCATTGACTGGAATTCAGGTTGTGTCAAATGACATTGGTTGCTTTTGTTCCAGGATTTGTTTTCAGTCATAGGTGATACAAGTACATAGTAATATTGTCATTTAAATTAATAAAAGATAAAGAAATGTACATAAATATTTTATTTCCAAGATCTTTATGGCAATATTTGTCTATAATACAGGCAAAATGGTCTGAACATTCATATACAACTCGGACATGAAACAAATTACATTTTCATAAATTCACTGCACTTAACTCAAATAATCACTTAACAGCAAAGAAGAAAGCTGTCTTAAAAACATATATACTAATACCATATATATGTACTTTTATTAAAAGAAAATATTTACAATTTTATCACATAACAATCTAAAAAATTCTTTAAATTATTAACAAATCTAAAAACTATTGAAGTCACATTAGATAGCATTATGTTTATATCATGTGATTGGGTAGACTCATATCCCATAAAACATTCTTAAATAAGAAATGGCTACATTTCACCCATTATAACTCCAGAATTAAATTTATATTTACATACTATAGCTATAAACCTGTTCATTCAAAACCTATTTTATGAACAGTTCATAATACATGTATAATATATATAATATAATTTGAGAATGACCAATCAGACTTTTGTGGTAAGATTGTCAATGAAAAGACTAGTTCAATTGTTATAACTGAAAAAAAACCTAAGATCAACCAAAATGTATGATTTGGAACATTTCCTCTTGTTTTTCTGTATGCACATTTTCAGATTACAATTACAACTATAACAGTATAAATTATTTTCCATTATAATGCAAAAATACCACATACCCCGGTAAAGTTCAGAGATTACAAATATCTGTAAACTTCTCTAAGTGGTGGATGGAAAAAGAACTGTTGCATGTTCAGATTAGAAATAGTAGTATTCCCCAAAAATAAATATCTTTTGTTTTTCAGGGTATTAATGATATTTTATAAATCAAATATGGTTGCTAAATAAAGATACAATTGCTCTTACTATCTTATATCTTTGCTTGAAATTTACCCACCCTTAATTTAATCACAGTATACTTTAGAAAAAAAAACATATTTTCACAAATGACAGTTTACAATTCCATCAACAATTATACTGAGACAACTCATATCCTAGCTTTTGATGATAAACTTGGAAAATATACATGTGGTACATTTCTTTGTTATACAAATGCTTCATGGAAATAATGCCCTATAAAAATAAATTTTTCATTATGCTTGCTAAATCTATCGATATGTTGTTTTTTTATCGAGGATATGAATGCAAAGCATGAAATGCCACCAAATAATAAAAAACTGGTAGTTATCAAAAAGTGACTAAAGGGCACTTTTACAAACAAAACCATACACAAGTTAATGAATTGTTATGCAATCAGTTTTAATTTTCATATACAGGTAATTATACATTTGCTAATTATGAAAATCAAAACAGCTTACTTGAATTGACTTTACAAAGATTTACCCTACTGAATTTAAAAACTAGGTATTTTTTTAAAATAGCTTTTAATCAAATCAAAATATTATCAACCACTTGCAACAACATTGGTTAACACATGTATGGTTTTGGTTTTGATTCAAATTTGAACACTAATTAGGTCCAAAAGAAGCAATATGAAATAATTAGCCATTCTGAATATTTATTTAGCTAAAAGAAAAGTATCAACTGACTACCAAAGAAGAGATTTGGAGAATGTTCTATTAACACAGTATAAGTCATAAAGGAAATGTCTTCAGTTGCTTGTTATCAATCAACACCATCTTAACTTCAAATTAATGTCTTCTTTCAAACAATCTTCACCAACATCAGTATATTAACCTTTAAAAAAACATGAATGATTAAGTGCAGACCTAAACAAGAATTATGTGAGACCTGAGCTAAATATACATACTGCAACAATACCACATTTAATTAATATGATATGCATCCATCAATAAGGATAAGTTTCCAAAATTTACAATGCAAGGTTTGATCAGAAATAAAATTTGAAAATTGAATGATCTAATGATCTACTGCAGAGTTTTCAATGGGAATGGAATTCAAGAAAGTTATTTCATTTCTTACCAACTGAAATATTTTAATTGACACAAATTAATGTTCAGTGTTATACATGTATATAAACAGTCTTGTCACATGCTTAAATTATAATAGGAATGCAGAAAATGCCATTGATTTCCTTTGACTAGCCACTTGTTTAACTAATATTAATTTTTACAGCCAATTGTTGGTGAAGAACACAGAGTATATACTAATTCAACTTTGGTAGTAAACTGGTTTAAAAATACAAAATTTGCATAAGAATTAGAAAAGACACTATCTGAGTCCTGTTGCGTGGGTTTGAAGTCATAATAATATTTTCACTTTTAAAAATATACATATTACAGCTGAAACCATTTATCCCTCATTAGTTTTCTTGTAAATGATCAATAATTTCTTAATTGTTAGCTTGTACAAATTTTTGTCAACTATTGAAATCAAAGTAGTTCAAATGAAAAAAAGCTTAATTCAAGATACATTACTTTAGAATTTCCATCTGGGCAATTTAAATTTCAACAGCTATCATTTTTTTTAATTGATTAACTCAAGAAAACAGGTTAGAAGATGAATTGTTTCAGTTGTCAAATTTTAAGTTGAACTGCAATTTATCTCATTTAAAAACAACTATCATGCAAACAATGAATACAATGTAAGATTCTGCATGGATGAAAATATCAAATGTTCCTCTGTGATTGTAGCTATAAGAACAAATCATGTTATATTTTATGTGGAAAACAAATTAACATCACAAAATCAGAAAAAAATGTTCTATACAATTTTTGTTTATTATTTTAAACTAAACAGATGGCATTGATCTACCCATTAGCATTTAGATACAACACTGAGAACCCAAAATTGTTGTACTTAAAGTTATTAAATGTTTTTCTACTCCAAATCATATAACATTGCCATTTCAGCTAATAACTTTATGTAATATATTCTGCTTGATAAGATTGTACTTTTCACTACCAAGAAAATATCTGAAATTCTTGCATATGCAATTTAAATGTAATTTTAAATCACAGTTGGAAATAATTATCCAGTATTATTTGACAAATGACTTGAGGCAGCTAGTAAAACAGCACTTGTCAACAAGATATGATATTTATAATAAAATCTATACATAGGGAAGTAATCAACAGAAACCATTAAATGAACAAGCTATAATTGCCTCAATCAGAAACAAATTTACAGACCAATTTTTATAAATTTCCAATATCATATTCCATAAAAGTTAGCAACAGAATATTTTAATACTGCACTAATTAATGGAGGAGTTGGTGAATATGTACATACACATATACAAGTCAGATTATTTGGGTTAGGGTATTAAAATGTGTGTGAGGCATGTTAATGCCAAATTATTAAGCTCAGTATACTAGAATTAAGTACCTAGTGATCACTAATACCCCAGCTTACAGAAAAATTCTTTAACCGTAAATGCCAAAGCCAAAATACTAATTGAATTTGATTTGTATTTTATGTTTCATAACTATGTATTTAAATCTAAAAAGATCCTATCAAATGGTACTTTTATAATCACCTGAAAATAAAATCTAAGGTAAATAGGGGGGTAGGGGGGAATAACTATTATTGTCAAAATCAAAATATTTTTTTTTTAACATTATTTTACCATATAACATCATTTGGCAAAATATGGGATTTTTTCCAAAAAAAAAATTTGTAACAAAATTGGGATAATTTTTTTGCAAAATTACCAAAAAAATTTGTAACAATTTAGGATATTTTGCCATATAAGTTTTTTCTGCAAAATTTAGTTTTTTTTTATCAAGAATAACAATTATCACATAAAGAACTTAATAAATAAAAATGAACTTTAGCTAAATGAGTACTATGATTAATGTATTTATCAAAGTTGTACAAAAATTCGAACATGTAAAAGTGTTGTTTGTATGTTTGATTATTTATAGTTAAGGTCGGCTCGATTGGGGTATTGAGTTTCATACACGAGTGAATTTAGGTGGTTTAAAGTCATTCGAGCCATTTCAAGTCAAAGTTAACAGTAGCAATTTGCCAATAAAATAATATAATAATTTATATTCTTTATTTTCAGATTTGTTGACCACTAGTATGCGGCACTCAGTACCAGCTGCTAAATTTAGGTGTATTTACATGCTTTATATATTATATTACTATACGAATATGAATAATAAAATGTGTCTCCCATGTGAGAGTTTGTGGTTATTTGATAAATTTTTTATGTTCGTTTGAGTTTACGAATTAGAATATAACACAATTTAGTGTCAATAAACCTTACACTTTTACTCAGTCAGTTTGGTCCTGGAATTACAATGATTTGTCCTGTATTTTGACACAATAAATGGCATTTAGCCAAAATTATCAACTCCATTTGTATGAATGGAAAAAACTGACCAGTAAGTTCTCAAGGATAAATATCTATTTTGAAGGCCATCCTCAAGCAAATGTATGCTATGGTCCATTACATGGTGTTAAAATTTCAAAAGATTCGATAAAGTGGTAATTTAATTATCATCTGGAAACTTTACTTATGATGGACATGTACATCATTATATAGTATAAAAATCGTTAAAAAAAAACTGTAAAAGGCATGCAGCTCTGTGATTTCATAAAAGACTTTTTTTACATGGTTTCCCTCTTGAAATAATTAAATTACAGCATGTTTTGTTACCCCTTAATATTCTCAAAGGTTATAACAGAACATCATTTTTTGTGGTTTAAAAAAAAATCCTATATTTCACCAATGTAAATTTAATGTAAAGAGAAAATAATTTACCATTACACTAGGCATAATATGTAGGAGAAACTAATAGATCTGTCAGTATAACTAGCTGATCATCTGTAAACATCTGTTTATGATCATGCCAGTTATCATGGTGGGTTCGTCTAAAATTTGATAATGTCTTCTTCACTGTCATCTGAAAAAATAAAATATCGTTTTTGTAAAAGAAATATTGTTTCAATATTCATTACAGTATGAAATTTGCAATGACAGCTTTGAATATGCATGTTAGATAGGATATGAACTACTTAAAGTTACTTTGCAAGTTAGTGTTCAATTGATTCAATGCCTAATATAATTTGCTGATGTACTGTTGTCAACATTTAGCAAAAGTTCTGCGGTACCCAGGGACTATCTTAAATTGCAGTGAGGTGAACAAAATTAGCTGTTATTTTGTCAGAAGTGTGTAGGAATTTTGTGTCCTAAAACTACATAAACTGTCCATGGTTTTCCTTTAAATAAAAGAAACCTTGGAAAAACTATTTATTGTAAAGAGAAAATTAGACTAAACTTGAGATCATTTTAAAATTATCCTCCTTCCATTCTATATTTCATGCATTTGATAATTTCCCTTTAATTAGCTTTAGGATGGCCTAATCCAAACTGAGTCCTAACAAAACATGAAAAGGACTCTACAATCAGAATATTTGGAAATGAAAAGTGATTTCCTTTCCTTCAGATATACAGGAAAACAGAGTTCAAAGAAAAATCTATCCAAACAATATTCTTCAGGTCAGTTAAATATGAAAGTTATTCAACAGTGTCACATGATCTAAGAAATTACCTGTATAGGCTGAGGGTCATCTACATGGTTGCTAAGGTCCATTAATATCTGTGGCATGAATTCTGGTACATCATATGGATAAGCTTGTACAAAAGCACTTAGTCCTAACACTCCAGCATGACGTTTTATCAAAGCGTCTAAGGTTATATTTTCTGTAACTCTTCTTTTCTTCAACTTGATCCGAGTCAGTCTTTCAAAATGATCCTGTTGGTAAAAAGAAGCATAACTATGTATACATCCATTTGAAGAAAAAAATATTTTGGTTTAGGGATTGAATAATTAAAATGCTTCCGTATAAACTAATATTTTGGACTAGGGCATCTTGGGCTTCTAACAAAAATCTTTTTATCTGGGCATTAAGCATATACTGTAAATTCAGAAATTATTGCGAGGTTTTTATTAATGCGAATAGTGCGACTGGGTCAGTATCGCAATAATTAGAACTCGCATTCTGATATCTGATATATGCATCTGTATGCAAATTTCCTGAAATCGCAATAATTAATCTCGCATTACTGTCCATTCTTCATAAATCGCAATAATAAATGCACACAATAATTTCTGAATTTACAGTATTGCTGCTTCTAATTCTACAACATTTGCAGTAATTGCTTATTTGTTTATCAAATTAATCATTATTGTGTCATACTGTACATAAACAATTATTGGCTTTTTAAATTTGACAAAGTAAGGTTGACAAACAATTTATAAGATGAAGAAAGAATGTTTAATCATAGGTTATCCTTTGTCATACTGGTTGAAGTCTCCAGACATTTTTTTTCAGAAAAAAGGGAAGGCAGTTTATAACCTAAAACTTAGGAGACCTGAAAACTTTAAAACAGTGATTTTTTTATAAACAAATACTTAATTAAGAGCAAGCAGCACACATTCCTCTAATGAATTCATAAAAAATTACCAAAACAGTATTTGTCTTGAAAATAGTAACATCTCTGATAGTCTGAATCCATTCACAATTTTAGGAAACCTTAATTTGAAGGAAATTAGGCTAAGGTTTAAATGAAAGTTTTTTATTCTTTTAACTGTTCATAATGTTCTACATACCACCATTTGTTTGTTCATTTGAAGATATCCACAATGTAATAATCCACTGAGAGTTACTGCTGCCATCTCCCGTACCTGTAAAAACAACACATACGTTTTTATTACTAGTAAATTATTAGGAACAAACATAAAACAAAATGTAGAGTCTGAGAGAAGGATTCTGAAAAGAATTTTGTTTACAAGTTACTGGGTAGGTTAGGTAAAATTACATGAATTCATCAATGATTCTGTTACGATTTTGACAATGTTTTAACAAATATTTTCATATAATTTTTAGAGGCATTAGCTACGAGATATGAAAATAAAATGCTTCGCTGGGGCGCAGCTTGATACGACCGCAGAGGTCGAACCCTGAACAGTTGGGGCAAGTATGGACACAACATTCAAGCTTGATACAGCTCTGAATTTGGATTGTTATTAAATATTTGACACAGCATAGGTTTCTGACACAGAAAGAATGTGGTCTAAGAACTTGAATTTTTTTAATTTACCTATTATGGTCCAATGTCCAAAATCAAAATACATGGTTAGATTCAACATATCAAAGAACCCCATATATTCAATTTTTGTTAAAATCAAACAAAGTTTAATTTTGGACCCCAACTTGGACAAACTTGAAAACTGGGCCCATAATCAAAAATCTAAACACATGTTTAGATTCAGCATATCAAAGAACCCCAAGAATTCAATTTTTGCTAAAATCAAACTAAATTTAATTTTGGACCCTTTGGACCTTAATGTAGACCAATTTAAAAAACGGGACTTAAAATTAAAAATCTAAATACACGGTTAGATTTGGAATATTAAAGAACCCCAATAATTCAATTTTTGATGAAATCAAACAAAGTTTAATTTTGGACCCTTTTGACCTCAATATGAAGCAATTTGATAGCGGGGCCCACAAATAAAAAATCTAAATTCATGGTTAGATTCAGCATATCAAAGAACCCCATATATTCAATTTTTGTTGAAATCAAAAAAAGTTTAATTTTGGACCCCAACTTGGACCAACTTGAAAACTGGGCCCATAATCAAAAATCTAAACACATGTTTAGATTCAGCATATCAAAGAACCCCAAGAATTCAATTTTTGTTAAAATCAAACTAAGTTTAATTTTGGACCCTTTGGACCTCAATGAAGACTAATTTAAAAAACGGGACCCAAATTAAAAATACGGTTAGATTTGGCATATCAAAGAACCCCAATAATTCAATTTTCGATGAAATCAAACAAAGTTTAATTTTGGACCCTTTTGACCTCAATATGAACCAATTTAATAGCGGGGCCTACAAATAAAGAATCTAAATACATGGTTAGATTCAGCATATCAAAGAACCTCATATATTCAATTTTTGTTGAAATCAAACAAAGTTTAATTTTGGACCCCAATTTGGACCAACTTGAAAACTGGGCCCATAATCAAAAATCTAAATACATGTTTAGATTCAGCATATCAAAGAACCCCATATATTCAATTTTTGTTGAAATCAAACAAAGTTTAAATACTGGACCCTATCTTGGACCAACTTGAAAACTGGGCCCATAATCAAAAATCTAAACACATGTTTAGATTCAGCAAATCAAAGAACCCCAAGAATTCAATTTTTGTCAAAATCAAACTAGGTTTAATTTTGGACCCTTTTGACCTCAATATGAACCAATTTAATAGCGGGGCCTACAAATAAAAAATCTAAATACATGGTTAGATTCAGCATATCAAAGAACCTCATATATCAATTTTTGTTGAAATTAAACAAAGTTTAATTTTGGACCCCAATTTGGACCAACTTGAAAACTGGGCCCATAATCAAAAATCTAAATACATGTTTAGATTCAGCATATCAAAGAACCCCATATATTCAATTTTTGTTGAAATCAAACAAAGTTTAAATACTGGACCCTATCTTGGACCAACTTGAAAACTGGGCCCATAATCAATAAAATGCTTCGCTGGGGCGCAGCTTGATACGACCGCAGAGGTCGAACCCTGAACAGTTGGGGCAAGTATGGACACAACATTCAAGCTTGATACAGCTCAGAATTTGGATTGTTATTAAATATTTGACACAGCATAGGTTTCTGACACAGAAAGAATGTGGTCTAAGAACTTGAATTTTTTTAATTTACCTATTATGGTCCAATGTCCAAAATCAAAATACATGGTTAGATTCAGCATATCAAAGAACCCCATATATTCAATTTTTGTTAAAATCAAACAAAGTTTAATTTTGGACCCCAACTTGGACAAACTTGAAAACTGGGCCCATAATCAAAAATCTAAACACATGTTTAGATTCAGCATATCAAAGAACCCCAAGAATTCAATTTTTGCTAAAATCAAACTAAGTTTAATTTTGGACCCTTTGGACCTTAATGTAGACCAATTTAAAAAACGGGACTTAAAATTAAAAATCTAAATATACGGTTGGATTTGGAATATCAAAGAACCCCAATAATTCAATTTTTGATGAAATCAAACAAAGTTTAATTTTGGACCCTTTTGACCTCAATATCAACCAATTTGATAGCGGGGCCCACAAATAAAAAATCTAAATTCATGGTTAGATTCAGCATAACAAAGAACCCCATATATTCAATTTTTGTTGAAATCAAAAAAAGTATAATTTTGGACCCCAACTTGAAAACTGGGCCCATAATCAAAAATCTAAACACATGTTTAGATTCAGCATATCAAAGAACCCCAAGAATTCAATTTTTGTTAAAATCAAACTAAGTTTAATTTTGGACCCTTTGGACCTCAATGAAGACCAATTTAAAAAACGGGACCCAAATTAAAAATCTAAAAACACGGTTAGATTTGGCATATCAAAGAACCCCAATAATTCAATTTTCGATGAAATCAAACAAAGTTTAATTTTGGACCCTTTTGACCTCAATATGAACCAATTTGATAGCGGGGCCTACAAATAAAAAATCTAAATACATGGTTAGATTCAGCATATCAAAGAACCTCATATATTCAGTTTTTGTTGAAATCAAACAAAGTTTAATTTTGGACCCCAATTTGGACCAACTTGAAAACTGGGCCCATAATCAAAAATCTAAATACATGTTTAGATTCAGCATATCAAAGAACCCCATATATTCAATTTTTGTTGAAATCAAACAAAGTTTAAATACTGGACCCTATCTTGGACCAACTTGAAAACTGGGCCCATAATCAAAAATCTAAACACATGTTTAGATTCAGCAAATCAAAGAACCCCAAGAATTCAATTTTTGTTAAAATCAAACTAAGTTTAATTTGGACCCTTTGGACCTCAATGTAGACCAATTTAAAAAACAGGACCCAAAATTAAAAACCTAAATACACGGTTAGATTTGGAATATCAAAGTACCCCAATAATTCAATTTTAGATGAAATCAAACAAAGTTTAATTTTGGACCCTTTTGACCTCAATATGAACCAATTAGATAACGGGGTCCACAAATAAAAAATCTAAATACATGGTTAGATTCAGCATATCAAAGAACCTCATATATTCAATTTTTGCTAAAATCAAACAAAGTTTAATTTTGGACCCTTTGGACATTAATGTAGACCAATTTGAAAACTGGACCCAAAATTAAAAATCTAAATACACTGTTAGATTCGGCATAACAAATAAATAAATGTGATCAAAGATTTTACAAATCTAATGCGCCATACTGTGCAATTAAAGATTACTTCTTGAAATTTTTCAATATTTGAAATTTGAAAAAAAAATAATATTTGAAGAATAATTCTTTTTAATTTCTGAAATCTGAAATGAGAAAAAATTGGCCCCCCACAATTTCTTTTTATCCCCCCCCCCTCTTTTTCCCCCAAAAAAATTCTTTCCCTCTAGATATGGTCATAATCTCAATTCAAATTTCCAATGGAGTTGGCAACCATAATTACCCATTTAAATTTACCATAGTGCTAACTTAATCTATTTTATAATACAATTAATAAAAATATAGTGTCAAATCTTTCATATGGATTTTTTTGTAAAAAAAAAAGATGAAAACATTTGCAGATATTTTTACTGGTCTTCCTTTATAAATATGCATTTCTTTAAACATAATTTAAAAGCAGTGTAAGGGAAGTAACCAAAACGTTGTATTTGGATTACCTCCCTTACACTGTTTTAGATTATCTTTATTGTTCTTTAACCATTACTTTATACATAATTTAAAAGCAGTGTAAGGGAGATAATTTCAATGATGTATTTGATTTATCTCCCTTACACTGCTTTAAATTATGTTTTGTACTAAAGTATTTGTCCATTAACCAGGACAACCTTGTTTTTCCCCCTTTTTTGCCCCTAATTCCTAAACGATTTGAGCCATAACCCCCCAAAGCAAATCCTAACCATCCCTTTGTGGTATGGAAACTTGTAGTATAATTTCAGAGAGATCCATACACCGTTCCACAGTTATTGTCTGGAAACTAGAAAATGCTCATTTTTGGCCCCTTTTTGGCCCCTAATTCCTTAACTGTTGGTACCATAACCCCCAAAATCAATCCCAACCTTCCTTTTGTGGTATTTAACCTTATGGTCAAATTTCAAAAAGATCCATTCACTTAAACTAAAGTTAGAGTGCGAAAACCAATATGTATTCGGACGACGACGCCGGACGACGACGCCGGACGACGACGACGACGCCAACATCATACCAATATACGACCACAAAATTTTTTTGCGGTCGTATAAAAATTAGAATATGATTTAGTTTGGTTCAATTATTAATAAAAGTGAAATAGTGAAATGATAATTCGCTTTTAGCAGCCAATTTGGTCCAATTTTGTCAAAATAAGAAAAGAAACATCGCTGATGAATTATTCACTTGCCAGTGAATAATTCAACCTCATTGAATACGTATTCATGTGACCTTCAATTTAACCCATTAGCTAGAGATCGGTTACGCATGTTTTAGTCGTGTTTAGCTATGAAAAGGAAAAGAATGTCAACATTGAAAGTGAAACAAAGGTGAACCATTTCAATGACTGATTCGATCCACAAAAAATAATTCTTATACAGGTAAAAACAATAATTAACTTATTTTTTAAACCTATAACATGAAATCAAACAGACATAGAAAAATCTAATTGCACGAGATTGCTACCTATTTATATTTATGTTTATATCGAGTTATATGACCATCGGCAGTCTTCGGAGGTCATCTTGATAGTTAATTAGATGGCATCTAGACTAAAATACACACAAAATTCTGATAAATATTATCGAGTACTTGCATTGTTAACTGTTCATTTCAGACTTATTGTAATTTGGATTATAAGTTTTAGTATGTTATAAATCAAATATGAGAATTTGAGTCAAATCGGTGAACATGATTTTGACAGCTAATGCCCCTTTAATGTCATATTCTCTTCTGTCATATAGAAGAACAAACAACATTCTGCAGTGGAAAGAAAAGCAAGGAAAGAGGCCAAATATTGTGAGAATTATAATTTCTTTGTGATGACATACTTATGATGTCTTAAAACAAAACAAAATTTCATATGGGAGCTGTAATGTTTTTTTTGTACTTTTCATCTCATGAGCCCATGATAAGTTTATATTTTATAAGTTCAAATGTTTTAAGATTATGGGGATTTTTAGTAAATCTAGGCCTGGTTATCTAGTTTCACAGACTGAGTAAGCTTGGTTCATTTAAAGTCAATTCCTTAACATTTTATTGATTTCTCATACCTCTAACTGTTCATCACATATAAGATGGAAGACAATATCCTGTATGTCCTCAATGATGGATGGTTGGTGAACTGTGAAGAAGTTGTTAAATGTCATAACTTGTAGGTAACCCAGTAAAGCTACTCTTGCATGCCATGACTTCAAACCAATTATCTGCAGAGAAAAATAAAAATGTTTTAATCAAAGAAAACTAATTATCATTCTATAGTTTTAAGTTATTAGTTTCATTAAGTATTGAACCAAGAGGGACAAACAGCTTATTAATCCATTTTATCTAAACAATTGGAGCCAAAGTGTGGAAAGATTTTCAAAATGGTAACCAACAACTTATGGTGCCTTGGGAGTTGAAATTTGTATGGGAAATTGCATTGTCTAGCTATATAAAATTCATTTCCAAGGCACCATTATTCTGGTAAAAAAAATTGATCAGCACTGATTATTTAACTCATCATAGACATTGCTGATATACACCTTCGATACAAATTTCATTACAATCCTACAAGAAATGTAGGATTGAGAGTGCTAACAAGGCAATTTTCAAAATAATTCATATTTCAAATAGGCACTGATTTTCAAACTTGTCACAAATGTTGCTGATATGAACCTTTGATATAATATTCATTAAAATTTAGCAAAAACTGTACATGTGAGATCACTTAAGACGAACACATGGATAGACATACACCTGGTATTTCTGTTTCCCTGCACTACTTTGTGCGACAGACAAAATAAAAAGATTAATAAAACATCACAAGCTAAGACAAAAATTTTAACTTACCTCTCTGTCTTGCACTTACATCTACAGATAATGACTTTTGGTCACTTACCTCTGTTTTGCATTTACATCTACAGATAATGACTTCTAATCAAAACAGGATATTTGACAAGGATGAAAAAATATCAAAAGAATATAAGAGACTAACCTCTCTCATGGTACTTATAGCTACAGGAATGACTTCAGGTTGGATAAGAGCTTGTGAGAAGCAGGCAAGACTTAGAGAACATGATGACTTCATTTCTTCATCTTTACTTTCACTTTGTAATGTGCACATCTGCAAAAGTAAATTGTGATAAAAAATAACATATCATAATTAAGTCATAACTTACTCTGTTGTTTACAGTAAATACACAATAACTCTGCTTTGCTGCAAAGACATTCTTTTAAACGAGAATCTCACCTGAATCACTCATCTGGCAAAAAGTATGCCATTTTTATTCTTACCGTAATTGCAATAAGGTTTTTTTGCTTATTTGTAAATCTTTGTAGGAGAATTTTTGTAGAACTTGTATAGATGATCATTTTTATTGTTTACAGTTTATACAAAAATCATTAAAATTTATTAGTTACAAAACCATCATTTAATGGCAATACATTTTATTAGGAGTGTGACAATTTGGCCATGTTGACTTATCAGTAGATCTTATTTTGTTAATCTTTTTTGCCTGTTCAAGTTTCTCTCTGCCTACTATAGTTTTTGACAAAATGCCAAAAATGGGTAAATATCGCCATTCAGGGGAAATGAATTCTACAAGAAGACAGTTGACAATCTAGGCCATTACAACTGACTTGAAGATCTTATTGTGCTGAACATTTTTGCATTTTACTGTTTCTCTCTTGCTATTATGATTACTGCAAAAAACAAAAATAAAATGCTTCGCTGGGGCGCAGCTTGATACGACCGCAGAGGACGAACCCTGAACAGTTGGGGCAAGTATGGACACAACATTCAAGCTTGATACAGCTCTGAATTTGGATTGTTATTAAATATTTGACACAGCATAGGTTTCTGACACAGAAAGAATGTGGTCTAAGAACTTGAATTTTTTTAATTTACCTATTATGGTCCAATGTCCAAAATCAAAATACATGGTTAGATTCAGCATATCAAAGAACACCATATATTCAATTTTTGTTAAAATCAAACAAAGTTTAATTTTGGACCCCAACTTGGACAAACTTGAAAACTGGGCCCATAATCAAAAATCTAAACACATGTTTAGATTCAGCATATCAAAGAACCCCAAGAATTCAATTTTTGCTAAAATCAAACTAAGTTTCATTTTGGACCCTTTGGACCTTAATGTAGACCAATTTAAAAAACGGGACTTAAAATTAAAAATCTAAATACACGGTTAGATTTGGAATATCAAAGAACCCCATATATTCAATTTTTGTTGAAATCAAACAAAGTTTAATTTTGGACCCCAATTTGGACCAACTTGAAAACTGGGCCAAAAATCAAAAATCTAAATACATGTTTAGATTCAGCATATCAAAGAACCTCATATATTCAATTTTTGCTAAAATCAAACAAAGTTTAATTTTGGACCCTTTGGACATTAATGTAGACCAATTTGAAAACTGGACCCAAAATTAAAAATCTAAATACACTGTTAGATTCGGCATAACAAATAAATAAATGTGATCAAAGATTTTACAAATCTAATGCGCCATACTGTGCAATTAAAGATTACTTCTTGAAATTTTTCAATATTTGAAATTTGAAAAAAAAATAATATTTGAAGAATAATTCTTTTTAATTTCTGAAATCTGAAATGAGAAAAAATTGGCCCCCCACGATTTCTTTTTATCCCCCCCCCCCCTTTTTCCCCCAAAAAAATTCTTTCCCTCAAGATATGGTCATAATCTCAATTCAAATTTCCAATGGAGTTGGCAACCATAATTACCCATTTAAATTTACCATAGTGCTAACTTAATCTATTTTATAATAGAATTAATAAAAATATAGTGTCAAATCTTTCATATGGATTTTTTTGTAAAAAAAAAAGATGAAAACATTTGCAGATATTTTTACTGGTCTTCCTTTATAAATATGCATTTCTTTAAACATAATTTAAAAGCAGAGTAAGGGAAGTAACCAAAACGTTGTATTTGGATTACCTCCCTTACACTGTTTTAGATTATCTTTATTGTTCATTAACCATTACTTTATACATAATTTAAAAGCAGTGTAAGGGAGATAATTTCAATGATGTATTTGATTTATCTCCCTTACACTGCTTTAAATTATGTTTTGTACTAAAGTATTTGTCCATTAACCAGGACAACCTTGTTTTTCCCCCTCTTTTGCCCCTAATTCCTAAACCGTTTGAGCCATAACCCCCCAAAGCAAATCCTAATCATCCCTTTGTGGTATGGAAACTTGTAGTATAATTTCAGAGAGATCCATACACCGTTCCACAGTTATTGTCTGGAAACTAGAAAATGCTCATTTTTGGCCCCTTTTTGGCCCCTAATTCCTTAACTGTTGGTACCATAACCCCCAAAATCAATCCCAACCTTCCTTTTGTGGTATTTAACCTTATGGTCAAATTTCAAAAAGATCCATTCACTTAAACTAAAGTTAGAGTGCGAAAACCAATATGTATTCGGACGACGACGCCGGACGACGACGACGACGCCAACGTCATACCAATATACGACCACAAAATTTTTTTGCGGTCGTATAAAAATGGGTAAAAATAGTCTTTCAAAAGCATAATTCATACAGGGGTCAATTGACGATTTCATCCATGTTAACTTATTTGAAGATTATATTTTGTTGTACATTTATGTAATCTAAAGATACTATATATTTACTAAAGTTTCTTAAAAAAAAAAATACAAAAAGTGTAAAAAATGAAAACAACAAATTCTGAATTTCATGTGAATGAAGCGCTTTTGCTGGATTTACCTTCATCATGCAGGAACGCTCAAAGCCGAAAATTTGAAAGCCAAGGATGTATAAAAATCATCATTTAAAGGTAATAACTCCTATAAGTAGTCATTTAACTTGTTTGTAGATCTTATTGTGCTGGTAATTTTTACTGTTTAAAATTTCATTTCATCTGTTATAGTTTTCAAGATAATAACCAAAAACTGCAAAGTTTTGCCCACAAAAAAATCACATTTCAGGGACAATAGCTCCAAAATGGCATGTCTGATTTTTCTGAAAATTCCACAGGAGACAGCTCTCGAACAGCTGATCATTTCTATTATGTCAGATTAGCTATAACTGCTATATTTTTGTTTTCGATCTAAGTAAAAAAAAAATGTATTTTATCCCTATGCTCTATTATTAGCAACAGCTGTCAAGTTTGCTGATGGATCAAATCCCCTGTCAGATATAATTTTTAAACAAGATTCCCTATTAAAGGAACATGCAGGTGATGTTCTGTAATATTTGGCCTGGTAGTTTCAGAGAAGAAGATTTAAAAAAAATTGAATAAGACAGAGGCCAAGTGATGACAAAGCAAAGGGGCAGGTGAGCTAAAAATAAAAAGAGGTAGCTGATGCAACTTTAAACAAAAATTCTCATGTTTTTTGCATATCTTACACCCACAATCACTTGTAATAATAGTGGTGAATAAAATGCTTCGCTGGGGCGCAGCTTGATACGACCGCAGAGGTCGAACCCTGAACAGTTGGGGCAAGTATGGACACAACATTCAAGCTTGATACAGCTCTGAATTTGGATTGTTATTAAATATTTGACACAGCATAGGTTTCTGACACAGAAAGAATGTGGTCTAAGAACTTGAATTTTTTTAATTTACCTATTATGGTCCAATGTCCAAAATCAAAATACATGGTTAGATTCAGCATATCAAAGAACCCCATATATTCAATTTTTGTTGAAATCAAACAAAGTTTAATTTTGGACCCCAACTTAGACAAACTTGAAAACTGGGCCCATAATCAAAAATCTAAACACATGTCTAGATTCAGCATATCAAAGAACCCCAAGAATTCAATTTTTGCTAAAATCAAACTAAGTTTAATTTTGGACCCTTTGGACCTTAATGTAGACCAATTTAAAAAACGGGACTTAAAATTAAAAATCTAAATACACGGTTAGATTTGGAATATCAAAGAACCCCAATAATTTAATTTTTGATGAAATCAAACAAAGTTTAATTTTGGACCCTTTTGACCTCAATATGAACCAATTTGATAGCGGGGCCCACAAATAAAAAAATCTAAATTCATGGTTAGATTCAGCATATCAAAGAACCTCATATATTCAATTTTTGTTGAAATCAAACAAAGTTTAATTTTGAACCCCAATTTGGACCAACTTGAAAACTGGGCCCATAATCAAAAATCTAAATACATGTTTAGATTCAGCATATCAAAGAACCCCATATATTCAATTTTTGTTGAAATCAAACAAAGTTTAAATACTGGACCCTATCTTGGACCAACTTGAAAACTGGGCCCATAATCAAAAATCTAAGCACATGTTTAGATTCAGCATATCAAAGAAACCCCAAGAATTCAATTTTTGTTAAAATCAAACTAAGTTTAATTTTGGACCCTTTGGACCTTAATGTAGACCAATTTAAAAAACAGGACCCAAAATTAAAAATCTAAATACACGGTTAGATTTGGTATATCAAAGAACCCCAATAATTCAATTTTAGATGAAATCAAACAAAGTTTAATTTTGGACCCTTTTGACCTCAATATGAACCAATTTGATAACGGGGTCCACAAATAAAAAATCTATTTACATGGTTAGATTCAGCATACCAAAGAACCCCATATATTCAATTTTTGTTGAATTCAAACAAAGTTTAATTTTGGACCCCAATTTGGACCAACTTGAAAACTGGGCCAAAAATCAAAAATCTAAATACATGTTTAGATTCAGCATATCAAAGAACCTCATATATTCAATTTTTGCTAAAATCAAACAAAGTTTAATTTTGGACCCTTTGGACCTTAATGTAGACCAATTTGAAAACTGAACCCAAAATTAAAAATCTAAATACACTGTTAGATTCGGCATAACAAATAAATAAATGTGATCAAAGATTTTACAAATCTAATGCGCCATACTGTGCAATTAAAGATTACTTCTTGAAATTTTTCAATATTTGAAATTTAAGAAAAAAAAAATATTTGAAGAATAATTCTTTTTAATTTCTGAAATCTGAAATGAGAAAAAATTGACCCCCCACAATTTCTTTTTATCCCCCCCCCCTTTTTTCCCCAAAAAAATTCTTTCCCTCAAGATATGGTCATAATCTCAATTCAAATTTCCAATGGAGTTTGCAACCATAATTACCCATTTAAATTTACCATAGTGCTAACTTAATCTATTTTATAATAGAATTAAAAATATAGTGTCAAATCTTTCATATGGATTTTTTTGTAAAAAAAAAAGATGCAACATTTGCAGATATTTTTACTGGTCTTCCTTTATAAATATGCATTTCTTTAAACATAATTTAAAAGCAGTGTAAGGGAAGTAACCAAAACGTTGTATTTGGATTACCTCCCTTACACTGTTTTAAATTATCTTTATTGTTCATTAATCATTACTTTATACATAATTTAAAAGCAGTGTAAGGGAGATAATTTCAATGATGTATTTGATTTATCTCCCTTACACTGCTTTAAATTATGTTTTGTACTAAAGTATTTTTTCCATTAACCAGGACAACCTTGTTTTTCCCCCTTTTTTGCCCCTAATTCCTAAACGGTTTGAGCCATAACCCCCCAAAGCAAATCCTAACCATCCCTTTGTGGTATTGAAACTTGTAGTATAATTTCAGAGAGATCCATACACCGTTCCACAGTTATTGTCTGGAAACTAGAAAATGCTTATTTTTGGCCCCTTTTTCCTTAACTGTTGGTACCATAACCCCCAAAATCAATCCCAACCTTCCTTTTATGGTATTTCCATTCACTTAAACTAAAGTTAGAGTGTGAAAACCAATGTGTCTTCGGACGACGACGGCGACGATGACGCCAACGTCATACCAATATACGACCACAAATTTTTTTTGCGATCGTATAAAAATGTGACTTATCCATTTTTTACCATGTTAAAGTTATCTGTTAAAAAGAAGGTAAATGTAGTCCGTCGTCATTTCATTTTGTTTAAATATGTCATTGATAGCATTGGGTAAACATTAATAAATTATCTGCCTCTCAGCTTGATAAGAAGATTTTACTTTATTCTAAATCAAACTCGTTTCATTTTCACAATCCAAACTATTAATCATACTAAATGTAAAAGAAAAAATTTCAGAAAATATTGATCTATCAATAATTCAAACGTTTATGCTAGTTCCTTGGAGTTTGAACCAACAAGTAACAAATGCACTTTCAAAGACATTTTCCTTTTCAACAGAATGAGATTTTATTTTAATTGAAGGCAGTACTTACAATAGGAAGAATAGGAAATATTTCTGGTGGTGCTGTAGTTAATGTTCTTCCTAAACTGTTAGTTAACCATTTCATTACTGTAAATAAAGGAACACAATGTACATCACTGTAAATTAAAGGAACACAATGTGTAATTAAAGGAACACAATGTGTAATTAAAGGAACACAATGTGTAATTAAAGGAACATATTGTGTAATTAAAGGAACAAAATGTACATTACTGAAAACAAAATGCTGTCAAAATGACAATAAACTAGGTTTTTATCAAATTTATTAGTGTCATTTTAAAGCAATGAAGGACCACTCCTGAACAGCAAAAGCAAAAATCATCAATATGGACACCAATCTCAATTTTCTCACCACTAGCAACATATTAAAGTTTAAATAGCATCGGTAGAACAGCTCTTATTTAGGATCCTACTGAATATTCTATGACAACAGTATCTTGACTTGATTTGTATCATTTACCATTCTTGCTTTATCATATCCAAAATGCATTTTGGTAGAAAGTACATTTTAGGCAATAATGTTCAAGGGTTTTTAATATACTTACTAGTTTTACATAATCTAATGGCTATTTTTCTTTCATCAGTTTCTTCAGTATCGACATTCATAGGCTCTTCACCATTAGTATCATCTACATGGTTTACTTTATCATCTATAAATACAAAACAACATAATTGTGTGTTGGTAATAATAAGTAATTAAATTGACAACTATGAATGATTTTTTTATCAGCAGGCAATGGGATTATTAAGATAGAACACATTTATGATTTTTTTTTTCCGTAAACCAAAAGAATTAATACATATTAAAAATAATACTGTTACATCAATTTTACTTCAGATGTTCTAAAGTAAATTCTTAAAATCAACTAAAAAGTCAACAATCATGACAATATCATAACCCCTTATGTTGCTTTTAACATACAATTATTGCAATTTCATACAGTTCTGACAATTTCATTATCATTTATTCAAAACAACGCAAGTTACAAGAGTGTTCAAATATGGTGTCAACTTTTTATGTTCAAACAACAAAGAGAGATATCGTTACAATTGTGGATTTTGATTCAAATAAAAATTGATTTTAAAATTTGCTTTGCACTGTTGAGGTGGGATCAGGTCTAAGAAATTGAAATATTTGTTGAATAAATCGTATTTTCAGCTATAACTCTTCATCTTGAACCCAAAACCGATGATCACCGGCTTAGCTTAGGCCAGTGTCACATCAAATAGTAGCTTACCTATGAAAAGTGTTTTTTAAGTTTCCTTGTTAATAAAGATGATATTGTGTATTTTTTCATGACATTAAATCCATACACATTCTAGTCAAAACTAAAAGCAAGATGGTTCTCAACCTATCACAACTGCATGGTCTAAAATATTACCCATAATTAATTTGATTCTGCAACAGCTTATAACATACCTGTTTGATTTGAATCCAATTCATCTATGACAGTAAACTTTAGACTATCTAGCTGAGGTATTACCAGATCCAGGAATGGTTTCTTCTTAGGTGAAGAAGTATCACAGAAAGAACTGACTTTATAGTCAAACAGGAACAAATCAGATATCATACTGAAAATAAACATTTAACTTATTTATATTTCATTTTTTACAACCATGGTAGAAACTAATTGGAAAAGACCTATTAGGTCTGTATTTGAAAATAGAATCCATTTTATCTGTGCAGTACAAAAGTATTGTTAGTTGTGAAAGTTTTACACTTATTAAGGCTTCCACTATTTCATGTTGAAAAAAGTAAAATGACAAAGATACCGAACTCCAAGGAAAATTCAAACTGGAAAGGCCTTTATCAAATGGCAAAACTAAAAGATAAAACACATCAAACGAATGGAAAACAACTGTCATATTCCTGACTTGGTACAGACATTTCCATATGTAGAAAATGGTGGATTAAACCTCTCACTTGTATGACATTCACATACAATTCCATTATAACAATCATTCAAGGAATATAGGCTTGAGAGCACTTACATGCAAAAGAGAGGCGAAAGATACCAAAGGGACATTCAAACTCATAAGTTGAAAATAAATTGACAATTTTAATTTTAATTTTCCATTAAATTTACATTTCCAAGGAACATAACTCCTTCAAAAGTAGTTGATTGGCACTTGTCTGAGGCATTCCTGATGTAAACCTTTGATATAAATTTCCAAAAATTCTGTCAATAATTATACACTTGAGAGCGCTTACAAGAATGGACGGATGGATTGACAGACAAACACATGGTATTTCTATGTCCCTCATTTGGATTTGAAGTACAAAAAAAAAGACTAGTTTGTACATGTAGCTGGTGGAAATATGTTAGCTTCAGTTGTGTCAAACTGACTTAAATTGTATGCATGTTATTCAATTTAACCAAGATGAAAACTGCTCCTTGGGAAAACTTTTCAAACAACAGGGTATATCAGTCACACTACAATAGTGAATGACATCATGTAAACTGATGGGACAGCTTCAGGGTAGACTCTAAATGCACCAGTGATCACATTACAATGTGATTAAACACTAGGTATATGGAAAGAACAATACCCACAGTCAACTCACAGAAACACAGAAAATTTTAATAAAAGATTTATGACAGGCTATTGAAATCTCGATATTTCAACAGAAAAAATATATGCCTAATATAGGGAAAATAAGCAGAAAATATTACCTTCCAATTCTATCCCTGACAATTTTATATGGATGAGATAAGTGAGGCTGTACATATGTAAGAACTCTATGAAGTAAGTCAGGAACTCTCCATTCTTGTTGAATCAAAGCTTGCTGCAACGCATACAGACGACTGTAATAACAAAATTTTACAAATATTTAATTTAATGAATAGATGGACTAAAAGTGGCAATTTCAACTAATGTGGATCATTATTATTCATAGAGTAGTGATATTCAGGGATTTAGTTGGTATAGGTGAACCAAATTTAAATGTTCATCAAAGTACAAATTACATATAAATCAGGAAATCAAGAATCCAAGAAATTACAGTTTTTTCCTCAGTCCATGAAAATTTGTACCCATGAATATAATGAATCCAAAGTATATTAAAGATGGCAACATGTTTATTTGATATGAAAATGAACCATGTACTTCACCATTAATCTCATTATCTACTTAAGCTTTAATAAATTTACATAAAAACATTGTTGTACTAGATGAATCCATTTCAGCTTTTTAATATTATTTGTTGTATGTAAATGTCAGTAAGGGCTAAATATTTCCTGCTTTTATTTTTTTATCAGAGTGTTATTAAAATACATAAATATCATTATTAATATTGACAACGATTTCAAGATGTTCATTCACTTTTTCATAAAAACAGGTATGCCTCTACAGTGAGGCAATTATATATTTCTCCAAAGAAATAGAGGTATAAATAAAAAAATATCTTTATTTCAACAGTACAGATTTTACATTGAATTGTTGCATTTTCATAAAGATAGAATGCCTATATGGTGGTTTGACAAGCAGTGTCAGTTGCACAGTACAGAACTTACCTTGTATCACCAAATGATCCACCTTCCCCATTCAGAGGGTTTTCCAACAGGAGCTCAAAAAACTTATATATCTTCCTTGGATCTCTACTTTCCTGTTGAAAAAAATGAATATAAATAATAGCAAATTGAGAAAAAAAATTATTTACATGGATATCTAACCCACAAAAAATAATTTGATGATACAACAGATTGAAAGCTGATATTTTACATTGAATTGTTGCATGACTGAAAAACATAGGTGATTAGGAGGATAAGTTAGTGCAAATAAAAATGAATGAAATACAATTGTTTTATTACAATATTAGGGACTGATAATTTTTACTCTGCTTGGTGACAGCACAGTTTATTAGTACAAGGCAAGTTTAGATATCTAGACTAGAACTAGGAAATTACTCTGCATCCGCGAATTGATGATTTCTCCAAAGAAATAGAGGTATAAATAAAAAAATATATACACCAATACTTACAGAAACTGATGAGAAGAAATTACCCCAGTCAGAAATAGTTGACACAGTAATTACACTCATTGCTTTTCGAATCACAGGAAGTGCCCAATCCCACATTGCTTCACTCTGAAATAAATTCAAAATACAATAATGCATGCCTCCTTACATCAATTAATATAAACAAGAATGTGTCCATAGTACACAGATGCCCCACTCGCACTATCATTTTCTATGTTCAGTGGACTGTATAATTGGGGTCAAAACTCTAATTTGGCATTAAAATTAGACAGATCATATCATAGGGAACATGTGTACTAAGTTTCAAGTTGATTGGACTTCAACTTCATCAAAAACTACCTTGACCAAAAACTTTAACCTGAAGCGGGACAGACGGACGGACGGATGAACGGACGGACGAAGGAACGGACACGCAGACCAGAAAACATAATGCCACTACTACTATCGTAGGTGGGGCATAAAAATATTTTTTAAAGAGGAGAAGGAAACTCATATGCAGAGAACAAATATTTTTATATACAATCAAAAGTAGGAACTGTGTTAAGATAGTTTCACTTGTTCCTTTATAGTTTTTACAAATATAAGGATTGTTAATAATCAATTATCTTCCTTCCCCTCCTTTTTCTTTAACTCTTTATGGAAAATATATATAAAATTATTCTGCTGACTACTGTGACGTTATACTGCATTGTTGATTCTAGCATGGCAGAAGTTTCCAAACAAGATTACTTTAAAAGAATGTATGAACAAATGCTTTGGTCAGGATATTGACATTGACGGATAGTTCCAATCCTGAACAAAACAGAAAGCAGTTTCATGTATACGACAAGGGTGATCACAAAACTCATGTAGTTAATATGGTTCAAAGTTTCTGATTGATGAAGACATTCACTGTCATGAGCATCATGGTATTGTGGTTTACCAATAGTAACTCATTAATAAAACGTGAGTCTTTCAAGGATGACCTGGGCCAACTGCTCTCTCCAAATAATATAAGAAAGTTAATGTTTTGGTATTGAAAACCCCAAAAATCAATGATAAAAAATTAAAAAAGTAGCACCTGTACAAGTATCTGTACAAGTTTGGTAGATTTCTGTCAACCCATTTTTAAGGAGTTACTGATAAACATAGTCCAACACATATGACGATGCAATGACGCAAGAATTGATCCCCATGTCCCTACTACAGCTTTGGTGTCAGGCGAAACAATAAACATTATAATTTCAATAATAAGAAAATGTCTATAAGACAGCATTGCTGTTACAATTATTACCATTTCATAAGGCCAATGTTTAGCACCCCTGAGAACTCCAGACAACATCTCCATTCCACATCTCTGATGACTATCGTGTTTATCATGACTAGAATCTGCAGTCAATTTTTCTATATGAGGTTTGAAACTCTCCAAGAATGTATCACCATAGTTACGAAACAATCCCTGTAAATAATAGGAAAATATTATTAAAATTCATGCTTTTTTTCTTCTCTCCTTTTAAATCTATATCTAAGGGCTTTACCAAAAATTATTCAATAGTTAAACATGTGAAAAGGTTAATTCAACATAAAACAGCACCAAATTTCCAAGGGAAAACCTTTTGAAAAATTCAATACAAGACACATAAAAAATACTTAAAAGACTAACACTTGGAATTTAACATGCTTTTACTTTTGTTTCAAAAGAAGTAATATGATACATTATTAACTGAAATTACTTTCATCATGTCAATACTGTGACCAATGAAAGAACCTTTCATGTGTAAGCTCACAATCTCTAGGGTCCCTTACAATTACCTTTCCTGAATAAATGGTCCCCACTTTCAGAATTTTCTGATTATCAAATTCATCTGAGGTTTGGATGAATTGAAACCTTCAAAAATTTGTTTCAAAGAATCTGATAAAAAATTAATGTGCTATCCTGTTGACAACAAAGCGGTGACAGTTGGTCTGGTAAAAAAAGCTTAAAATAGTTAACTGCTTTTTGGTAATAGGTAAATCCTTTACTCATGCTACCTGCATTGCAACTTTAAAAGAAGTATGATTCTATTGAAATTACATGCAGGAAATGTGACAAGAATCTTGACATAGTTTTATTTTTACTAAAATATGAAATGAAAGTTTCCATACAAAAAAACAATCTGTCCTGCACCTTATTCTAAATAAACAGAATTCCAATTGGACATGTTGGAGTGGTGGAACCGTTTACAATATTCTGTTACTGCAAATAGACGGCAATCAACCTAAGAAATAAACCTTTAAACTTTACCACTCAACAATTGTCAAAACACGTTCACACTAGTGGTCAGCTCAAGAGGCTAGTTTTAAAATTTCAATAACCATACCTTAAACAATGTCAAATATTTATGCCTGAATTTGTCTTTGCCTTTGTTTTCTTCTAATGCCAAGAAAGACACAAATTTCTGAACAAATTCAGGGTCCATAAATGCATCATAAATTGGTTGTTCATTATCTGGTAATTCATCCCTTCTTCTTTTGATGTTTGGTTGATCTTCATATGGGGCATATACTTCCATTTTTCTGAAAATAAAACAGAAAGAGATTCAAAGATGTAAAACACATTTCACTATGGAGCTATCAGAAATAAACCTTTATGGATTTTTTTTACTTTGCCTTTTGTCAGTTATTTCTAAATGGTCTTAGATAAATCATAATCTACTCTAAATGGATGACAAACAAGATATTTATCAAATATAGAATATCCTAGTTTGTTCCACAGATATAAACACTCGGATTCAGAAATTTCATCCAGTTGCCATCTTGGTTTGTGTTCAGAGGATATACAAGTTTTAAAATCATTTGTAGTAAATGATTCACATCATGTTTATGTCTCTTGGTTCAGTAGTCTAGAAGACCAGTTATTCCAAGTGATGAGATTCAGCTTCGAAAGGAGTTACTTATCATTCCCAGTCTGGTAACATCAATTTAGTAGCATGTAGCAAATTGGTTTTAAGAAAAACATCGAAACTATAAGTAAATAAGGCTCATCACTGAAAGTGAAGCTGCCAGTTTAATGACTGAAAAGAAACCACAAAACCACTTGCAAATTGAACTTATTATTTTTATGTTCTGTAATTAAGCAAAGTTTACAAAGGTGAATATATGACAAATCACACCAACAGTGTTGACAATAACGCACATCACTCCTCTGTTCAGGTTATAAATATAAAAAAATTACTACAACTAATATGTAAAAAATTGAAAATACCTTATAAAGGTAAGTTGTATTAATTTTGACCTACTTTGGCCAGGAATAATATCCCCAATGTGTCTTCTCTATAAAGATCAGTTTGTCATATTTCTCCTTAGTTGTTGGCAAATCGTCAGAATTATACAATATCCATTTATTGTCTTTCCTATCACCTGGACAGAACTTTGTGGTAGGACGTTCTGTTCCAGAAATCTTATGAGGATCTATCACTACTTTTTTATGCTTCCTTTTTTGCTGTTTCAAAAGTGCAGATACTGCTGCTGTGGTAAGCTACAATGAATATTTTTGAAGAATAATTAAAACAGAAAATGTTCAAATCACAAATAATTGCACATATATAAAATAAAAAAATGTATTTCAGAGGTACATCTCACCCAGCATTTTCATTTTGATTACTTACAGGTGTTGCCTAACATGCAACTGCCATTTAGAGAGAACTGCAAAACATATGGTATTGTCAGATACGCCTCACAAACATACATTTTAACAATATGGTGTCTTTTTAAATGTGTTTTAGTGAACTTGTGTTGTTTTACTTCTGTTTATCCCATGTCTACTTCTATTCATACATGTATATCCTACATCAATACCATGAACCAGGACCATGTTTAAATACAATCATCAGCATAAAAAAATTAATGGAAAATTGTTTATAGGCACAATCCTAAAAAGAGATGCATATATTTGACCCCCCCCCCCCCCAAAAAAAAAAAAAAAAACTATTTAAAAATATATAGTTTTAGCATTATTTGTATCAAATAGCAAGTTGATATGATTTATAGATACTAGGAAAAACGTGACAAAATTGTTTTATATGGATTACAACAAAACGTTGACCTGATACACAACAGACAAATGGACAGATGAAAAGACAATCCTCCAGATAAAATCTATTCATTTACCCGAAACCTTACAAAAAGCATTTTGCACTTTTAATGTTGAAAAAAGGCCTCTTGATAAAACCTCTTCATTTGCCCCAAGCCTTACTGAAAACATAGTTCAATATTTATGTTCAAAACATTTAAACATAACAGCCCTCTAGGTAAAATCTCTAAATTGTAGATAAAGTTGGCATTACAATATCTGAACTTTTACATCTATTTTATCCTAAATTTGTAGTATTTTATTATAAGCGTTTCAACTGTTTTATGTAAGTTACCTTTCTGGCATGCAGTGAATCATGGACCATTGTTTTAATATTCAATGCTACTAGACTTGCCGGAACTGGTGTATCATGTCTTAGTAGTAAAGATAAAAACACAAGTCCAATATGACTAAACTTCCAGGTTCTGAAATAAAGTAATGATAAATATTAAAAGTCCAATATTCTCTCTTAACCTACTGTTCAGAAAGACTAATAATAAAAACATAAGACCAGTACATCTTAATTTCCAGGTTAAGAAATAAATGGTGAAAAACATAAGTCAATAAAAAAAAATAAAGTAACGGTCAAGACAGAACTTCAACATGTTATAACTTCCAGTTTATAAAATACAATTAACAAGTCGAATATTCAATAAACCTGAATACTGTTTTCTCTAATTTTCATGCTATTTTCACATGTCTCAATCGGTGTGAGAAAAATATTTCTCATCTCTAGAGAAAACTTTGTTCTCTGCAAATAACTTTTTAGTGGAAAAATATCATAACACACTTGATGCAGTGGTGGAATCTATATGTCACCTTTAAATGAACTTGTCATTCTATTAAAGAATTGCTAAGTTTTGCATTCTATTTAAAATTTCCAAAAGATGATTTGCTTTTCGAAAGAAAAGAAAAAACAGCTTCACAGCAGAATTTGTTTACTGCATCTGTGGGACATCATTTTTCAGTAGAATCTTATAAATATATATATATATATATATATATATATATATATGTGTATATATTTGCAGTTTCATTAATCAAAACAAGTTTTGCACTTTAAAATTAGTTTATGAATAAGAATATGCACACTTTAGTCTTAATAAATACTCACAAATTTCCATCATTCACCAGCTTGACCAAGTCCTCGACAAGTTGGTTGTAAAGTCTAATTATAAAATAAAGAAATGTTTGTATTCGCTTCATGAATCTAACATCTTATCTTGTAATATAATGTGCTGACAGGTTCCTAATAAAAGTTTAGAAAAAGAAAAATTCCTTAAGACATAATGTCTCACTTGCACTATCATATTCCTATGTTCAGTGAACGGCAAAATCTGGGTAATAATTTGACAAATATTTTTCAAAATTTCACCTCATATGAACATGTGTAATAAGTTTCAATTCAAGTTTTTTGGAAAAGCTTGCTTTAAGTCTTTCAAATTAATAAATTCAGCAGAAATAATTATTCCAAATCAATTTCTAGAACATATCTATATTCATTACGTAGTACCATTTTATGCATAAAGTAGTCAGCCACATAACTTACCTAAGATTTCTGTCATTAAGATTTTGTTCGAATTGCTGAGCTGATTTCAACTGCTCAGAATTTAATTCTATTGCATCAGACTGATATGGCTGTCTCTGCTGTAGCAACTTCTGGGCAGCACTGAGAACAGATTCTGTTGTCTGAAAAGGTCAGCAAAGAATAAATTGTGAATGCTCTACCAAGATTCTCTTGCTTTGGTCTTTTAACTATTTTTCTAGTTCTAAATCTACTTTTAAATAATGCATAAATTTTACTCTTTATCTTTTTACTTTTTGTCCAAAATAAACTATGTCATAATTTCTGATTTTCCATTGTTAAAGGAAAGACTTGTTTAATTATTTTAAAACAGCAAAAAGCGAAAAACTGCAAACCTATGTAAAATGTTGCAAGCGGTGTTGTTCATAGAGTACCATCACTTGCTTATGTGACACTGGCGAAAATTCCATGCTCAGTGGTTATAATCAATTCAAAGTAAAGTCTAAGAGGAAGTGACTACTAAGCAGACCTTACTATCACTTACACAGTACACCTCAACATCATTCAGTTCCAGATCAAATATAAAATCATTCCTCAATACATTAGCTGAGAAATATGTGTCAGACAAAAAAATTGCATGCACAGTCAGTATAAGTATTATTAAACAGAAAGTGGCAGACTGGCAGACCTGAAAATCACTTAAAGAAACAACTTAACAACAAAATGTTTAAATCATTCCTAATACAGAAGCTGAGTAATACGTAACAAATGTTATGGAGATGGAAAAACTTACTGACAAGGTGATTGCAGTATACTTCCAACTCCATAAGTGCCAGGGGAAAGTTATTCCACAAACAGGTTATCTAAGGAAAAGGAAATCTTTATAACTTTTCTATTGATAATAATACCTTAGTTACAATACCAGGGCTCTCCATGTTCTTGTCAACTTTATTGATCATATCATCTACAACCTTCAATATTGACGGTTTCTCAGAATGTTGGGCCTGTGTAATGGCAGGCCATAATCCACTGATAATCTCCCAGCTTCTCTTTGTGGCCATGTTTCTCTTCCCACTTCCAAGTATCACATAAAGAGCACCCTGAGATAAGAAAGCACTTTATACAAATATTTTAGGCTTGTTCAGTTAAAATTGTTTCAAATTTACATAGATAAATAGTTTCTTCCAAAGTAAAATTCATTATCCAGGTAAAAAAATCCTGTTCACATAGAACAGTACAGTACAGTTATAGTAATAAATGTTGTAAAACAACCTTGAAACTTTCTGGAAAATGAAGCCCATTGCTATAACAGATCTAAAGCAATAATCAATTTACTGGTTAACTCTTTCTTTTTTTGCAGATAGAATCATATATATTGTTTTAAATATTTTATTGTACAATGTAATATATGAGCGTATAGCTTTAATATAAGACATTGAATATTTTATTTACTTGACTTACTTTGAATTGATATTCTGGTGTTTCAGAGTTTTTGATATGGGTTATAACATCTGGAAGAACACATCTATAGGAATATGGTATGTTATTGAAACTATTGAACAATACAGCTTGGGATTTCTTTCTAACCTAAAAAAAAAATACCAAAGAAATATATAAGTTTAGGTATTATATAACAAATCATGCATAATCCATCAATTCACTTCAGAAATTAATACATGAATTTATTATTGAGATTTTATAACTATCAAAAGAAATGCGATTTTTATTATTGCAATTTCAGGAACAGCTGCATACAAAAATTACTATCAAAATTTAAAATGGGAGTTTGCAACACCTATGGAATGTGTGTGAAGTTCCCCAGTTTAATGGATAGCAACACATGGATATATTGGATAGCAACACCTTGGGCTTTGGGTTTTTTAACAGTGTGTCATTAGCCAATCGAAATCTGAGAAATATACCAAGCCTGAGATAAAATTTCTTACTTCTCTATATCTACTGACAGACAGGTTATACAGATCATTCATCATGTCTCTGTGTCTTTCTGTGAAAATCCTATCACAGCTGTACAACAATCTCATCTGTAAATTGTCAATAACACAATGCATTTATAATGATTGAAATATAATGACAGATCTGCTCATGATACTTCAACAGGAAAAACTTGAAAATTTTCAGTTTATATTTCTATTTTAAGTTCTGTAATAAAAATAATGTAACATTCTTTTTTTTACATATATAATGTTTTTATTTGGTCAGTATTTTCATACCAACTTTGCATGATGAACTAGTCATTCTATAATGTCAAAGTAGCTTATAACTGCTGCCTACAAACTGATATGAACAGTATCTACATCATAATGGTTGACCAAGTTCATAATTAAATCAATTTCTAAATTAAAAAATCATAGAAACTGAAGAGTACTAACCTCTTGTTGTAATTGTACTCTGTCTACCAACAAAGCTCTTATATGTCGCTTTCCTTTTCTCAACTGAAACAAAAAAATCAGACTTCTAAAATATGCCACATGCTTTAAAATTTGAAACTCATCATATGTAAAAGTTTATGGAACTTTTAGGTTACTTTGCTATAAGAACATAAATTGCCCCATCCATCCTCACACTTATAAATGTTATCCATCGACAATATGAAAAGGATACTTTCAAGACTTTATATACATGTTCAAAAAGGTTTCAAGGCATGTTATTTTGTTCTTTATTTGTTTGATGTTTTTACTGAATACTTACATCATCTTGTAAAGCCATTTTTACAGCATGAAAACTTTTCCACCGGGAATCAAAATCATTTTTCTGAGCACCATGAAAGAATAACACAGCTTCATAAATCTGCAAGAGAAATGAAATCCCTAACAATTCCAAAGTCAAGTCTGGTTTAATGTAATCTAATGCAGCAATTCTTATTTGCACTTATTAACGTTTTATTTGTACAAAAAGTAATCTTTATTTCCAGATATTAAGCATTCATTTGAGACATGAAAATAGTACTTTGTGTATTTAAATGTAACTTCTTCTGTTTTAATACTACCCTCTTCGCAAGTAAACTTGGATGTTGCATTTCCTGTATGTGTATATAGAATGTTTGACAATACTTAGATACACGAGAGATGAATTAAGGGAGAGGAGAAAAAGAAGATATAGTTATCTTATTGAAGCCGTTAAATATATTATACAAATCAAGATAAAACAGTCAATCAATAGAAAAAAAAAACAATTTAAGTACTGTATAATGTAAAAATAATGTGAAGTAGAGCAGTTAAAATGAAACTGAACACAAAGAGAAGGTATTTTCTTACCAAAATATTTTATAAGTGTTACTAACATTTATAACAATTAAACTTACAGATAATATTTTAAGCATTCCTTTTGTATCATCTTCACAAGTTAATGTCATATGAGCTGAAAAATATCGAAATAAATTTTCTGTATATAAATAACTCACATATTTCTAATATGGTAGTAAAATCAATCAGAATTTAATTCTTCTTTCAGTAGTTTTATTGTAAAAGTTTTGATGGATACACATGTTGTTTCATACTAAAAATGTGCACATGAAACTATGTTTGTGACCACGACTTTGCAGACAGACATTCCAACCCTATATGCCCCACATCTTGTGGTAAATATATCTTCCAGTAGTTAATGTCAACTGAAATACAACAGTGGTTTGATCATATTTTGTCTGCAATAATATAATCTTTAGTATGAAACATTTTGAAATTCATTCTGTAGCAGTAAAAATTAATTAACAAAGAGTATCCATTGACACTAAGGGCCATCTTGCTCTTGCTGTAGGTGTCCACTGTTCATTTCCCTTAAGAACTTCCTTTAGCTGTCCAGATAGAGAACAGCAATAGTAGCACTTTTCATTGGCTATTTCTTTGTATATCATGTTTTGTTGTCCCAAGTGTACCCAAACTTATCATTTCTTTTCCGATTTACAAAATCCCTTTGTCAGATTCTGGTCTACTTACATATCAAGGTTCTCATTGCAGTAACCACAGCTTCTCTTATATTTCTACCATTTAATTTGATCTCTAAAATAGAATATATTTAAATTCACTTTCTTGGAAAGAAATTAGAAATGTAAGGGAAAAAAAAAAGGTCAGAAAACTACTGAAAATTTTCGTTTGTTTTTTTGGGAAACTTCTGCAAACTAAATTGCAATATTCCTACATCTAACAATTCTTGAAATCATTGCAAGTAACAATGAAAGACTTGCTATTTTAATTTCCTGTTTCTTCAATATCAAAGTTAAAAAGAGGTCATTGTTTTTCAATCATTTTCTAATATTTTTATTCTCATTGAGATAAGGAAATGAGTTTAAACTTAATTTGTTCTGTCTGTGAGAATATTCATCTTACATTATAGTCTGTTTCAAATTTGTTAAATGAGATAGAAATTTTCTAATCTAAGTTACACCCTGCTTCCTAAATTTGATTCATTACCCTGGAAAATCATAACTGAACTGTAAACCTTTGAAAATAACCTACATATTGATGACCAGTATACATGTCCATCCAATTAAAGTCTGCTTTAAGATGGCTTAATGCTTAATACCCCCAAATTATGTGAATTTGTTATGGGTGTGACCTGGGGTAATACAATACCTAAATATATATTGGGTCTGCTATTTGACAAACATAACAATACAGTTTGAGCATCATATAATAATTAAACAAAATTTCCTAAAAAAATATATCAATATACCACATTAATTGAACTCAAACAATAACATGTTTAAAACTGAACTGTAAACAAAAGATGTCTGCAACTATTCATCTGTATGAAGCAGTTTGAGTTTGTGTTAAAGAAAAAACATTAAAACAATACCATTAATTCTATAAAACCTTAGTTTGAAGTTCTTACCAGAACATTAAAGGACAGATCAACATAAATTGCTTTCATTTGTTTATTATTTTTTTTTAAATGTGTTTAGCATGAGATCATATTTAAATACTAATTTTGTTGTCAAATAAAAGTCAGCTATTACTTGAAAATCTTAAGATTAAAGACACCAATTAATATGCAAAAACAGCAGAATCAACTTTATTCAAAGTTTTTTTTTCTCAAAAACTACAAGACACAGATTGTAAGAGCATTGGGTAGCTATTTATTTGCCGCTGCATGTTAAACACCAAAAATAGGCTTATCCCTGACATTTTTTTTGTTAAAAAAAACGCACATACTATGCTTTTAAATGTCCAAATACAATAATAAGGAGTTTCTGAAAATTAAAAGTTTCATTGGTGAACATGTTAAAAAAAAAGATATATTTTTAAATTCCACTAATTAGACAGTCCCTGATGACCACTGAAAAGCCAATCAATACTTAATTTTAAGACAGTCAAAACCTTTCAACTTAGGAAGATTTAAACTTACTATGATCACTATAAATGAATGGACAATATCTGCCATGGGATGACAAAGTTATGAATGTAAGTAAAAACCAAAATTGAATACTAACCGACGAATAGCTCTCACCTTTTTGTATCCTTGACTCCACTTAAAGACATTGTTGTTTGTATTGACACAAAATGTCTAGTTCTAATTTAAATTGTGTAAACATACACAATCATGTATATCGATGTTTTCAATATTTACATTAATCATCTGTTTTTATATTGATACATGCATATAACTAAATCAATGAATCTTTAGTCTTCACTCATATTAACCACTTATCAACACCTAGCCTTTAACAAAGTTTGATGATGTTTAATTGAGTGTATACACAACTGTAATACAAAAAATTTACTACAATATTCCCTAATCAACTTTATTATGAAAGTATAAAATCACTTATTACCACAGAAGTATACTAAATTACAGAGAACATTAAAACTTACCCAGGTCTCCTAATGAACAGGAACATGTAAATCTAAGCAGAGGTACTTGGCTTTCAATACTAAAAAAATTTATATATAAATTACTCAATCATGCATGTATTAGAATGATAGTTTCAATTTCAAATTTAAAGTAAATTATCAGAACTATTACAATTTCCACAACAAAAGGAACCAACAAATAAAAACAGTATTTTGGACAGCAATTTATATGAACTGTAGAAAAACTGGTGTGTTCAAGCTCTCAACGCTTTGGTTTCCCTCTAAAAACAACACATGTATAAAACAAGAGTGCACACACTGAAATGTCTCGCCTTCTTTACTAATCATTGATATTATGTTGATAGTCCTAAATATAAAGCTTTATTTCAACTGTCACATAAACTTAACATTAACCAAGTAAACTAAACATTGACCAATGAACCATGAAAATGAGGTCAAGGTCAGATGAACCATGCCAGGCAGGCATGTACAGCTAACAATTCTTCCATACAACAAATATAGTTGACCTATTGCTTATAGTTTAAGAAAAACAGACCAAAACACAAAAACTTAATACTGAGCAATGAACTGTGAAAATGAGGTCAAGGTCAAATAAAACCTGCGCGACTGACATATAGATCATAAAATATTTCCATACATCAAATATAGTTGACCTATTGCATATTGTGTTAGAAAAAAAGGCCAAAACTCAAAATCTTAACTTTGACCACTGAACCATGAAAATGAGGTCAAGGTCAAATGACACCTGCAAGCTAGACATGTACACCTTACAATCATTCCATACACCAAATATAGTAGACCTATTGCATACAGTATAAGAAAAACAGATCAAAACACAAAATCTTAACTATAACCACTGAACCATGAAAATGAGGTCAAGGTCAGATGACACCTGCCAGTTGGACATGTACACCTTACAGTCCTTCCATACACCGAATATACTTGACCTATTGCTTATAGTATCTGAGATATGGACTTGACCACCAAAACTTAACCTTGTTCACTGATCCATGAAATGAGGTCGAGGTCAAGTGAAAACTGTCTGACGGGCATGAGGACCTTGCAAGGTACGCACATACCAAATATAGTTATCCTACTACTTATAATAAGAGAGAAATTAACATTACAAAAAATGTTAACTTTTTTTTCAAGTAGTCACTGAACCATGAAAATGAGGTCAAGGACATTGGACATGTGACTGACGGAAACTTCGTAACATGAGGCTTCCATATACAAAGTATGAAGCATCCAGGTCTTCCACCTTCTAAAATATAAAGCTTTTAAGAAGTTAGCTAACGCCACCGCCGCCGGATCACTATCCCTATGTCGAGCTTTCTGCGACAAAAGTCGCAGGCTCGACAAAAATTGGTGCATTCTTTCAGTTTTAAAGGAGGAGGCATGATACTAAGTAATTATTTGGCCCCTCAAATTGCAAAAATAGTAAAATTATTCAACACTTTGAAAATTGTATTAATCTTATTGATAAATACAGGTCAATATAATCTGGACACTTAAGTGCAGAAAGGTCACTTCCTATGTCACTATGATGTCATAAACAGGTTGAAATTAACATATTTGACCAAAAAAATATAAATTAATTACTAAAAAAAATGCCCTACTCCCTGTCTGTTCAAATTTAAACAAATAGTATATTAAAATCAACTGGTTTGGCCATTATTTCAAAGCTTTGGTGTAACTATTTGTGGTGTTACTTACAGATCAACCTTTGTATCCTCCCACATACTTATCACAGCACCAGCACCTTGTAAGCATTCTAATACAACATTCAGTCGACTTAAAAGTTCCTCTCTAAAATTATAAAATTATACAAAATAAGGCAAAAAAAAAAACCAATAACAAAACAATATTATAAAGTACATACTTAACAGTTTCCAATGACCACCTATTAAAGGTGAAGATACAATGTCACATAAATGTTACCTTTTTCCGTAACTTATGCCTAAAATGAATTAAGGGTTCTATACCATAATAAACTACTAGCTGTCTAAACAGACCAGTATGCAGTATAAAATAACAAGAATGTTATCAAAATCATGACTTCTGTGACTTTCCAACAAACTTTAGAAACAGCATTTATAGTTGATCAATGCTTATGCATGAAAAGAATTTATATTATCAGTGTACTCCCAAGAATTTTTCGAAGGCGCAAATATTCGTAGCTATAAACCTTTTTTTTGAAGTGGACTATTGTGACGCGAAACAATCCTTTAGAAATACAATATGAATTTAAAAGCTTTATGACAGGCTAGGTGTTTAATTATGTACACTACTTATAAATTATCATAAAAGAAAATATTATCAATTTACACACATATAAAACACATTAATTATGTTAATATCACAGTCCATATATAGTTAAAATTCAATTTAAGAGTCCAAATTTTGTGATATCAAGAGACTATTCTTTATTTGCTAAGAACAAAATTTCACATTCTGACCTCAACTTTCAATTCCCATTTTGAATTTATCATAAATATTAGTTTACTTTACGTCTTTTTACGTAAAACAACTTCCATTCATAAATATTTGTAGTTGTGTATAGCAAAGTTACCACATGTTTTTATCATTCATAGTTGTATAAAAATAGATTTATTATTGACCAATGATAAAATTTGATATTTAATTGGTGTAATATTGATTTTCTTCTCAGCAGCCATCTTTATCTTTACAAAAGTTATCAACAGTTCATAATCAAATATGAAAATTAACATGCCTTAGGATTATCTTTTAAGGCACTGCGTGCCAATGTAAGCGCTGCTGGGACAACAAAAATATTTGGAAAGCCTTGCGGGACAGCAGTGTCATATCAGCCAGGGGAGAACACTGATTATGTAAACCTCTAGATGTATTTTTGTTTTATTGTGGTTTGGTTGAACTGTTACTATATATTAAAAATATTATGTTCTCACCAACTTTTCTAGACTTAGGGTGTTTAGAGCTTTGTTAAGACACTTGCTATATATTGTTTGTTGTTGAGAACCTTATGTTGACCTCTAGATGTCTTTAGAGTTTTTGTGTCATTCATTTTCTATCTCATTGATGTACACTGTATATCCCTCATCTACTTTTGTGAATCTATATATACATACTCATGACAATTAGGAAGAAGAAAAAGAAAGAGTAGAAACTAATTTCATAAATGGCTATCAATACCTTTTCATTGGATTATCAGCAGATATAGACTGTACAGCTTCTAATTCTTTTCCAAGTATTCTGTGTATAATTTGTGAAGCAAAGTTAACTTCTTCTGTGGAAGGTATATGCCAAACCATTCCTATTTTACTTGAATCACCAGGAACTGCCCAATCCTAAATTGAAGGTAAATTAAGAGCAGTTCTCTGAGAATTAACACAATCTTTTGTAATTTTTTGCACACTTTATATAAACTCAACAAACAGCAATCATAATTTATTTCAATTATCAGTACTTCCATTTGAAAGAAATTGCAAGATTAATAATAGAATTTACTGGATGAATACTGGTACTTTAGGAATCTGAAATAAGTAAGAGGTTGTACACATTGCTGTTATAAATATCTGTGCATTTTCAAAGTTTGCTTAAATCATATATCAATGGATCACAGATTTTTATTCCCCCCTGCAACATATACTTCAATTATCAAACTAATCAAGCTAACAATCATTCTTTTCAAGAATGCATCAGCCATATAATTAAAATACAGACAAGGTCATATGGTTATTCAAACAAAATATTTCTATAGTCGATAATATCAAAATAAAGTTCAGGAAGCCAAAAGAAAAAAAAAACATATATCTAAAGCACAAAAAGATAAATATTGTTTTACTTACATTTATAGGAAGATATTCAGTAACAGGTCTATCAAACGACTCAGCTATACTTTTATAATCCAATGGATAATGTAACGTCAGAGCACGTAAAGTATATCTTATTAACTGTCCTGTAAGTTCATAGCCTTCTACACATTTCAAATGTATTGTTAACTCAATTATTTCCAGTAAATTGTCTTTGTATTTTATCAACTCTGCACCATTGCATCTTACAAGCTGTAAAAATAAAAATATTTATGATAAAAAAAGCTATAACTTCAAATTTAAAAGTAATAGTTAAGTTTAAAGATATTGATACTGTCAATTAGGCATTTTACATTCGCAAATGCAGTTTTACTGGCTACACAGAAATAATATTTCTTCATTGAACCAAGTTTAAATTTCTAAATATTTCATTGGAATAAATGGGTAAAAATTGTTTTCAAGGGCAGTAACTCCTATAAAGGGTCAAATAACAAATTTGGCCATGCTGACCTATTTGTACATTTTGTCCTGATGATCACTATTGCTGTAAAAATTTCTCTATTTATTATAGTTTCTGGAAAAAAATTACAAACATTGGTAATTGGATTTAGAGGGCAATAACTCTTGTAAGAAATGGAATAACAATTACAGCAAAGTAGATCTTGTCTTGATGATCATTGTGGCTGAAAAGAATTTCTATTTACAATACTTCCAGAAAACAATACAAAATGCGTAAGGGTTCCGCAGAACCCAGTGTCTCGCCTACTTTTGCTGTTAATCGCAGGCTCAACAAAAATGAGGAAAAAAATCAATAAAAATATTCCTTAAGATACTATCTTTTGATTGTAAGAAGCTTCTGTCAAAGTTTGGTATAAATCCAGGATAATTTATGAATCTAATAAATGTTTTAAAAACTTTAACTGCAGACTGTATTTAATGTTAACTGGAAGAAAAACTAAGTCCATTTATAAGTAAAATACGGATAACAAATTTCCTTCTAGATACTAGCTTTTGATCATAAACAAGCTTCTGTCCAAGTTTGATACAAATCCAGGATAGTTTAAGAAAGTTATTAAAATTTTAAAAACTTTAACCACAGAGTGAATGTATTGTTTCCAGGCAGAAAAACTAAGTCCATTTATAAGTAAAATACGGAAAAAATAAAATTTGTTTTTTAGCAAATTTACTTCTGGATACTATCTTATGATCATAAACAAGCTTCTGTCCAAGTTTGGTCAAATCCAGGATAGTTTAAGAAAGTTATCAAAATTTTAAAAACTTTAACCACAGAGTGAATGTATTGTTTCCTGGCAGAAAAACTAAGTCCATTTATAAGTAAAATACGGAAAAAATGAAATTTTTTTTTTTAACAAATTTACTTCTGGATACTATCTTATGATCATAAACAAGCTTCTGTCCTAGTTTGGTAGAAATCCAGGATAGTTTAAGAAAGTTATTAAAATTTCAAAAAATTTAACCACAGAGTGAATATTTGTGGCTGCTGCCGACGACGCCGACGGAATGTAGGCTCGCTTTGTCTCGCTTTTTAGACTAAAGTCTAAGGCTCGACAAAAATGGGTAAAAGTCATCTTAGAGAGCAACAACTCCTATGAGGAGTAATTTAAAATTTTGACCATGTGACTTATTTGTATATCTTGTCCCACTAAACATTTTTGTCATTTACAGTTTCAATTTTATCTTTTGTATTTCAAAGATAATAGCCAAAAAAAAAATGATAAAAATCTCTATTTTAGGGTAATAACTCTTATAAGTTATTACCCTGCAGTTTCAGTAAAAACAGATGTTTGGTATATCTTGACATTCTGAACATTTTTGACCCTGTCAGATTTTATCTCTCTATAAAGGTTCTAAAGATAATGGACAATATTCAGGTTTACCCCATGTTCTACTTTAGCCCTGGCATCATATTGGTTCGCATGTGGGATCAATGGACACATTTTTTAAACTAAATACCCCAAGGATAATTGGGGTAAAGTTAAGTTCCAATTGACCAATTACTTTCAGAGAAGGTCTGTGTAAAAGTAAACAGACCTTGACGCGCAACAGATGCCAAGTGATAAGAAAAGCTCACATGGCCCTAGGAGCCAATTGAGTTTAAAACAACAATTAAAGTTTCTATCAGTACCTGGGAGAGCATCAATAGATTCCAGAGAAAACTGTTGTCTAGTCTTTCTTCTTCAGCAAAATCTTCATCTATAATAAGAGGCAGATATGTTATATACAAGAATTTCAAACATTAATAGGTTCAATTTCTAATATTGTCAAATTGAACCAATGTGTACTAAATGTAAGAATTATCTTATCTAAATAAATGATTCAGAGACTGTCAGAAATGGCACCACTTGTACATTTTTATGTGATCACAGAAACAATTTCATACATCTGGAAAATCGGAACCTTATTAAACATCTACATATGAAACACTACATCTGTCAAAATTCCTCAAAAGAATTTTTATTATGCACAGCAACTGTACAAAATTTCATCTGCATCATCTTGGCCATCTCTTTTTAATACAAGACCACAACTAGAGGAAACCCTTCTCAACAGTTTTTCTGAGCAGTGTTTCAACATTGTAATTTATTTGAAGCTACAAAACTTACCACGACCAAAAAAATATCCAGGAAGAGGCTAACAATGATAACTGTTTTATAGTACAATTTAATGGAAATCTGTACCTTCAGAAGTTATAAATTCTGCATTTTGTATAAGTACAAGGTGGTTTTTATTGTACTTACGTGATGCAATATGTTCTTTTATATTTCTGAATAAATGAGGTAAAAATAACTTCAAAGTTGCTTCAGGATTCACCTGAAAGAATGTAAATTTAAATTTAAATTGACAGATGTTAATTTTTTTAATATCTGTATGGAGTTTACTGATTATGAAAATGAACCACTTTTTTACAGACTATATACATATTCACATACCATTATTCTTTCACCACAATAATTTAAATTGTCATTTGCAAAGCTGGTAGATAAAATTAAATAAGAAATACACAATAAAATGCTCCGCAGGGCGCAGCTTGATACGACCGCAGAGGTCGAACCCTGAACAGTTGGGGGAAGTATGGACACAACATTCAAGCTTGATACAGCTTTGGATTTGGATTGTGATTAAATATTTGACACAGCATAGGTTTCTAACACAGATTGAATGTGGTCTAAGAACTTAAAAATTTTAAATTGGACATTCACCTATTATGGTCCAATATCCAAAATCTAAATACATGGTTAGATTCAGCATATCAAAGAACCCCAAGAATTCAATTTTTGATGAAATCAAACAAAGTTTAATTTTGGACCTTTTTGACCTCAATGTGGACAAAGTTGATAACAGGGCCCAAAAATCAAAAATCTAAATACATGGTTAGATTCAGCATATCAAAGAACCCCATATATTCAATTTTTGTTGAAATCAAACAAAGTTTAATTTTGGACCCCGATTTGGACCAACTTGAAAACTGGGCCCATAATCAAAAATCTAAATACATGTTTAGATTCAGCATATCAAAGAACCCTAAGAATTCAATTTTTGTTAAAATCAAACTAAGTTTAATTTTGGACCCTTTGGACCTTAATGTAGACCAATTTGAAAACGGAACCAAAAATTAAGAATCTAAATACACGGTTAGATTCGGCATATCAAAGAACCCCAATAATTCAATTTTTGATGAAATCAAACAAAGTTTAATTTTGGACCCTTTTGACCTCAATGTGGACAAAGTTGATAACGGGGCCCAAAAATCAAAAATCTAAATACATGGTTAGATTCAGCATATCAAAGAACCCCATATATTCAATTTTTGTTGAAATCAAACAAAGTTTAATTTTGGACCCCGATTTGGACCAACTTGAAAACTGGGCCCATAATCAAAAATCTAAATACATGTTTAGATTCAGCATATCAAAGAACCCTAAGAATTCAATTTTTGTTAAAATCAAACTAAGTTTAATTTTGGACCCTTTGGACCTTAATGTAGACCAATTTGAAAACGGAACCAAAAATTAAGAATCTAAATACACGGTTAGATTCGGCATATCAAAGAACCCCAATAATTCAATTTTTGATGAAATCAAACAAAGTTTAATTTTGGACCCTTTTGACCTCAATGTGGACAAAGTTGATAACGGGGCCCAAAAATCAAAAATCTAAATACATGGTTAGATTCAGCATATCAAAGAACCACATATATTCAATTTTTGTTGAAATCAAACAAAGTTTAATTTTGGACCCTGATTTGGACCAACTTGAAAACTGGGCCCATAATCAAAAATCTAAATACATGTTTAGATTCAGCATATCAAAGAACCCCAAGAATTCAATTTTTGTTAAAATCAAACTAAGTTTAATTTTGGACCCTTTGGACCTTAATGTAGACCAATTTGAAAACGGAACCAAAATTTAAGAATCTAAATACACAGTTAGATTCGGCATATCAAAGAACCCCAATAATTCAATTTTTGATGAAATCAAACAAAGTTTAATTTTGGACCCTTTGGACCTCAATGTGGACCAATTTAAAAACGGGGCCCAAAATCCAAAAACTAAATACACGGTTAGATTCAGAATATTAAAGAACCCCATGAAATCAAGAATAAAACCCCATTGAAATTGGTCAAGAAATAAGCAATTTATAGGAAGTATCTTCTTTTGCACAATCCTGTGCTATTAAATATTTCTTGCTATTGCGCAATACTGTACAATTGACAATTTCTTGCTATTGCGCAATATTGTGCTATTGGATATTTCTTGCTATTGCGCAATACTGTGCAATTGAAGATTTCTTGCTATTGCGCAATACTGTGCAATTGAAGATTTCTTGCTATTGTGCAATACTGTGCAATTGAAAATTTCTTGCTATTGCACAATACTAATTATATAATAATTTACACATCCTGTTTGGTGTGTATCTCCTACCATATCATTATTATTTGATTTTAAATATAAATCAGAAATAACCAACTTAAAATGGAAAATTTTAAAAGAAACAAAAAATGAAAAAAAGAAAAAAAAAGAAAAAAAAAAAAATCCCCCCCCAAATTTTTTGAACCCCCTTATGATTCATCACCCCCAAACTCAATCCCAGCCTTCCCTTTGTGGTATGGTACCTTGCAGTACAATTTCAGAGAGATCCATACACTTGAACACAAGTTATTGTCTGGAAACTAGAAAAAAATGTGTTTTTTGGCCCCTTTTTGGCCCCAAATTCCTAAACGTTTAGGGCAATTACCCCCAAACTCAAACCCAGCTTTCCCTTTGTGATATGGAACCTTGTAGTACAATTTCAGAAAGATCCATACACTTACACACAAGTTATTGTCATGAAACTAGAAAAATGCTTGTTTTTTGCCCCTTTTTTGGCCCCTAATTCCTAAAATTTGGAGGCAATTACCCCCAAAATCAATCCCAGCATTCCTTTAGTGATATGGAACCTTGTGGTACAATGTCAGAGAGATCCATACACTAACACACAAGTTATGTGTGGAAGTTACAAAAATGCTTATTTTTGGCCCCTTTTTGGCCCCTAATTCCTTTACTGTTATTACCATAACCCCCAAAATCAATCCCAACCTTCCTTTTGTGGTATTGAACCTTGTGGTAAAATTTCATAAAGATCCATTCACTTAAACTAAAGTTAGAGTGCGAAAACCAATGTGTCTTCGGACGACGCCGGACGACGACGACGCCGGACGACGACGACGCCAACGTCATACCAATATACGACCACAAAAATTTTTTTGCGGTCGTATAAAAAGGTGCAGTATTCCCCTTTTTATCAGATAAATGCACAGGTACTTCAAATGTCTTAAAAGATGTCTAATTTGAGAACAATTGTGCTGCTGGGTAATTATGTCTCATGGATATTTGAAACACGAATCCATAATGAAACATTACAATCTTCTTCAAAAGCTAAATTATAATGGATTTATTCAAGACAAATGGCTTCTTTATGTATGTTTCGATAGCACTGCAGACCTCAATTATTTTCTAAAATCCTTTGCACACCATAAAAAGATAAGAATTAACAGTCAGGACTATAGGACTTGTTGTTTTTGATTGCAACAAGACTTACTTTGGCAGCAGCTCTACACAAATTGGCAGCAAATCTACCTCCAACCTTGGTTTCATAAATGCTATTGGCAACAAAGTGATGAAGATGTCTCAGGGCACTCTGAAATATATATGTAACTTTACATATATAAAGCATTCCAAAATACAAATCAATAAAATATGTTTCATGAAAAGTAAATCAGTGTCCAAATTGCTCTATAATACAGACACTTCTTTTCAACTGCCACATTTATTCTAAAAAAGATGTTAAGAGTCATAAAGTCATATCATATTAACATTTCATTCCTTTTAGGTATAAAAATTACAATCACCTTAACTAATTTTACTTTCTTTATTCCCACTTTTTCTGATTCCTCCTTTGTCACCCTTATATAACTTGATATCATTGAGGATTGGTATAAACTTGTACAACATATTTTACAAAAGAACCATGAGCAATGCAATTAATACCTTAAATATGGCTGATGAACACTGTTGTAGAACTGAGGTAAATGTAGAGGACAATCCTACTTCTAACATCCTTTGTTCAGGGTTCAGTTTACTAACATCGCCATGTATATGCTCTTGAGCACTATTTTCTATTAAACCAAGCACCCTGCAATGTTCAAACCATCAAAATTATGTACAGTGACTAAATATTAAACATTCATGTTAAGTAAGCTAGATTATATACTGTCTACAAAATTACATATTTGGTAGTCTCTGCAGAATTTATTTAAAACTCAAAGTGATTTGGAGTTATTTATATACATGCATGATCATGTATATAAAATTGAGAATGGAAATGGGGAATGTGTCAAAGAGACAACAACCCAACCAAAGAGCAGAAAACAGCCGAAGGCCACCAATGGGTCTTCAACACAGCGAGAAAATCCCACACCAGGAGACAGGCTTCAGCTGGCCCCTAAACAAAAATGTTAATGTACACTTGTCTATTTCTGACGTCAAAATTTAACCTGTAGGTTTTTAAAATTCATGATTTTACTAGTTTTTGTCTTAATTTGGTTGCTGTCCGTTTATCTAAATTACTCAAATTCCTTATAGTGTTCAATTTATCCTGTTCTTGAACAAAGTTTTTTTTATCCAGCACAATGTAAAAGTGACTACTCAGCATATAACACATATGGGAAAAGATCTGCTTACCCTTCCAGAGCACCTGAGACACCAATTGGTTTTTGGTGGGCTTCACATTGCTCATTATCTATGCATGTAATGTTTTGTAGACTGTTGTTTTGTCTTTTTGTCATTTTTTGCAATATTTTGTGTTTCTCACTTTGGTATCTTCCACCTCTTTTTTTTTTAAATGTTCTTCACAAATTTTAAACTACTGATTAAGATTCTGATGTCTGATGCACTCTGTATAACTTCATCAGAAAATTTCATGCAAATCGGTAAATATTTGGAATGTGTATTTCTGGAAGTAATACTTTTATTGACATAAAAACTTTACCTATCCATGAACTGAAGAACAAAGTCTTCAAATTGAGCAGTGGCTGAACACAATTCTCTCTCATTCTGAAAGAGAACAAAAACTGAAACCATAAATATTATGAATTATGAATTTACACTAGAAACACCCATATAACATAATAGTAATCTGCAAACATGGAAATAAATTCATCCCTATTGATATATTTTTGTTTAATGATTCAAAGTGGTAGAAATTCATTTTTGCTTGTAATAACTGAGCTAAATTAAAATTGTTTATGTCAGAATAAAAACCTAGTAATAGAAAGTGTTATCAAACAAATTTTGATAATGCAAATGAACATCTATGACCGATAATTAAACCTAATTTTAGCACAATGAACACCTAATTTCACAAGCTATTTATATGTCATGTCCATCATGATGGCACACACCTTGTTATGCTAAGCATATCTCTTTCTTAATTCAAAGTATCAAGAAACAGGAAGTAAGTGTCTGACAGATTACAAAAGTTTACACTTTACAACTAGTCACTTTCAGTAACTGACAAAGAAAAAACACCTATTAAGAAATCATACAGAATATGACAGAAATTTACCCTACTGAGCTACTGTACATATGTTTACCATCATGTTTGAATGTTAAAGTATGTTTACCTCAGTGAGATCATTCCTCAAATGTAAAGCATCAGAACAGTCTACAATAGGTACTAATGTCACAAATGTTGATATCATCTGGAATGTTACCTGCCAAATAAAAAGATTTATAACTAAAATCACTATCATTTATGCTGTTACAGTAATTAATATGTTCGAATAAAAAGGAGATGTGGAGAATATATCAGTGAGACAGACAAAAGAAATCCATAAGTCATCTAAGATTCACATATTGTCTTCAACGGTAGATACATGTCTATACAATAAGACACAAATTAAATTGCCAAAAGTCTAGAAACTTTAAGATCAAATTACACAAAAACTTCAAAATGATTTCAAAGTAATGTTGTTTTAATCAGATTTATTAAATAATTAATGAAATGTAACCGTTTTCCAAATATACAAACTTATATACATTGAGGTGAAAAAATCCAAAGACAAAGGTATTCTACACGAAGAACTTTGCTTCTAAAAACCATAGCATTAGGAAAAAGAAATCTAAATGATAAATAATAAAAAAATTAAATCCCCCGAGAGACAGAGGCTGCATTGGCCTCCAAAAAGATGTCACCAGAAAATTTGCCGGTGTCCAATCATTTGCACCAAGACCCCCCTATTCAGACAATGAATCATGATTTGTCAACTATGTTTCCTACATGAAAATCGGTTTATAATTTGGGCTGGTAAGGAAGGCAGTATATCATGCAGGAGTAATGGTCCTTAATTGATTGCAATAACTCAGAACGGTTGAACCAAGAATTTACAAATGTTTTGTCTGATCAAAAACGAGAGTCAATTTCTTAATTGTCATTTTTCCTTTTGCTGTTCAGGAGTTATGGTCCTGTTTTTATTACTAACTGGCACTAAATGTTTTTATTTCAAATTACCAAACACTTTTTGAAATCATTTGGATCTATTCCTGGTAAAGCTAGATTCAGCAGTGGTAATACATGAGATTTTCCTTCAGGATAATATTTTGGACTCTGTAACATTGGACGTGCTACTGCCACAATACAAATCATACATGCAATCAATCTGTGTGGTTCTGTCAAATTCTCCATTGCTGGATACATTCTACAAAATATAATTTAGTTAATTATACTGCCTTTTACTTATATAGATGATGACATAGAGCACAGAAGGTAATGAGGTAGCATGTTTATTTTTCTTAATATTTACTATAGAATACTTTGTTATGGTTTTTCTCTGTACAGTTATCAAGATTCTTTGTATTTCAATATTAACATTAAAGAAGAATGTGTCTGAGGACAAGAATGCCCCCACTCAAGCTTTGCAATTTTTCAAGTTAAAAAGAGCATAACTCTAGAACGGTTAATGAGTCACTGCCCAAATTCGAACTATGTCTGCTTGTTGTGGTTTTAAGCACGGACGGACAGTCAAGGGTAACACTTAATGCTCCTTCGCCTATGGCAGGGGCATAAAAACAAAGTGACTATCTTTGTAACTGTCTACAGCAACAGTTTACTGTTAAAAATTCGTAAGGGTTCCGCGGAACCCAGTGTCTCACCTATTTTTGCTGTTAATCGCAGGCTCAGCAAAAATGAGGAAAAAAAAAAAAAAAAATATTCCTCCCTCTCGATACTTTCTTTTGATTGTAAGAAGCTTCTGTCCAAGTTTAGTAAAAATCCAGGATAGTTTATGAATCTAATAAATGTTTTAAAAACTTTAACTGCAGACTGTACATGTATGTAATGTTAACTGGCAGAAAAACTAAGTCCATTTATAAGTAAAATACGGAAAAACAGGAACAAAATTTCCTTCTAGATACTAGCTTTTGATCATAAACAAGCTTCTGTCCAAGTTTGGTACAAATCCAGGATAGTTTAAGAAAGTTATTAAAATTTTAAAAACTTAACCACAGAGTGAATGTAATGTTTCCTGGCAGAAAAACTAAGTCAATTTATAAGTAAAATACTGAAAAAATGGATTTTTTTTTTTACCAAATTTACTTTTGGATACTATCTTATGATCATAAACAAGCTTCTGTCCTAGATTGGTAAAAATCCAGGATAGTTTAAGAAAGTTATTAAAATTTTAAAAACTTTAACCACAGAGTGAATGTAATGTTTCCTGGCAGAAAAACTAAGTCCATTTAGAGGTAAATTACGGAAAAAATGGATTTTTTTTTTTACAAAATTTACTTCTGGATACTATCTTATGATCATAAACAAGCTTCAGTCCTAGTTTGATAGAAATCCAGGATAGTTTAAGAAAGTTATTAAAATTTCAAAAACTTTAACCACAGAGTGAATATTTGTGGACGCCGCCGCCGCCGACGGAATGTAGGATCGCTATGTCTCGCTTTTTCGACAAAACTCGAAGGCTCGACAAAAATGGAAAGATTTTGGTTCAATTTCAATCAAGTTTCAAATGCAAGAACTATTGCAATTAAAGCAATTAAAGAGGTTAAGTTTATGAAATAAAAGTCTCTATAACAAAATTGAAGTTACTAAGATAAACCCAATCACCTTTCAAGAAGATCAGGAACAACGATTTCTGGACGTAGATTAGACAAGTGTCGAAGAGCTATCGCTGAGTCTTGGCTGCCATATTTACTGAACATAGATACACAGATTACAGGTCTCATACTCTCAACAAATTTAGTAATGTCATCTTCTGTTAGCTTCTCATTGTCTGGTATTGGTGTATGCCAGGAGGATTTCTTATATCTCTCTCTGCATACAAAAGAAAAAGAAAAATGAAATTTACCATTTATTTGACCAATTTATTTTTAAAATATTATACATTTAAAATATCTATGGCAGGAAGTTTATCAATAGTTGTTATACTGAAATGTATAGTCTTCAGAAATATCTAAATTATTTCAATGGTCTACGAATTCCATAGCTGAGGTCAAGGCCAATGACATGTTACTCCTACAAATACTAAATCATTTAATTTTAACAATTAAAATCATTGCTGCAAGAGCATTCATTTCTATGTCTTCCCTCTAGCATATTTCTTTCCAAGTACCGGTAAGACATATATTTACTATATTTTACCTGTGTAATCTCTTGACAAGTAACTTCGGAAACCACATCAGCAACCCACTTAACTTGATCTGCAAAATCATAAATATTTACAGCAAATAAATATATACTCAATCTCCTTTGTATAAAAAATAATAATCAAGAAGACAACATATATGTATGTGCTGTTATTGGTTGATCACAGATTTTGATATGAATATGTCTAAATTTCTTATTGTTTCCAATACTTACCTTCATAATTGTTAATCGAATAATGGTCATCCAGTATATTCAGGATCAAAATATTCAAGTACAATGAATAAAATAACCCTACTTTGTTTAAAAGTGATATGCTGACTTGATAGTTTCAACTTGATGACTTCAAAGGTTATACAGTCAACAAAATGCAGGTCCTACCTAAACAAATCTTTCTAACTCTGAAACCTAATTCTAAACCATAAATGATAAATGGTTTACTTTTAAAAAAAAAAAAAGCAATTATCAGTTTTAAAGTCTTTAGTTTTTCTGTGATTTGTATTTTCTAAGATATGGACCTCAATAAAAAGTTAACAGACACCATTCATGTGTACAATGAAAGTCAAAATGATCTAATTTCAGCTGGACCTTTGTCAATAAACATGATGTATCAACTGACAATAGATCTAAAAATTGTAGTTACTTAAATCTGGACACCAACACAAAAATTAAATGTGACAGACAAACAAATGAATAGCTGGAAAAACTTTGTCAGACAAGGGGTTAAAAATTATTCACAGTAGAGTTCATATCACAAATATATGACAAATGCAAAAAAAATTATATGGGAACATGTTGTGAATTACAAAACCCATGCTAGACCTTTTTCATGATAATTTGGGAGCATGTTTAATTAATACTTCCCAAGATAAAAACAATATTTCGTCATATTTATTCAAATTTCACAGGAAAATATAGAATTTTCTTGTGAAAGCACTTATTAGACATGCTTAAAATTTTATATGATTAAATGGTCTATTGAATATCTCAAAGTTAATATTTGTATAGTCAATATCATTAACTGTCAAACTTACATTCCATTTTCCCAGGTTTGAAGGATGGTAGAATGTCTGTAAAGTCTTGAATAACTTGTTTATATGTTCCTGTACATTTTTGTTTCTTCCCTAAAACAAAATATAACAATGAAAAGTTCTTCATTTCTTATTAAATCATCATTTTTTTATCTTCAAAAATCGTTCTTTACCTAGTTTATATATTCATTATTTTAAATACCCTCAAAAATATCCTTAAACTTATTATGCATCACATCTAAAAGAATATGTCTACTTTTCAAATACATTTTATATGAAACCCCAAATTAATAATATGAACAGAAACTTGAGAAATAGACTTGATGACTACTACTTAACATTACCATTTAATAAAGACAAATTTCTTTTTGACTGTTTTATCGTGTTGTTATCTTATTGACATATACCAAAAATCTTCTTTTATTCGGAACAATGATACAATAAAGAAAAGCTTTAAAAAAAGCAGATAATTTACCATTAGAGAAACAACCCATGTGACAGTGCTGTGTACATCATATGTGTTATTTGTTCTTCCAATCTGTACTTCCTGTGTTCCAACTGGTAAGTTAAAACTTCTCAAGAATCTGTTGAATATCTAAGTAAAATACAAATCACACTGTTAAACATTATTTATAGATATCTGAACATTTTTGGGTCTGCAAAATGTGAAAAATTATTTCTTTCTGTCTTGGTTGTTTGTGTCATAGAGTTTCTGTCTCATGGACATATACTACATGACTCCATTTATTCATATGTATCATACATATGGTGGTGAATTGTGAAAAGTAATTCAAATGTTTCATCATTTGATCTTTGGTAAATCCTTTAATCCATCAAATATATCAAGACCATAATCATGGATTTATAAAATAAAATTACAGTATGAAATTATGTGAGGCCAGTCATTTAAAAAAATTATGACACTGACGACAACGATGTGATTTATAACCACCCTGACTACCCATGAGGGTCTTGCACAGTCATTTTTGTTGACATTGCATTTTTAACAAGCCTCCTTTATTAATGACATAATAACAATGAAAATTCAATTCTTAATGGGTAATCTACAAGATGGACTGACCAAAATAGTGTTACATCACAAATTGTAGCACAACAGACACTGTTTATTTTACCTTAGAAATGTGTGGTGTCCAGTCAATATAACCAATATTATCATGTGCCAATCTTGCAAATAAGTTAACTAAACTCTGAAATATTAGAAACAAAATTATATACACTAGCAGAATTCATTTAAACCTTTTTTGCATCTGAAAAAAACTAAAAAGTTGTACTTTGCTTAAGTACTAAACTACTTTTAGTATCTAAATACTGAAACAAAAAACAGAATAACAAATTATCAATATAAATCTTGCCTGGTCCTCATTTTATCAGAACAATGTTATCATCAAAGAAATTGTCATTAAAACCACTTCATATCAAATTCACATAATAAAAGGTCATCATTTACTTAAAATTATGTCATAAATGTTTGTGTAAACACATTAAGTTAGGTCTCAAAATTTACTTGGCAGATTTAAGTTTATAGGGAGTTTGACATCCATGCATGAATATATTTAGTTGAGTATAATGACCATTTACTAGTAAAGAGAAAAAGAAAGACAAAATAAGACTAATTAAAGTAATTGAAAGAGAAAGGTAGGTTATAATGACCTTATCTGATGTACAGTACGGGTAGAGACTTATTATTATGGATGTCTTAGTCCGTCTAGATGTCAGACTGGTCGGACAGTTGTCTCAGTGTAATTAACACCTGCTGTGATATTAACCTGTACATCAATATCCTTGTGGAAGGTCGTAAATCAATCTGTACCAGCTTGATTAGAATTAATTTTACCTGTACAGATATTTTAGTATTTATGGAGGATAGATAATAAATGTAAAATATTGTTTTGTATTCAAAGAAAAAATTACAATAAAAATAAAAATTTAATATGAATATGGGATCAACTTTTTTTTAACTTGAAAATGAAAGAAAGACAATTTTTAACAATGTACTGTAAAAATGTGTTGCCAATTATAATAATTGTGTTTGTGCCAATAAACTATTTGTATTTGTATTTGTAAACCGTAAATATTTCATTTTATTCAAAATTATAACAACCAGGACTGTTTTCAATCGAAGTTTTAATCAAAATGTTGAGACATCAATCCCGTAAATTATACGAGTTTTCGTTGATGGTTACAATATTTCCCCCTTTTAACGTCCTGTTCCTTTATGTTATTAATAGAAACACAATTTTAAGTATAAGGCCAACATATCATATTTATAAAGTATATAAACAAATTGAATATAGGCATTGTGAATAAACTGTTATTTTCCTTTCGATACCACGTTCCCCATCGGAGCCTCTACGTCTATTCATACCTGTCAATCATTTCTCGCACGTAAAACAATTTGGTCAGCCAGATCATCTGTGCTTTCTATTTTGACATATATTTCCCGTTAATATCTTTGAAAAAATTGTTTTTTTTACAATATTTATAACGCCGTGATCATCTTTCGATTCCTAGTTTTATATAAAAAAAACTTTTAATATGCACGTCAATATTCTATGACCCAGCATTATTTTAAATTTTGTTTGTTAATAAATTTCCATATAATGGAAATAACAGATTTGTTGACACTCGTTGTATTATAACAAAGATATTGCCTTTCTATTTCCATGTTTGAAATTTTAATGAAAATCATGTTTTTATAAACATATTTTACGAATTGTGTCAATCAATACACGAAGATCAAAGTTTTACACTATTCATGATCAGCCGTCTTTACTTTTGCGTCGTATTTCTAGCCATTCTCTAAAGCTTGTGCAGTCAGTAAGATTTTGTAAATCGATGTCGGCAGTTTAAATTGTATAATTCCCGAAATTTAAAGGAGGTGTCCGAATAAATTATTTAAATAGGAATCTGGGTGTTGACTGATAAATATAATAAATAAATTAGTTAAAGAAGACTAAAGCTTGTTTTGTTTATATTGCAAAACATGAAACCCTGGCGGGTTAAAATGCAAAGAATATAATTATATTTATAATTACAAGGATTAATTAAATTTTCTATTCTGGTAAATCAATTATTAATGGATCTCGATCAAGAGCCTCAAAACTAACGCACAATACTGCCAATCATTACGTATCAAATTAAATCATGAATAGATTTTCCCACGGTCGGTCAGTAAGGTCACCTGTGTTAACTGTTACGATATTTCCCGCCATATGAAAATCACGTGCATTTGACAAAATTAATCCAAGCTATTTTTAGCTTTTCACGGCAAATATTTTTTTTTAGATTGGTGTCAAAAATACAACATAAAAGTTAACATGCATTGTGCGTAAATTAATATTATGCAATTAAGAGTCAATGCAGCACCACAAAATTATTTAAATAGGAGTTATTGCATTTCTTTAGACTACAAATCATAGTAAATATTTAATTAACTGGTCATCAAACAATTGAATGCTTCTAGTTTTAATGTCCATTCATTTCAGTGGCAATTATTTCATGCATATTTAACAAACACAGAAATATCAAAATAAACCTAATTCCAGAGAAGAATCGTTATCTTCTTCTAGTGTTATTATTTGCGTACTACTTTAGTTATATATCACCAACTTTCGGACAATATTTGTTTACAGTAAAAAGTAAATTCACAATTATAAAGAATCACCAAACTACTAGTATACAAGTAATGCTCACTGTAATTATTTTTATTTCAGAACTGACCCAACGCAGACTGAAAATTAAATACAAATGTAGTGTTGTCAAACTAAAACGTATGCAGCAGCACTTTGCACATCATTCTGCTAATCAATGGGTTTACGTGGAAAATAAATCAGTAAAACAAAAATAACCTTCCAGAAATAAAAAAGAAAATATTTTAAAAACTGTATGCCAACAAATACGAAAAAGATACATAACAAAAAAAAAAACAAGGGAACATAGAAAATAATATTTTGAGGAATATAAACAGCATTTGAAATATAAAAAGCCATAATTAAAAAAATAGGCTATTTTTATTAAAACAAAGTTGTCTCCAGTACTTCACCTGTAAAAATATTTTATGTCAAATACGATGTAGAACTAATCAATAAAGTGACTGAGAGATTTAAATCACATGGTAACCTGATTCTGAAATCAGTGAAGCGTAATAATCTAGTAGCACGGATTGAGATGAAAGGACAATTATAATACCGTTCACACCTGGATCTGTTGATTAATGACCATACTACCTACCATAAAAAAGTCGGATTATTCATTTCCGACATGTCCCAGTCCGTTATTTATAGTAATAAGTCTCTACCCGTACTGTATGCCTCACAACCTTTGGCCAAAAATTAACTCTGAGATGTCAGTATGATGAACTTCTTTTTTATGAATGCATATTATTATTGACTACAAGGGAGGAAAATTCTTCCATCTCATGACTGAATGTCAATGTTTTAGCAAAATCTTAAATGATTTGGTTTCATTGAGGACCAGAAAATTAGCTTAGATGAAAAATCAATTGACTGGATGGAAGGCTGATGTCCCTGGTTGTACCTCCTTACCAATTTGACTGATTGTAGGAGTCTGGAATTGAACAAAATGCAGAAGTTTCGTAGGTATATCGGTACCTGAATAGTCATCAACCAACATAAAAAATACATGAACTTAAAATAACTTACTGCTTCCCATGGTGGTGTGTTATGGCAGGAATCCCATAAATCTATAAATTCTTCAAACCACAGTCTGAAAATAAAATAATGTAAAATATTTCAGAAAATGAAGTACGACTGAAGAAAAAGCAAAGCAATAAAATGTTAAGACTAATTTGGGGGGATATTCACTTCTGGTTGCAATTTGTTTTCACCTCACCAAATCAATCACAAGAAAGCAGACAATTTAAAGAATAAGAATGAGAAAAAGTTTAATTTATTCTTTCCAGCTACCATAATCGGTTTTGTAAAGTCCTCACTGGTACATTGTCCGCATCCCCCTTTACAGCACGAGAATTCAGGGAAAAACCTTTTCGTAACTGGTTGAAAACTTCTAATGGAACTGCTGTAATTTCTTATCATGTGTGATCGTTTGTGGTATTTTCATACATGGTTTTCCATGAAAATCACCCCATTTCCATCATCAAGTAGATGAAAATGCTTGTCAATAATTCTGGAACACATCAGGAGTGTTAAAATAAGTCAAATTCCCCAAAATACAATTGAGAAAGTTATGTTTGACATTAGATAAATGTACGAATAGCACGTGTAAATCGAAAATAAATACGGCGAAACCCATAATGAATAGATATCACTAGAATACAACTTTGAAAGTAAAACAGTTCCGTCCTTTAGTTAAATACTGTTTAATATATCCATCACATTGATGTTTGAAGAATCTTAAGCAAAACAGAACACATGCGTCAGTATTATGAAACACAAAAAACAGAACGATAACCGATTATGTTTTGTAGTTTATACATCGTTATGCGTATACTTATACACTTTTTCATTCCGTTAAATACAAGCTGATTCCAGTTTATGTTATGCAATGCTATGAAAAGAAACAAAGAATTTGTAATGAAGCATTTAATTTTGATATGTATCAGTTAATTGAATTTTAAATGCATATTAATATAGATTTGGTAATAATAAGGGCGTCCTCTATTTCAGTAACAAACATGGCAGAATGTAAACAAACTTCACAAAATTGAGTTTCTCTTATATGTCTTGCTTATTATACTTTATAATCAGCACCCCTGCTGGCAAGATAAATTTTGGAGTAAAAAAAACACATACTATATAAGCCAGAATTTAGTACTATATTTTGCTAGATACAATTGTGTTTGCATAAGATTAAGTACTTGGATGAGAAATCAGAAATTGTATCAATTTCAACGTCTCAGAGCCAATACTGCTAACCTCGATTCTATACCAGGGCCAATACAGAAACAGCCAGTTAATTACACTACTAAACAAGAATGCAACTGTTGTAATGTTAAGCATACCCCAACTCGTAATTCAAAGTATCGTAAAACAGGAAGTAGGTGTCTAAAAGTTCAAAAAGTGCACACACATAACAACTCATCACTGTCAAATGGTTGACTAAATATGACTTCATTTTGAGAAAGAGTGACAAAAGTTTTTGAGTTTATTTAAAATAATGAATAAACAGCTGCGCCATGAGCACATGATACGCCCGTCGTCTTGTGTGTGAATTTTTATGCAATAATCATAAATAGTTTCTGACATACGGCCTGACATGCGAAAACCCCCTTTTTTTACAAAAAACTCAATATCTGTAAAATAGAATTTTGAATCAAAACCAAAAAGTATACAGATCTTAAGATTAATATAACTAAGAAGTGTGTAAAATTTTAAGCAATAATCCTAAATCGTTTTTGAGATACGGCGCGACATGTGAAAAACCCCTCACCCTTTTTTTACAAAATACTCAATAACTCAAAAATAAAATTTTGAATCATCACCAAAAAGTATGCAGATCTTAAGATTGATATAACTAAGAAGTGTGTAAAGTTTTAAGCAATAATCATTAACTGTTTTTGAGATACGGCGCGACATGTGAAAAACCCCTCCCCCTTTTTTAACAAAATACTCAATATCTCAAAAATAAAATTTTGAATCATCACCAAAAAGTATACAGATCTTAAGATTAATATAACTAAGAAGTGTGTAAAGTTTTAAGCATTAAGCATAAACTGTTTTTGAGATACGGCGCGACATGTGAAAAAAAACACACACCTGTTTTAGTTACTAAGTCCTGTAACTCAAAAAGTTTTAATCTTATTTTCACCAAAAAGTATACAGATCGTTTGACCATCATAAGAAACAACTATTATAAGTTTCATGAAATTTGGAAAAGTCGTTCTCAAGTTACGGTGCGACATGTTTACGCCGGACAGACGACATTTGTATACCATAATACGTCCCGTCAAAATTTTGACGCGCGTATAAAAATTCAAAGTATCCAGGAACAGGAAGTAAGTGTCTAACAGTCATTCTGTTCCGTAGTACTTGAGAAAAGAGTGATGAAAATTTTAAGTTCATTCAACATATTGAAAATTCAAAGTATTGCAAACATGGAGTAGATGTCTGACAGACCTGAAAAGTGATCACATGGCACAACACATCACTGTCTAGCTGCTGACCAAATACTAAAATATTTTGTTCAGTGGTACTTGAGAAAAGCATGACAGGAATATTTGTTAAATGAACAGAAGGACAAACAAAAGGACAAGATGAATGCAATATAACCCCCACGTTTAAGAGTAGGATAAAATAAAATATTAGGCAAAACCCATGTGCCAGGTATTAATTTCCCTTTCTTTTCTATGTTATGTTGTTTCTTCCTTATATGTACATGTACCAGGAAAGACCTATATACATGTACTATGCATTGTGTGAACTATTAAAAATATAACCTATTAATTCAGTTTTTCTACTTACTTAAATCCCTGATCATGCTCTGAAGGCGGTAGATTTGTAGGCAAAAAGTACTCAAAACAATGCATGGCTTTAATATGTGTTACATCAAAAGGACACATTAATGGCCTCCATTCATCTAACATCTCTTGTGTAGCTTCTATTGGGAAGTACCTAGATTTTATAAAAACAGATTATTTCACATTATACAGTATACATCCTATCATTAAATAAATTTAAAAAGCACCATTAACAAATGTTAAACTTATATGAAACTTCAAATTTAAAAAAAAGTTGTATAAGTTTTATATACATGATATACTTAGCTTGAATGGCTAAGTTTTACTATAAAACAAGTGTATGTGAACATTCTTGTAAAAGAAATTCCTTTACATTATCAAAATCTTCATAAATGTACTGCTTTGAATTATTGTCTTCCTGTGCAATAATTCACCGATATTTTCCAGTATGCAGTGACCATAACTACAACCTCTCGTTAGAACTTCGGCCACCTCACAGCGCAAGTGTAAGGGGAAAACTGTGATGAAAGAATGTAAACAAATATGCACTGGAAGGTAAATAGTAATAACTGATTTTTTAAGAAAACAAGCATTCTGAGAGTATTGCATGGCAATACATAGTCCCCTACCGGGTAAAAATTCATTTTACTGGAACAAAATGCTAACTTGTTCTATAACTTGTCATGGTGTAAACAAAAAGTAAACATCATGTCAATATCTTCAAGCATGACTAAAAACAGTGTGGAAAACTGATTATATGAGTGAAAAAAATATTAGATATGATTAATAGTTCTCTAAAATAAGTTATGATGTAATACAGTGTATATCTATTTTCAAATTATAATCAAATATAATTAATAGTTCCAAATATTTTTTCTTTCATTTGTCACAAACTAATATAGATTTGTAACTTATCTATAAAATGTCAACAACTTTTATCTACACAATGTAATGTATTGAAATATATACATTAAAAAACATAGATTATTATCTAATTAAAGGATTTCTCTTCATAATTTTTTTTATATATATAGCATTCAGAAAATTAGTTTATACTAAATAACAAACAAACCTGCCAAAAAATTCTTCAAATAATTTAACACAGAATGTCTTTTAAAAAATGAGTTATCTCCCTTTGTACAGAAATATGGTTTAACATAGTACTCTAACATTAGATATGGTCCAGAGTTATGGTCCATAACTCTGGACTAAATCATCAGACCGGAACAAAATTCGAACTTGACCTATAACTTATCATGATTAAACTATATACCAAATATCAAATCAATATCTTCAAAAACGAAGAACAAAAGTGTGGAAAGCTGATTTGCCAGACTGACGGATGGATGGACGGACAGATGGACAGACAGACGGACGGAGTGCAAACCTAAAATCCCCTTCGACTTCGTCGGTAGGGGACTAAAAATAAAACAACAAATCATTTAACAAATGTTCAGGAAAAGTTTAATTAACACATGGGAACGCATGGAAAATGTACAAGAAAACATATCATGGCTCTATCAATTCACTTATTTGGCATGTGTTCCACATGTGTATCAATATCACGATCCGGTAAACTTCTGCAACAAACTCGAAAGTTAATTAGCCTGCGATCAACAATCACTGAATGAAATGTTATTTGTCGAAAATACATTATAGATTTGTAATAATATAAAAAACATGCATACAGGATTTAGTTTAGTATATATGCATGCGTTGGTTCAATAATTTTGATATAAAAATTACAAGAAACTCACTTCATATGACTTTAAGGCTGAGAATATTTTGATTTTTTTAGAACTATGAACTCCCATGGTCAAAAATGATAAACTCCTTCACCCATACAAAAATGTTCTTATTAAGAACCCTGTCTAAATAAATAAACATGTGAAATAGAGATCTACTTACACTCTACATTGCTTGACTAGACTTTTTATAACATTCTCAATGTTACTGAAATATAAAAAAAAATAATATGGCATACTGTTAAAACTTATCACTATCATGACTATTGTGTATATATAATATTAACTTTTTTTCCATTTCTTCTTAGTCTGGTTCTTACTTTTTTCATTGAAGCAGTCACATTCAGTGTTTGAGTTCTGATATAAACATTTACACATATACTATTCACGAACAGTTTTAAAAATGTACATTTGGAACAGACTATAAGTTAATAAAACTAGCTCTTTTGAATTTAATACTCTGAAAGATTATATATTTGGCTTGCTAAATTAGGTCTCATGGGACATGGGTACCTGATGAAGACTATTACCTGAACACGTAGTGTGTATGGAAATATGTGTAAATACGTATTTAACAAAGTTTCTTGTGTTTTCTATGGACTGAAGGGTAAGGCAAAAGAGTCTAAAAATTGTTGAGTCTAAATTCAAATAGTTTAACAAACTTATTTTATTTGAACAAAGGCATTGTTACATCAATATCAAAATTTTAACAAATAATATTTCTTATGAAACTACATTAATGTAATTCGGATAGTAACTTTACAGAAAATATCATTGATCTATCACAAGTTGTTCCTATCAAACTGACTTAAGCAAAAAACTTAACATTGAAAATTAATTCAGTCACTGGACCATGACCTAGGGGACAATAATAAAATTACCAAGGTTTGTTTATTATCACAAAGAAATTAAATAACTTGAGTTGATAGAAAGCAATATCCAATTCTCACTGGTTATGAAACCAGTATTATTTTTCATAATAATACATAGCAACTTTATGAAATAACAATTACCTTGGAAACAGCTGCAAACCATGGTGTTCGTATGGTGAATAAGCCACATATTCAACCAATTTATATAATGGCCTCCAATGAAGAACTAAATCTTCTCTGTTAAGTAGATCTCTTTTCCTATAAATTATACAACAACTATGATAAGGGGGAACACAAAAATTGAAGGAAAAAAAACTTCTTTATGTGACTATACCACCATGTTTGTTTTGTGTGATTAAATCTCAAAACATAGATCTATAATGCATGCTGGGGCTGAACTGGACAAAAAAAATCAATTATTACTGTAACAATAGATTTGCAGATTCAGACTTTTGTCAGCTGTTAATTAAGAGCTAAAGTATCCCAAAAAGATAAAGAACTTGACAATCATACCACATCTCTTAATTTTTATATTGATAATTTCATCAACTCTAAAATTCAGCTGGGCAGAAGCATAAAAATAATAAAATAGTCGCTGGGGCGCAGCTTGATACGACCGCAGAGGTCGAACCCTAAACAGTTGGGGCAAGTATGGACACAACATTCAAGCTTGATACAGCACTGAATTTGGATTGTAATTAAATATTTGACACAGCATAGGTTTCTCACACAGAATGAAAGTGGTCTAAGAACTTAAAAACTTTTAATTTACCTATTCAAACCATATCATTATTATTTGTTTTTATATATTAATCAGAAATAACCAATTTAAAATGGAAAATTTTAAAGAAAAAAAAGGAAAAAATAATCCCCCCAATTTTTTGAACCCCCTTATGATTCATCACCCCCAAACTCGATCCCAGCTTTCCCTTTGTGGTATGGTACCTTGCAGTACAATTTCAGAGAGATCCATACACTTGAACACAAGTTATTGTCTGGAAACTAGAAAAATGCTTATTTTTGGCCCCTTATTCCTAAACTTTTAATTACCCCCAAACTCAATTCCAGCTTTCCCTTTGTGATATGAAACCTTGTAGTACAATTTCATAAAGATCCATACACTTACAAGTTATTGTCATGAAACTAGAAAAATGCTTGTTTTTTGCCCCTTTTTGGCCCCTTATTCCTAAAATTTGGAGGCAATTACCCCCAAAATCAATCCCAGTATTCCCTTTGTGGTATGGAACCTTGTGATACAATGTCAGAGAGATCCATACACTTACACACAAGTTATTGTCATGAAACTAGAAAAATGCTTGTTTTTTGCCCCTTTTTGGCCCCTAATTCCTAAAATGTGGAGGCAATTACCCCCAAAATCAATCCCAGCATTCCCTTTGTGATATGGAACCTTGTGGTACAATTTCAGAGAGATCCATACACTTACACACAAGTAATGTCTGGAAGTTACAAAAATGCTTATTTTTGGCCCCTAATTCCTTAACTGTGGGTACCATAACCCCCAAAATCAATCCCCACCTTCCTTTTGTGGTATTGAACCTTATGGTAAAATTTCATTGAGATCCATTCACTTAAACTAAAGTTAGAGTGCGAAAACTAATGTGTCTTCGGACGACGACGCCAACGTCATACCAATATACGACCACAAAATTTTTTTTGCGGTCGTATAAAAATAGAACACTTCGAAAAGTTGTGGCACTTTTATCAAAAATCAGTAAGGTAGGTGTATTATTTTGAACCTAAAATATATATTAATGATAGCCTTTTCAATCTTGTTAAGGCCTCTGGGAAGTATCTCCACTATAGAACTAAGCCAAATTTAATGAATACTGGCTGTCAGTCTACCTGTTATGACAGAGTGACAGCATCTGCAATAACTGAATACTTCAACTTAATACAGTCTTACCGACAATACTTACTTAAGCAGATTAATCAACATTGCTGCAAACTTCTGTACTAATGACAACTCGAGTTCAGGCATCACAACAAGTTCATACATCAAATTAATTAATGCTAGGTGATCTTCTTTAGAAAACTTCATTCCATTTAACTTTATGTACCTACAATGATTAAATAAAAAAAAAATCTTGAGATGGAAATGACATCATACAAATAAATACTGAGAAACAAATTATTTCTTGCCTTAAAATAAATTCAACATGATAATATTTATCTTTTTTTTTTAGATACATTTATATTTATTTTCTCTTTCTTTCACTTTGATTTTCAATACTTTGATGTCAATTTTTTTTAACTTTCACTGTTCTTAAAATCTTTATCTTTAAATATATGCTTTTTGGACCTTTTCAGGTTCAACATAACCTTTTGGCAAATATAGCTGGACTAAGATAAATAACACATATCTTAACTAGATTTTGCTATGCATTTTTTATTGTTCCTGCAGTGTATTGATTGACATGGACAATAAAGGAATAATAGAAACCTGCACAACAATAGGTGATTTAAACTGTGTAACTGAGTGGATGGTATCAAGTGAAACTCAGGTGTTTGTTTATTTTGCCATCTCTCTGCAGAATTATGCACATCAAATTCCAGGTAAGTTTTTACATTTTTAAAACATTCAATGCATAAAACTTTAATATATCTAGGTCTAGCCATGCTTTTAAACTATCATAGATGCCCTAGCTGTCTGCACTCAGAATAGATTTTATGGTGTAAACAGGGCCCTACATTATCAGTACATTTATTTGTCACTTTCTTTCGATGAACCTTCAACCTTATCAGCAAATTCTAAAAATGGTAAATTGCTAAAATAATAAAGATAAGACATATGTCATGTACCATGCTGATTCGTAATTTTGATTGTCCGGTATGTTCATTTTATTTAACATTTGATAACTAAATGAATGGACTTATCTGACAAACAAAATTCACTGCACTGTGCGGTATTTCTGTATGTGCACAACTGCTTTGAAAAATAATGAAAGAGCTATATGAAATTTCAATAGATTACATTGCCATTAAATGGAGTTGCAAAAGCTCTTTTATTATATGTCTCTGTAAAAATGCAAACAGAAAATATAATAAGAGGTCATTATATTGATGGCAATATGGTGCAAGATTTGACAATGAGAGCTCTGAATGATGTGATCTTCTCCACATTTAATGTATTATGCATTGCTAATTATGATTTCTTTTCTGATAATAAATAGATGTTAATCATGTCAGATATTACCTAGTTAATTGTCCACTCCAATGGTTAGCACCAGTTTTAATGTCTCTGAAGGCAACAGATTTTCCAAGGTTGGCCTTGATTTCCGCAAAAACGGCATTTGATTCAACATCAAGATTGTCTGCATATGGTAAATACTTGTTATAAATTTTCTCCTTTTGTGGGAGAAATCCCAAAATCTTTTCTCTCTCGTCCATTCTTAGAGAAAAGCTGAAAAAAATAGATACTATTCACGATGACTTGCTACAGTTGGATCCATTTTGGGTTATTTTAGAAAGACGAAATGCAATTGGATGATCCCTAATGATTGATCCAATCAAAAAAATTTTAAGAAACAGATCACCTGTGAACAGGAACGATAATCACCCTTAACTTTCATTTTCATTTTACCAAACACAAAATAACCAAGTCATCATTCTTTGACATATCACCTGACAGCAATGTCAGATTCTGGAAGATTCTCTTCAGTTGATTACGAAATACACGGAAGTGTACAGGGTATGAGTTGCCTATATTTTTATGAGACCAGAAGAAAAATAGGCGTTTGGTGCAAGCCCCCCCCCCCTTATTCTTCCCCTTCTCGGTGTTTATTGTTTTTTTGTAAATATTCTCTAATTTTAAACTTATTTGCACTTAATATTTAATGCATTCTTTCATGCATCCATATGATTTTACAATAAACAGTAGTGTAATTTGTAAATAGTTTGCTCCTCTAGTTTTTATATCCCCGTTTACGGGACATATTATGGTATACCGTTGTCACTCCGTCCGTCTGTCAGTCAGGCCGTCTGTCTGTTGTCAACATGTCGGATAATAACTCAAAAAAGCTTTAACCAATTTTCATGAAACTTTGGTGAATTGTTTATATCTATTGACGTAAGCTTTTGATGTTTATAAATTTCAGATTTTACATTTCTGAGTTATTGGATTTTATTTTTGAAAGAAGGGGGGATTTTCCAGTTTTCGGACAATAACTCAAAAACGTTTTAACCAATTTTCATTAAACTTAAGTAAATTGTTCATATCTATCATGTCTATTCATGTATTAAAGCTCCCTTATGATTTTTATAAATTTTAGATTTTACGTTTCCGAGTCATTAGTTTTTATTTATAAAAAAGGGGGATTTTCCAATTTTTGGACAATAACTCAAAAATGCTTTAAGCAGTTTTCATGAAACTTTGGTGACTGGTTTATATCTATTAGAATAAGCTCCCTTTAGTTTTTTTTATTAATTAAGTTTATTCGTTGAAAAAGAAATGGGTGTATCATGCGCTCATGGCACAGCTCTTTATTTTGTCTTGCCTCTGACGAAAGTATAAGAAAGACTCAAGTGAGACATAGGGATTACAATTAAGCAACAGCATAAACTATTTGTATAAAGCTTTACATTACAGAAGGAAGAAAACCTGTATCTGTCATATCTTGTATTCAGATGCCTTATGTTACAAAGTTTCCACCTGTCATATCATTTTCCTTGATCTCATTTTCATGGTTCAACAACTGTTTAAAAAACAGTATAATTTTGTTTATCATGTGAATTTCTCATTTTCTGAGAGTCATAGGATTACTAAATTTGGTACATGTATATGGGTTCATTGCAATGCCTACATGTTTGTTGGACAGAGTTCATGTGACCTCAACCTCATTTCATGGACCTGTGATCAAAGTTAAAGTTACATAATAAGGTCCGTTTCTTAAATAATATTAGCAGTAGGTCAACTATATGTTGTGTATGGAATGATTGTAAGGAGTACATGTCAATTTGACATGTTTCATCTGACCTTGATCTCATTTTCCTGGTTCGTAAGTCCATGTTAAGTTTTTGTGTTTTAGTCTGTTAAACAGATACTACAATTGCAAGTATAAACAATAGTTCAACTATATTCTTGTCTCCAGTATATGGAATGATTGTAAGGTATACATATCCGTCTTGCAGGATTCATCTGTTCTTTATCTTATTTTAATGATTAAAGGGTTCATTTGTCAATGTTGAGTTTCCATAGTTTGTACCTCTTCTCTGGTCCTGCTTTGTTTCATAAAAAAGAATGGCCAAGATAGATACAAGTATCTTGTCTTAGGGATGGATAAATCGTACTTTGTAACAAAATCACTCTGATTCAAACAAAAAATTCTCTGAAACTGACTTTATCATGATTATCGAAATGCTTGATTTCTTGATTGACAACATATTTGTTACGTTTGGAGGACATGTTTTTCAACAAACAACTAGCATTCCCATGGGAACCAACTGTGCTTCTCTTCTTGCTGACTTGTTCCTTTATTCATATGAGACTGACTTCATACAGGAACTTCTTAGGAAGAAAGAAAAGAAGTTAGCAGGCAGTATCCTTTAACTTTACTTTCCGCTATATAGATGATGTTCTCTCACTAAATAACTCAAAATTTGGTGACTATGTTGAACATATCTATCCCATCGAACTAGAGATAAGGATACAACAGATACAGTTAAGTCGGCCTCACATCTTGACTTACATCTAGAAATTGACAATGAGGGCCCAGTGATATTGTTTGCCTCAAATTACATCCGAAATTCAGCTTTTCCCCCTAGAGAAAATTCCCAATTACCAAAAAAGTGGCTTAAAATTCCTCCCAATAAGTTGTACATTTTTCCCAAAAGTGATGGCATTGGTATTAATGAATGTAAATTTCGTTTTCATGTTGTTATTTTGATATTATGAAAGCGCTTTTGAGATCCAGGTTTCTGATCAGAATCATCACGGTGTTTGTAAATAAAGGCAACAGTAGTATACCGCTGTTTGAAATTCATAAAAAAAACAAATCCGGGTTACAAACTAAAACTGAGGGAAACACATCAAATATAAGAGGAGAACTACGACACAACAGAAACACAACATTAAAATGTAACACACACACAGAAACGAACTATAATATAACAGTGGCCATTTTCCTGACTTGGTACAGGACATTTTAAGAAAAAATGGTGGGTTGAACCTGGTTTTGTGGCTAGCCAAACCTCCCGCTTTTATGGCAATGTTAAATATAACATTAAAATGACAACATTACATGACAGGACTATAATAAAAATAAATGGGAGAACATATAGGACAGAGAAACATACGAATAATAGCTAACAAAAGGTACCAGGTTCAAAATTTAAGACGCGCCTTTCGTCCACACAAGACTAAGCAGTGACGCTCAGATCAAAAAAGTTTGAAAGCCAAAACAAGTACAAAGTTAAAAAGCATTGAGGACCAAAAGTTCCAAAAGTTGTGCCAAATACGGCTAAGGTTATATGTCTGGGATAAGAAAATCCTTAGTATTTAGAATAATTCATACTTTTGCAAACAGTAAATTTATACAAATGACTATATAATAGATATACATGATAACACTGAAGTGGTGACTAACTACAGAATAAAAACGAATACACATGTAGTTTTCAATGCATTAAGTACCATCATTGTTTCCATCTCTTTCCCTCCCCAAAAAGTACCTATCAGGTTTAAAATGTCTGACAATCAAAATATACGTGATAAAACTGTGCAAAAGAGAAAATAAAGTTGAGGAAAAATTCGGAGATGTGTTTGAAAAAAAACAAAACAACTTCCTTCCCAATTTCAATAAAAATTGTGCAATTTTCCCCCAAAAAAACGGTAGAGGTAGTTTTGAAAAAAGACAACAATATCACTGGGGCCGGTTGAAAACAAATGTTTTACGACAAAAGGGATGATTTCACTTTCCCAATTGTGAACTTTCCATTTCTATGTAGCAACATTCCAGCAGCGCCTGCATACGGAGTATATATCTCACAGTTAATACAATATTCCAGGGTTTGTATTTCCTATCATGATTTCCTTGATAGAAGGTTGCTGCTCACAAGGAAGAGTTTCAAGTGGTGAAGTTGAAGTCATCCCTTTGTAAATTTTACGGATGCCATCACAAGTTGGTTGACCGTTATGAAATATCTGTTTCACAGATGATAGCGGATATGTTACAATTGTTGTAACTACAATCCCTTCCCCTTTCCCAGAATGTGACCTACCAAAGAAGACTTATTACTGGATTTTTACTAACATGAGCAACACAATGGGTGCCACATGAAGAACAGGATCTGCTTACCCTTCCAGAGCGACTGAGAGTGAGATCACCCCCCAGTTTTTGATGGGGTTAGTGTTGCTCAGTTTTATGTTTTCTATGTTGTGTTTTGTGTACTGATATTTGTCTGTTTGTCTTTTTCTTTTTAAGCCATGGCGTTGTCAGTTTATTTTTAACTTATGAGTTTGAATGTCCCTTTGGTATCTTTTTTTTTTCCCCCTATCTTTCTCAGATACAATATTTAAAGCAATTTGTCAATTATATGTGGTGTATGGAATGGTTGTAAGCAGTTCATGTCAGTCTGGCAGGGTGACAGGTTCATCTGACCTTATCCTCATTTTCATGGTTCATTAGTCCATGCTATGTTTTCCTGGTTAAGTTTGTTCTTAGATACTATAAGCAATACATTGTAGGTCAACTATATTTGTGTATTGAATGGTTGCAGAGTGTACATGTCTGTCTGGCAAGTATGATCTGACCTTGACCTCCTTTTCATAGTTCATTGGTCAATGTCAAGTTTTCCTGGTTTGGGGTTTTAGGATACTCTTAAGCAATAGGTCAACTATATTTGATGTATGGAATGATGTCTGTCTGGCATAGTTTACATGACCGTGACCTCATTTTCATGGATCATTCATAACATTAAGTTTATGTGATCTTTGTAGTAAAAACTTTATCTTTAAGATTTTCAATAAGATATTTCAGCATGTGCACTCTTATTTTCCACAAGGCAGAAAAGATTGAAAATTTAAATATCGTAGATCAGCTCTCCTTTGTCACATTTTATGCACCATATTTCCATTAAATCATACAAATTAGGACATGTATCAAAATCAACTAAAAAACCTCTAACCTTTTCGTCTCTGTTGGTTGTTTGTATGTAAAATCACTCAGCTATCTAGAATATCAATTTTTCACCTTGTTAGCTTTAATTTCATGAAGTCCATTACTGATGATGGAAGTAGATGTCATTGGCATGCACCATATGACTCCTTGGTAATGCATGAAGTCCAATAAGTCCAAAAGGTTTCCCAGTTGTTTACAAGTGTCAAAATTTGAAAAAAATATGGGAAACCTTTTGAATGATGTAGACTTCATGCATAACTATAAAGGAGTCATACAGTGTATGTGTTTGACATCTACTTCTTATCAACAGTAATAGTCTGGATGAAATAAAAACTATCAAGGAGGGACAAATGGGTTTCAATTTATATTTGTGCACATTATTTACAAATATTGCTGGTCAAATATTTATAGAAAAACTTTACAGTTCATATTCTTGATCAAATAAAATTACTTTATAAAAAATCAGAACAAACAACTTGGTGCGAACAGAAATCTGAGTGAAATATCCAAGGTCCACAGTGATTTTGGCCAAAACAACCCTTGGATGGGAATAAAACCCAGCCAAAACCACCTGAAAATTCTACAAAAACAGTGTCAAAACAGCACTTTAATTATTATTCATTTTATTATAAATTTGTCATATATTTTTATTAAATGCATGTTTTTGTACAACTAAAGAAAGGGGAAAAAAATAAAAGTTAAGCTTTTGAATTCTTTTAACATTTATATTTGTTTTACTAACCTGATGGTGTCCCTTAAGATGATAAGCAGAAATGTGAAGAAAAAAAAAAGTTGAAATTACTTAAATTTGACTCAATACATCAACTTTTTTGTTAATTGATTATTGAAAACATAATCCATTATTTAAAAGCATTGTCAAGCTTTAAGAGATTTATAATTGTTCAACTGAAATAACTGAAATACTGCCAATATTGTGATCATATGACGTTTGCTTCATAATCCTTTCCTTTTTGAAAGCGGAAACAATTTTTTTATACATCATTACCTTTTTTCTGGCAGGAAAATATTGGCATGAAATGTTCACAAAATGCTTGATGGTATTTTTTTTAGTTCTTATTATTTTTGGTAGATGCAGATTTTTTTATGAAGAAAAACCTTAAGTTCTATTAAATTTAATTGTATCTTTTGTTTGAATTGGTTTTTGTCATTGTTGAAGGCAGTGCATTGGCCTATAGTTGATTACATCATTGTCCTTTGTCTCTGATGGTTGTTTCTTGTCAATCATACCATTTTCATTTTACTGTTTATCTTTAATTTGAATGTACTTATCTTTTATAATTTCAGGTGTATTTTTTAGACAGGTAAGTTAAGTTATTGTAGTTAAAGCCAAAATTATTTACTAGAATCATAGTTTTGTAGTAGAAATTTTATGAATTACTATGTTGTATTAAGGTTTCACTTTATAAATTCTGAACAGGCACATGCCATGCTCATATCTCTGAATATGATCACTATAACTATTATATTGATTAGACAGATAAATTATATTTGATAAGCAACAGTTTGAATGAATGAAGATGTAGGTTAAAAGTCAATGCTGATGTGGTCATAAAGCACAAGCTTACAAAATAGAGTTCACTTTATGGCCTTAAACGAAGGGCAAGTGTCCAAACCAAGTTCTTTCTTTGAAATTCATAAATTATAAACAGTTATACATATATGCACTCATTTATAATAAAACGAATGTTATATCTTTTCTGGATTGATATTTGGTGGTAGTGTTCATATTTATAGACTTATTTAGAGATAATAATACCTGCCTAGTTTATATGACTGATCTTGTTGATGGTTGTCTGTCTCTCCAATTATCAATTAACTACTTTTAGGAAATTTGGATTTGTAGATATTTTTCTAGCTCCAGAGGATTAATTTATGATATAATATTGACAGTAAAAAGAGGGAGGGAAAATTTACCAAGAGGGTAATCTAAAACCATAAGTAGAATGAAAACAGACAACATGGCCATACAGAATAACAATGAAAGACAAACTTGTCCACAAAATACTACAATTAAAAATCAAAAATCAAGATTGAGCAACACAAACCCCACAAAAAATTGGAGGTGAACTCTAGTTCCTGGAGGTGTCAGGAGTTCCTGTTCCACTAATGATATTCTCTGTGTAACAATTTTTCAACATTAATATTCAAGGTTGTTAAATAGTTTTTTTTTAATTTTAGTATACATTAGATAAAGCACAAGAAGTAGGAGTAGTAGGCTGGGTGATGAACACAGAATCAGGAACTGTCAAAGGAACATTTCAAGGAACCCAGCTTCAAGTTGATGAAATGTATGTATAGTAACATGAAAACTGTTGTATTTAACAACATTTAGTAAACAGTTTTCTTCAATTAAGTAGATCATTTTAACAAAAGTCCTTGTGATTTTTATACGACCACAAAAATTAAAAAATTTTTGGTCGTATATTGGTATCACGTTGTCGTCGTCGTTTTCGATGTCAGTGTCGTCCGAAGACAGATGGTTTCCGGATAATAACTTTAGTATAAGTAAATAGAAATCAATAAAATTTTAATACAAGGTTTATAACCACTAAAGGAAGGTTGGGATTGATTTTGGGGGTTATGGTCCCAACTGTTTAGGAATTAAGGGCCAAAAACAGTCAGGGGTACTACTTGTACAAGTAATCTTTATTTACTTGAAGAAGTAAATAAAATAAACTTATATAAGTTAATTATAATGTTTGAATAATCTCCCCTTAATTTTCTCAAAAATTTACTTGTATAAGTAAATTTTTTTTTACAATCCCACAAAAATTCTCAAGTTTTGAGATGAAAAAACATGCCTTTAACAATTTTTCTCAGGTTAGCTCATAATTTTTGATAAGAGTTCAATGTTTCATCTCATTAATTCAACAAAGAAACTGATTGCGCAAAGATCTTAAGTATTTGAGCAAGGCCTTCAAAATTTGCCCCTTGGGGGCTTGTAAATGATCAGTGTTCTGAAGATAACAGACAAATGAGATTTTCATTGTCCATGAAATTACACTTAAATGATTAGTAAAGACATCTGCAAAGGACAGACAATCAAAAATTCTATTAGAGCAAAGAAGTCCGAAGAATTCAAGAAAAGAAGATAGGATGACTTTTTTACTTGTATAAGTAAAAAAATCTGAATGTCTAAGGGACATAACTAAGCCCAATTTTTTTTTACCTATACAAGTAAATAAAATACACTTGTATAAGTATCCTACAAATTTACTTATATAAGTATATTAATATTTACTTCTTCAAGTAAATAAAAATTACTTGTACAAGTAGTACCCCTGACTGAAAAAAGGAGCCCAAATAAGCATTTTTGTAGTTTCCAGACAATAACTTGTGTTAAAGTGTATGAATCTCTCTGAAATTAGACCACAAGTTTCCATACTACAAAGGGATGGTTAGGATTGACTTTGGGGGGGTTATGGCTCAAACCATTTGGGAATTTAGGGGCAAAAAAAGGGGAAAAACAAGGGTTTTTCTGGTTAAAGACAAATCCTTCTATTCAGATCTACCAATAATATCTTCTTTATATTTTATTTTTACTTTAGGTTAGGTAAAAGCTTTAAAATAAGCAAATAAAAAAATGGGGTCACCGACCTCGTTTTCGATTTAAAACGTCATCATTTTCGTGGAATTTGGAAATTATAAATTTTAGTCAATAGCAGTGTAATATTTTATGAAAAGTCTGTATCCCATAAAAATTTTGTGTTTTAGTAACCTTGTTGTTAGTACAAACTATATTATTGATATTACCTTTTTCCGAGGGGAAATTGAAAACGATAAGTTGCTATAATCATTTTCCCGCCCTTTTTATTGTGAAATTATCTATAAAACAATCAAGTTTAATAAAAATTGACCAATGTTTTCTTGATGAGAATTCAACAGAATATGCGTTTTTTATATTTAAACAAAATAAGGAAATAAAAAGGTAGGGTCACCGTAATGGAAAAAGAGATATTTCTAAAAAAAATGTTAACAATTTGAATTGGCGGGAATACATTGCGCCAATTCTAAACGCAACTTCGAAAGACGTTAGGCCAGTTTAGACGATCTTCTTACAAGTATGGGCAATTCTGATCCCGTTATTTGCTGTTTTATTGTTTGTTTGTTTTTTAACTACACTAAATGCACATTAATATATACATGTTGGTACTTAGTTTTCAGTTACAACAGACACATAATTTTTATCAAGCCTGCGACTTTTGTCGCAAAAGCGAGACATAGCGATCCTACATTCCATCGTCGTCGTTCACAAATATTCACTCTGTGGTTAAAGTTTTTGAAATTTAAATAACTTTCTTTAACTATCCTGGATTTCTACCAATCTTGTACAGAAGCTTGTTTGTGATCATAAGATAGTATCCAGGGGCCGTGTCAATGAAAGTATCCTAGGATATGTCCTAAGACATATCTTAGAACATATCCTAGGATTTCTACCAATCTTGTACAGAAGCTTGTTTGTGATCATAAGATAGTATCCAGGGGACGTGTCAATGAAAGTATCTTAGGACATTATTTAGGATGGTCTTGGGACGTGTCTGAGACATGTCTTAGGATGTAAAACAAAGCTATCTTAGGACAGTCCTAACTACGATGGTCCTAGGACCGTCCTAACACAATTATTTAATTAAAACAAATATGTAGAGAATTCAATGACATATATTTTATTGTATTTCAATGTAAAGGGAGGGAGGATGACTCTTTTAGGGAAAACAATTAACGCAAAATGAAAGTCTTAACGTAATACTAATAGATACATATATCTTATACATGTTATATATGATGTACAAATATAAATGATTTGCATACGACAACAAAACTAAATAGTCATTCTTTTTGAAGAGTTACTATTGATGCCCATTTCATATAGATTAGTATATAGAAATAAAAGGTTAGTTAGTAAAAGATGCAGCAATATCTCAATATATTAAGATATGTGCATCAAGTTAGTTCTAGAACACACACACAAGTTTCTCTAATATGCTTATTATTCCAAAAAAATCTAAATTCTATAAACGCTTTTTTTTGATATCTGGAATTTTTTTTTATGAATCAACTTTGTCTACAAATTGAAAATAATGTAGCACAATAGAATCTTTATATTGAAAAAAAATTGGTTACGTAGTTTAATTCTAATAACAGTATAATAGTTTAATATTGTATTAGTAAATTTATCATCGAGTTTATGCCATGATATTTGTTGTTTTAGTTTCGTTTTAGGACATCGTAACTTTTAGGACTATCCTAAGACACCTATATATATATATATCCCAACTTTAGGACCAAATTTAGGACATATCTTATTTTAGGAGACTCGTTTACCTGATTTAGGACTAAGACGTGTCCTAAGACCATCCTAAGACATGTCGTAGTCCTAGGACAGCTTCGTTAACCCGGCCCCAGAATTATCTTTAGTAAAAACAAAAAATCCTATTTATCCGTATTTTACTAATAAATGGACTTAGTTTTTCTGCCAGTTAACATTATATTCACTCTGTGGTTAAGTATTTTAAACATTTATTAGATTCATTAACCATCCTGCATTTTTACTAAATTTGGACAGATGCTTCTTACAATAAAATATTAGTACTTAGAAATTTTAATAATTTTCCCCCATTTTTGTGAGCCTGCGACTAACAGCAAAGGTAGGCGAGACACCGGGTTCGCGGAACTCTTGCGAATTATTTTTATGAATTGATCTTTCTTTTAAGTGTAAACACTTAGATCGATCGCAATTTTCTGAAAGTGAAAGTGTCATATTTAGATATGAAAATAAATCTGCGTATGGTCAGTTTGGTATATTCTTATAAATGACTGCCTTTCAGTGTTTCATCCATATTCTCAAATGATTTGACAGAACGTGAAGATAAAAAACAAATAAATATATATGACGGTTTATTATTCTCACATTTCTTTGTTTAATGACTTGTGACATGTTAATCAAAAAGATAATTAATAAATGCAGAAGCATATCTAATGAATCAACTATTTCCTTATTCTTTTTTCTACGATTGTTTGTTAACTAAATGGTTAGACCGATTATTTTTAGATAAAATTGCAATGCAAATGCACTAGTTCCCAGTCTATCTTGATTGTTCAAATGTAAACGCGAGCTAGTCTTTTAAAGATCGATTCAATTCCGTGCAAGTGTTAACGGGGTCTTATTTATATAATTTCTGTTTTAGATCATGCATCCATAGGCATTTATGAATTAGTTACAAGTATCGAAATATTCCGTAATGTTGCTAGATTGATTGATTGATTGTAGGTTGCTGAACGTCCAGTGGCATGTATATCATGCATGTTCAGGACGAGAACAAGTTAACAATAAATACAATAGGTAGTTCTTGTAAAAGAGGCCTCTGGGATGATGGCTGGGAAAATTTGGACTGCCACTGGAAAATGAGGGTATATCGGATAGGGGAAGAAATTTTTCCTTGCAACAGGCCACCTACAGACCCTCAAAGAGTTGTTGCAAGGATTCTTAACGTGCAATGAGCGTGGCACTCTCTTTACACGAGGCATCCGATTTAACGTCCCCATTCTGACCGGATCTGGCTGTGTACATCCCGCACAGCTAAACGGACGCTCCACTCTGGCAAGCGTTTTACTGCCGGTCGGAAGAAGACCAAGTGACCATATTTCGATTCCCCAGTCACCCGTGAGAGTGGTAATGTTGCTAGAACCTCAGTCTAAGTATACTCATTCAGCTGTGTTACCGTGAATATAATTGGAACCTAGTCCTACCTCTTTTTTCAAATCAACTGCTAAATGATTTGTTTGTTCATATGTATTCCTATTTAATTCTCCTTTCCGCCAAATTTTAAACACAGACACGATTATATATATATAAGAATATGTGGTATGTGAGACAACTCTCCATCCAAATCACAAACATATGTTTTTTTATACAAAAAATGCGCATCTGGTACCTAAATTAAAATATATCGTTCTTCCATTCACAAGCGTTCAAAACTCAACAAATCTGACCAGAATGAAATGAAAAAACCTATAGTGTTAGAAGCCCATATGTTAACTTCTATATATGTACTTTATTTTACAGGTATGCATTGTTGGGTAACTGAATTGTTCATGTTTTTGTTAAATCTTTTATTATATATGCTTGTAAAAATGTAAGTGCCGTACACATTCAAAATACGTCAGTGCAATATGCAATATCCATATATGTACGTATTGTACCTATTGCTATAGATACATTTAATTTTGATGACATGATTGACGATTTACGTAGTACTTTCTTAATAGTTTGGGGAAATATAAATACAAT